AAGGATACAGGATCAAGATACAAGGATACAGGATCAAGATACAAGGATACAGGATCAAGATACAAGATACAAGGATACAGGATCAAGATACAAGGATACAGGATCAAGATACAAGGATACAGGATCAAGATACAAGGATACAGGATCAAGATACAAGTATACAGGATCAAGATACAAGGATTCAGGATCAAGATACAAGGATACAGGATCAAGATACAAAGATACAAGGATAAAGGAAACAAGAAAAAAAGAATTCAGGATTACAAAGATACAAGGAAAAAGGATACAAGGATACAAGGATTAAAAGATACAAGGATAGAAGGACACTAGGATACAGGATTACAAAGATACAAGGATACAAGGATAAAAAGATGCTAGGATACAAGGATTCTAAGATACAAGGATACAAGGATAAAAAGATGCAAGAATACAAGGATACAAGGATACAGGATTAAAACGATACAAATGATAAAGGATACAAGGATACAAAGATACAAGGATACAAGGATTAAAAGATGCAATTATACAAGGATACTTGGATACATGATTACAAAGATACACGGATATAAGGATACAAGGATAAAAAGATACAAGGATAACATGATAAAAAGATGCAAGGTTACAAGGATACAAAGATACAAGGATACAAGGATAAAATAATGCAGGATCAAAAAAGGATAAAGGATACAAGGATACAAGGAAAAAAGAGACAAGAATACAAGGATACAAGGATACAAGATTACAAAGATACAAGGATAAAGGATACAAGGATACAAAGATTCAAGGATACAAGGATTAAAAGATGCAAGGATACAAGGATATAAGGATACAGGCTTACAAAGATAAAAGGATAAAATGATACCAGGATAACAAGATGCAAGGATACACGGATACAAGGATACAGAATTACAGAGATACAAGGATACAAGGATACAATAGGATACAAGAACACAAGGATACGAGGATACAAGGATACAAGGATAAAATAGGATACAAGGACACAAGGATATGAGGATACAAGGATACAAGGATACAAAGATACAAGAATACAAGGATACAAGGATACAATGACATAATACAATAAATCAATGATACAATGAGTTCACATGAAATTATATAAATCTGAGCATTAATATTTCAAGAATGACATTATTAATTACCTGGCTGTGGTGCAGTTTAAGGTACCATTATTCAAGGTCAATGGATATCTAGGACTGCCTAAACAAAAATCAAACTTTAAAAATCAAAGTTGTCTAATAGTTATGTATCTAGAAATATCATTGATATAGAATAAAAAAGGCACAAAAGAAATAAAAAATAGCCTTCTACTAACTTCTATTCAAAAGTTTACTTACTGATATAGGTGTTGTTTAATCTCACATTATTTCCAGCACTTGAAGTACAAGTGTCAACAACAGCTAAATAAATTATTATTAGAATTTTTTTTTTCAACACAATACTATCTCAATTTGTCCCTTTAATAAAATTGTTTTTAAAATGATCTGATTCTAATGATAGAGAGCAGGGTTGGGATTTGTTTAAAAACAATCTAAAGTAAAATATATTGACTTTGTTATTTTCATGCTTTGATTTTTGGTCGCGGATATTTCAACTAATTTAATTCCAAGGTTTATTGCAGGACACCATGTACATTGTACAATTAGTATATGCATTTGAATACCTGTACAACAGACTCCAAAGGATGAGGCGCATGCGCCGTCAGCTGTTCCTCCCAGTGCAGTACATTCTCCTGCTGTATAGCATGTACCCAGTACACTTCCACCACTTGCAGCAGTACAGGCATCGTTGTTAAATTTCACAATGTTGAATATGCTTAGGACTGAAAAAGAATATAATTTATTATTTATTAAATTGTGGGCAGACAATGCTGTGCTAGATTGAAAGTAACGTTTTGAGCTAAAGGGACTGTACACGTAATTTACAATTCACAATAATACTCTTTAATCATCTTTCTGAATAATGCTGACGAAGATATCATCATTTTTATAGCTAAAAATAAAGTTCCCTCAAGAATACAAGGATACAAGGATACAAGGATAAAATAATGCAGGATCACAAAAGGATAAAGGATACAAGGATACAAGGAAAAAAGAGACAAGAATACAAGGATACAAGGATACAAGGATACAAGGATACAAGGATACAATAGGATACAAGGACACAAGGATATGAGGATACAAGGATACAAGGATACAAAGATACAAGAATACAAGGATAAAAGGGGTTTAAAGATACATAAAAAAAAATTCTACAAACACAAATTTCTGTATTTTTAAAGAGAAAATTACATTTGACTAACAAAATTAAAAATGTTATACTTACATTTGGCATCTCGTTCTGGGGCTGCCAATGACCCTGCTATGAGGAGGGATAGACCGAAAACTTTCATCTAAAAAACAAAATTTGTAAAAAATTTAATAAATCTAAATTCACCCTTTCTTTAAAAACGCAGCGATTGACTAGATTTTGTGTTTTTAAGAAAAAATATTAAACAAAAATAACGTTAAAAAGAAAGGGTTTAAAGATTGTTTAAAATCTACAAAAGCAAGACAACGCAAGATTTAGAAAAACTTTGAGATGACATCATAGATTATAAAACTAGATTTCGTCTTTTCCAGATTTAGGGGTTATTTGTTCACAATAACCCTGACGCAGAAGCCCAAAGGAGTTACGCGTTGAATTACAAGACAGAGAGAGAGCATGCGTTGAACTCCTTTGGGCTTCTGTCTCAGGGTTATTGTAAATAAAAAAACCTTGAATCCTGAAAAGACGACATCAGTGTTCTATCTGTATTTTTATTAATCTATGGATCACATGTTGTTCTAATTCTAAAAACATAGACAAAGCTGGTTCATGCTTAAACTAAATAAATACATTTCTCTACTCGGATCAGCTGAGTACCTAAATTTGATATTTTTTATTTCCACCACAGAGACAATGCATATGTCCTGAAAATGGCGAAATTTGTTGAGCAAATTACAAAAGCTAGATAACAGAATAGAGCAACTAAATACAGTCTGATAATAAGCAATTATACACGCAGACAAAGTAAAACTGGCATTTCTTCATGTTGCAATGAAGAACATATAGAAGTGCAAGCAAAAATATGTTAAGCCAAGGCGAACATATCTCGGTAAGATCTAAGCATAAGCATACTAAATATACGGAGTCACGTGATGCAGTACACAAGCAATAAATAAGCACTTTAGTGATCATGTAAAAATCAAATCATTACACTTGGAAGCATGTGTTAAGCGGCCTGAATGAAATCCATAAATGAATTTATTGGTGTAGCAAATCGTGTCAGGCCTTTTTTAGCCCAAAAGCTAAAGCGGAAAGTAAAGCAATATCATGCCTTGTTTCACCTTTTCAGCTGATTGCTGCTCATCATGATTCTTCTTTTCACTTGGCGCATTTTTTTTAACGTTTACGATAATGGTTTATGACGCGTTAAGGTCTCTTCTGAACTATCGAAAATCCGCAATTTCTGGTTGTACAATGTGTACAGCACGTTTTCTTTTCTGGGACACATGAGTTCGGTACTAAATGCCTGATGCGACAATGATAACCTTGACAGAATTCTTTTAAATGACTGTTTAGATGAAGCCCGAGTTATGCAGTGTGTTGGACCGAAAGGCCAACCGAGATCAGGTCAAGAATCCTTGGGCAAATAATTGACAAGCCATAAATTGTGTTTTTCCTTGTATGCAAGGTACAGTGTTTAGCAGAAGATACAACACAATAATTCGAATATTATTAAAACCTTAAATATAAATACTCTTTTGACAATAAAAGTCGCAGAGTGTAAACATTAGAGAAAAAATGAAAGTTAAAAACATAAAAAACGAAAGTTGTTGAATGGCGATACTTTCACGCCCGAATATTCTCTCATGGTTTCCCATGACCTTTTTTGACAGGGTGACTAACTAATGTTTGGGGCTGGTGATGTGGTGCGCCGGTTTTGTAACCGGTTTAAACCCCTACAGCTGTAAAAGTAAAGTTACGATCTTTGACCTAGTTTCTACTTTCTTTCAACCTGTATTTTAAACCAAAGATGTATTACTGAGATTAAACTGAACAAATGATTTATCGAGAGGCGTTTAAACTATTGGTTGCAACCCCCCCCCCCCACACATATGAATTTTCATAAAATACCCCCCCTCCCACTCCCAGACTTAATTTCCCCATCGCGCTTTTAACCTTGAACCAAATTCATTCAAATCACCCACTAATAATGTTTCAACAGATTTGATTCAAGTTCGATGTTTAAAAGATCAGAGATTAGATAGTAAACTATAAGTTTAAGGAAAATTGCGAAATAATGGAAAGTTTATTGGCATATCAAGTTTAGCTCAGATCAAGTTTAGCTCAGATCTGGGCTTAATTTAAGTAAATCTCATCTAAAGATCTACACTGGTACCCTTTAAGCTTCTATCTGAGTAACAATGAGAAATATATCATATTAAACGTGTTGAATTCTGTTAACTTCTTTTATTTATTTTTCTGATGAAAATGATTCTGCCACATTTGAAGGGAAACCACAACTGAAAATTCTCAATTTTCAGAAAGAAAATTAAGGATTTTTCATTGATCCTAGATCAGACAAAGGTTAAAAGGGTACCGTTGTGAATTATGCATGTCACTATAAAATTGATCAATTTAAGCTACTTCGACAGGTTCTTGTATAAACTTTCCACGAACATAAAAACTTTCTTTGATTTTTTGTTTGGTTTTAATTTCGAGAAATTGTCATTTTTGGATTTTCAAAAAAAATGTGGGTTAAATTAATGGGGTAGATAGTTTTTCATGTAAATCATGAAAAAAACCTAGAGGTGTTATTAACAGGACATCTTAAAATATCTGTTAAAACGTTTTTCTGTTTTTTTTTGTACACATGATTACAGACTTATAATTAAAAATCACAGTTCAATAGTAGATTACAAATGAAACTATAACAAAAAAATATGATGCTTCCTTACCTTTTTTCTCTTTAGGTTTTTTTTACAGAAAAAAATCACAGTTGAAGGTCTGGGTTTCCTTGAGACACTGGTGGATCGGGCCGACTCACCTACCTTTTATATCGACCTAGCTTTAGACTAAACTATCTTTTAGACAAATCCCAAATATTCAGGACAGATATTCACATTCTTGTTTTGTAAAAACTGTTTATTTTTTTAAAATATTTATTTTTGTTTTTATATATTTTTATGATAAACGCGTTGGTAAAAAGTTTAAGGATACATAAGCGCGTAAAAGAATGTCCTGGGCAGTAAAAGCGCGCAGGGAGGGTTTTCGACCTAGCTCCGCGCACACACAACCCACAGGTCGAATTTTACAGTGAAACAAGTTGAAATACAACATTTCACTTTCCAGAGAAAATGTGACCGATAAATATATAGGGCCCCATCTCTTCCCCACATCACCAGCTGATTCAATACCAGCTGATTCTTCTCATTTTGCAAGATTTTATCAAACTTGCGGATTTTTGCAAAATGATTTGTTATGTATGTGTATGTTGATTTCCACTATCTAAATGGAAATCAGTTTGCCAGATTTTTTTCCGGCCGATTTCCTTCCGTCTTATATATCTGGCTGATTTCCTATTAGCTGATTTTGTTCTGAGTAATTTCTTACTGGCGGATTTTTGTTTAACTAATTTCTTTAAACCTGATTTCTTTTAAACTTCCATTACGGATATTTAGGTATTATAGCTATATATCAATTTATGAAAAACATACATCTTAATTCATATCATTTTTCGCGCACAAAAAAATTTACGTTTCACGCACTAATTGTTTCATGAGTTGAATTGTTTGCAAAATATAACATATACATTTTTACAATGTTGACATATTACACCTAAAATAAACTTGGTAAAAAATGTAATTTCAAAAACAATTTCTAATAAATTAGGTTACCATTTGAGAATCTAAGCTTCATACTTTTCTCTGATACTTTCATCAGTCTTCTCAGATAAAAGGGGAATCCCTGTTTTGAGAGAGAGAGTTATGTGATCATGTATCTTTTATGTACAAGGATTTAATACAAGGACTTATTATTTGATTTCTGAATATATTGTAAACTTTGTCTATTCCGTAAGAATATCATTTTGTGTGAAAAGAAACTTATTTTTAAACATATTAAGTTTCGAAATAGCACCCCCCCCCCCCCTGCAGGTGACATCGTTTTTTATAAGCATACAAAATAATGATTTACTTTATCATATATAATCCACTACTTTCAATACTTATTTTTAGATTAGGAAAAGATTCCAACTATCTCTATGTTCTGTATAAGCTTCATTAATATATCCCATCAAATATTTCCGCTACATCTTAAGACTGGATTACGGATTTATCTAGTAAGTTGGAGCAAGAAAATGGCTAAGGTTTGTTTAATCCAAAACAATACGAAAAACAAGTTTAATCCATTGGCCCTGAATAGTGATTATGTCTCCTAATCCAGATTGCCCAATATATATATTTAGATCTGAATTAGGAACTTTTGTGTGCTGAATCACAGGATCAAGTATTAATCTCAATCTTATTCAGATATACGGATTAATTTAACTCATATTCGATATCCCATGATTTTCATAACCTACAGTGATAATTTTCATTAAAGGATTAAACAATTTAAAAGTGTCCATATTAGATATTGAGATCAAGTGTTTAAAATTAACGAAACTCGACACAAAAGTTCCTACATCTGGATATATAAAATTATTTTTATTTTTAAAATAACATGTGCCATATAGTTGTTTATCTGCTATAGATAATCCTATGCGAATTCGCTAAACTTTAAAAATCCGCCAATTTTGTGTGAGTAAAGGCTTAGTACACACTTAGTATTAATGAAGATAAGAATGAATATGCGGATGTATTGTATGAGTCGAAGGAAGGTGAAAATACAGGCTGGATTTGAAGGTCGAGCCCTGGGGGAAAGACTGGAGAAATCTAAAGAAACAGGGTGAGAGGAAAAAATTGTGTTGGATACAATATTTTGCTTTCAGATATTTGTAGTTTTAGTAGAAAATTACGAATATACGGAAACATTAATATTTTCTCAAGAGTTTATAGAATAGAATTCATAAACTTTCATTTTGGAAATTAGCGTGAAGCTGAAAGATATATAGGGCATTAGCTCAGTAACCCTGTCTTAAAAATGTCTTAACCGCGTAGAATATATCCTATAACGCGTAGAACATAGGTTCCTGTTGGATAATAACGTTTTCAATGAAGATTTATATACGTCTACGTCACGTAATACAGACGGAAATCACGTGACCAGTATACTTCACTGCAATTGGCTGAAGTCCTGGTGACGTATTACGAACTATATGGACTATATGCCATTAATATTATTAATTATATCTATTAAAAATGTAAATAAAAATTAAAAAATTATAACAGGAGCAAACCTGAGATTCTCAAGCTTCTGTGGGATATCGTCGTTATCAGATTGGTTGCGTACGTATTTGTTAAACATGATACAAAATTGCATATATATGAATTTTCGTATAAATTTGACAAAGTTTTATATAAATTTCTCGAGACAGGAACATAAGATAAATGTCTTATATGTATCGTTCAACGCCTGAGATTCTCAGGTTTCATTCTATACCCCCTTTCATTATTACATGTGTAATGAGATCTTGAAATTTTTATATTCTATTTGACATTATTTAGTCAATACTTTGCTTGTTTATGTATCTGTTTGTATCCAATAAACTGCTGAACCGATCGAGCCAAACCTGCTCGGAAAAATTTCGACATTTATAATTTTTAAAAAAGCGCCAATCTAAATAGAAAAATCCGCAAAATATTGACAATGAATAATTATGGCCACTATCAGAGCAACCGTTAAAAGTTAAAATTGTTGAAAGGAATGGAGCATCGAAGAGCCCTAAAAGCCTGGTATAGTAGAACGAGCAAGAGTTAACGTGTACAAAAAGGGCTGTTTGCCTGTATCTCCTTGCACAAAATTCTTAATATTTAATTTTTAATAATTGTATAAATGAAATAAACATTCCTTTCTTTCTTGTCCTATTGTGTTATATATGTTTCACATTTTATATTTTATATTTTATTTTATAATTTTTTTTAAAATGTTAAAAATTTGAAAAAAATAATTTAGATTTTTTTTAGTCTATAACACTCCCATCCCAGGCTACCCATTGGTGTCCACGAAAAATTTCAGCCCAATCAGTCCAGCCGTTTTGCCGGCTATGCGCAGTATATTTATGAATGTCTTGTTTTATTATATAGATATCTTTATTAAACTATAAAAAGCATGAGATAAAGCAAATAAAGTATCACATTTTACTTCATAGTCTGGACCCGCCTAACCATGCTTGGTAATTTGGATCAAATCAAACATTTCAGAAGTGAGAACTTTTGTGTTCTGAGCTGGGAACTTTTGAATGGTGGATATCGGGATTAATACTTAATCCACTCTTTTTCTTAATCTACAGATTAAATATTGCTTGTTCTCCACATGAATTCAATCTCCAGATTAATTAACAGATCGGGATTAAGGACATCACATTCTAAAGTTTTCAGTTCTGAATCTTGGAATGAAATATTATATCCACATCATGCACATCTACGGATTAATTCTATTCCTCTTCGATATTCCATGGTGGTCATACCCTGCGGGATTAGCTTTAATGCTGAGATCTATCATTTATCCACAAATTTTAAAGCGACCACATGAGATATAAAGATCAAACATTCAAGATACTTGGCACAAAAGTTCCAACCAAAAGTTTTTTTAGTTACAGATAGTTTTTTTTAACATTGTTAACAATATTTTTTTTCTTGCTGAAGTCGTGGGAATAGTTTGAAATGGATGCATATAATTTCATGAAAATCCACAATTATATTATTCGATCTAAAAGGAATTGAGTTTTTGCCACAAACTAAACTAATCCTAATCACAATATCTTTGCAACGCAATGTAGTAGACCTTATAAATTTCAAACTATTAATTCTGTTAAATCAAATAATCTAACTTTGAAATATCAAAGGTTTACACCATCAAGTTCAAAGATATAGGGATGCGAAAATTTGAGTTTGTGGCAAAGACTCAACTCCTTTGTTTTAAGATGGTAAACCAGTTTGTTTGTTTATCCATTCGATAGGATTTGTTTTGGCTGCAAAAATATTTAAGAAATTAATTGAATTTACCTTAAATAATATTTTACATTTTAAACTTAATAAAAATTACCTTAAAATTAGAAAATTGGAATGTTTTGATATTTCAATGTGTTTTATTATCACCGCAAAGCAATTTGATTCTTTCATCATAATAATTAATGTTTTACGATGTGAATAAGAATTAACAGGAAAGGAGAGAAACTTGTTGTTTTTTAGTTAACCTCTATTCATGCACTATTCGCAAGTTAGTTTTTTAACCATTGTTTAACACAAATAAAGATATACATCTTGTCAATTCTTTTCCTTGTCTTTGCTGTGTAAATCCACATTTTATGAAAATTTTCAAAGGAATAATAGCTCCATTTCTTTTCTGCTCAAGCATACCGTTATGAATAAGACGATAGAACAGAGAGAAATCTTGAAAAATTGAAACTCTGGGTTTGTTTGTAACAAACTCGAGATCAAATGGATAAGGATAATGATAAGGATAAGGATAAGGATAAGGATAAGGATAAGGATAAGGATAAGGATAAGGATAAGGATAAGGATAAGAATAAGGATAAGGATAAGGATAAGGATAAGGATAAGGATAAGGATAAGGATAAGGATAAGGATAAGGATAAGGATAAGGATAAGGATAAGGATAAGGATGTTTACACGAGTAGGGTACTAGTACTAAATCCTGAGATGATTAATAGAACGAACTTGAAGGTTTGATACATCAAAACTGTAAAATTTAGTTCAGATTATTTTCAAAATATTTAAATTATAAATTATAAATTTGAACCTGTTTGATGCAGAACTGTCATTAATAATTGTGCAATGTGCATTTTATTGCTTGTTAATTGGTGAAAAATGCCATTTTTAGATTAGGGTTAAAAACTTTACATAGCCTCATTGTTGGAATTTTTACTGATCTTGACAAATATAGATTTTTCTCATCATCAGAAAGTTTTGTCCCGAGACACCCTACCCCCACCCCTTCCAAAAAAATATATGATTTTTTTTGCCAGAACCTCTAGTTTTCTTGTCTCTATATCTTTGCAACCTGATTGCCGGGTTGCAAAAATATAGGGATTATAAAATCAGAGGAAAAAACTTTGCACCTTTATAATTTTTAGTTTTTATCATTTTTTAGTATTATCATTTCTAACAAGGTCATTCATATTTAGTGATTAATAGAAGAGATCTGAACTATTCCTGCGTAAAAATCCCAGAGTAAAAACCTGAAAATAGCCATAAAATGTTAAGATATTTGGCCAGGGGGAAGTGTAGGGAAGGGGGGGGGAAGTTAGAATTAATTAATTCAAGGACATTTTTGTTAAAAATTTAAGTTCTAGTTTTCAAAAAAGCAGTGTAAGCAGTCGAGAAGAAATGAATTATATAGAGTCTTTCCCACAAACTCAAATTTTCTAATTCTTCTTCTTTAAGCAACCTGATATTTCATATAAGATTATTTTATTGAACAGAATTCATAATTTGAAATATCTGAGTTTTGCGAAAATTAGTTATAAAGATATAGGGTTTAGAAAATCAGGGTTGAAGCAAAGACTCAGTTCCATTAAAATGAAACTATAAAATGATACACACAAAAAGAAAGATATTAACAGATACGAGTTTGCAAGAAAACTCTGAATAGAAATCAATACAGAGATGAAATATGAGTGTGTTTTACAAAATGCTACATATTACATTTAATTGATAATTTCATTGATTTTTTCTATATCGGACATAGTATACAGATATGTGACTGTAAGTGAAATATGCTTGAGTGATGAAATTGTTGAAAACGGCAAATAATGTAGCAAAAGAAATGAGTCCTTTCTATTAGACTCTGATATTCTAATCCCGATATCTTTGCATCACAATGATATTTCAAACTTTGAATTCTGTTTGATCAAATAATCTATGTTTTAAATATCGTAGGTGTTTACAGCATTATGTTGAAAAGATATAGGGAATAGAAAATTTGAGTATTTGGTAAAGTCTGTATTATGTATATTAAATTAATTATACATTAATTAAACACAGGGTAACTAACAAAGGATGAGACTTTAGTTATAACCTGAACCCGACCCTTTAAATATGATTATTATTATGTATTATTTAATGATTTGACAAAGCACGGAAAAAGATTATAGTTTCAGAGAATTATGAATATAAGGAAACAGAGAGAATAAATTCCGTACATAAGTATTAGCAGTCACATCCTCGGTGGGTCACCCTGTTTATATTCTATTTTTAATTTCCTTTCGATTTTTCAATAAATATCCTTTAAAATCAATTTCAGATAACGCTGGGGAGGAAAAATATAAGGAAATTTGAATAATTTGAGAAGAATGAAGAGAAGAAAAGATTCAAGCAAAAATAACAAGAAAGAAAAACTTCATCAGAGAACAAATTTACTAACCTTAGAATTCTTGAAATAAGAAGGATGAGAAAAAGTAGAACCAAGGATGGAAGAAGTTTATAAAGGAACAGAGTCAACCTTCGGACACCCGACATAATGTTTACATAGATCTTTGGACAACATTTAACAGATTCATATACAAGAACAAAATTAACCTTCGGACACCAGAGTTGAAAACTTTAGAATGGGATATCCTTAATCCCGATAGGTTAAATAATCTGGAAATTAAGTGGAGAACAAGCAATATTTAATCTCGAGATTAAGAAAAAGAGTGGATTAAGCCTTAATCCCGATATCCACCATTCTAAAGTTTTCAGCTCAGATTTAATGTTAACAAAGATCTTTATACAAGATTTAACAGATTAATATACAAGAACAGAATTAACCTTCGGAGACCATGACATAATGTTTTCATAGATCTTTGTACAAGATTTAACAGATTCATATACAAGAACAGAGTTAACCTTCGGACACCAGACATAATGTTTACATAGATTATAATAGTATTATAAATGACTGAATATTTTACAGAATCATGGAACAAGAAAAGTATTTAAATATATTGATACAGAAAATGGATGTAGTATTTTGTCTGAAAGAAAGTAAAATAGTTCAAAAAATGTGAAAACAATTTGTTATGAAATAGAGTTGGTAATGAAAGTAAAAATGCTAATAAAGAAATATTTGACAATTTTTTGTGTGCAAAATAAAGGGTTTAAGGGTGTTCAGAATAAAAGAAACAAGGTTTGTGTCACTGTGGGCTCATTTAAAGAGACTGTAGACAGAATTTCAATGGACTCATGTCCAATTCAAGATTGAACGCGATATCGATGTTTTTATCTTAAAAATGATTATTCTAAATTGTAGTTCAATGGAGGATATTGTCAGAGGTTTACACTTGTCATGTTTTACAGGGTACAGTACAGTTGTGAATAGGACATGCCAGTCCATGGAGGGTCGCTTTATTTTATCTCTAAGTCCTTTTCAAGACTAGAAATCTTAGTTTTCGTGTGAGTATAGTGTATGATAGTGTACGAATATGTGTGTAATGCAATTTAAACTCAAGTTAATTGGCAATTATTTAAATTTACTTTTATCGCTGTCATAATGCATTATTTATAACACTAAGCAAAGAGCATTTAAAGGTTATAGGATATTAAGGAGCACAAATCTTAATGGGAGTGTAAGCAAAATTTCAAGTATGACTTAGATATCCATGTTTATAAATTCAAAAACTGATTAATCTCTACAGAATTTTGACTTTACTGCAGGTAAAAATACATGATTTAAACACTTTTAAACATGAAAATACAATATCTTCCACATTATTGATCAGACGAAGGGTATCTTTATAAATTGGGCATTGTCATCTTTGCATGAAGGGTCACTTGAAATTACGTTTACACTCCCTGGGACTGTAAGCTTAAGATATTATCCATTGCCTTTCTTTAAAAATGTGGAACACTTTTACAGAAACATCACAGTTGAAAACAATCAATGTTTTAGAGCAGAACGATATAAGATTTCATTAATTTTGACCAGTCAAAGGTTTGAAAGGTACCAAAGTTTATCGGACATGCCATGCACTCTTTGTATAATTGTCACAAGGAAACAGTCTACAGTCTCTTTAAACCTGATTAATCTACATACATACTTCTCTATACAGTCTCTTTAAACCTGATTATTCTACATACATACTTCTCTATACAGTCTCTTTAAACCTGATTAATCTACATACATATTTCCGTGTAAAACTAATTAAAATAAAAACTATCAAAAGTTAAATAAATGATTAAGCCAATATAAATATATATGTATATATATCCGTCAAAAAAACTTTTACACGATCGGCCTTAATTGCCAAATCTAGTTTTCAACTATTCAAAAAAAATATTGATACAAAAAAAAGTTAGTTGCTGCTTTCTCTGGGTTTGATGATGTATAAAACTTATAACAGACACAAGCTATACAGAAAAAGATGAAAATTAATGAATCCAGTTCAACTTTAACGTAGAGTTAGGAGCCGCTAAAAAAATATTATATTCTGCAAAATCCAATTGAACATTAACAAATCTCTCAAGTTTGTTTCAACCGTGAAGAGACAATGTATAGCTATAGCATTCACTTTTAGAATTTGATGATTCGAAGTCTTAATTTTTCATTAATTACCAGATCTCTGTTTTCATTATTATTCGAAATGTATTTCGAAATAATCCAAGTTTTATGTCTGGGTGTCTGCCTTCGGTGATGGAAGTCTGAAAATTAGTTTATTATTTATTATTGTTATTTATCATTTACAGATTGCTACATGGTGATACTGCCACTGAGGTTGAATTAAACTTACTGTGTGAGAAAGAATTGGTCATGGTCATCGACGATAAAACACCTTAAATCGAATTCTTTTTTTTAAAGAACAACTTATGATTTTAACGAATATATTTTAAAGAAATTATTTATGCAGTCTAAGGTGCTATAATGGTTTCCTGTTTTTATCTTTTACGTTTCCATAAGGGTTTCTCATACCTGTACCTATCCAGGTACAATTCAGTTTCACTTAGCTATCAATGTCTAAACCTGCAGACACAACCTTGTCATTACAGACACTAGCTTGTAACTATCAATGCCAAACCAATGGGTACGATCTTTTGAACTCAAGGTTCTGCTATAATACACTAGTCAATATCAATTCTGATACGACTCTATTTGTATTCTTTAGTATTTTATTTATCAGATAATACTAGATCTTGTCAGCTATCAATGTCAACACGGACACAAACTCAGCTATTAATATCAACAAGGATACAAGCTCTTAATCGATCAATGTCAAACCAATGGGCATGATCAGCTATCAATGTCAACATGAACACAAGCACTTAATCGATCAATGTCAAACCAATGGGCATGATCAGCTATCAATGTCAACACAAACACAAGAACTTAATCTATCAATGTCAAACCAATGGGCTCGATCAGCTATCAATGTGAACACGGGCACAAGCACTTATTCGATCAATGCCAAACCAATGGGAACAATCTCAGCTCGTATGTTTCAAGGAGGACCAAATTACTCTCAACTCTCTAATCAAAGCGAAGTCTCTATATATCAACTAACTGTATTTGGTTTCTACATTAAAGATCAAGGATGTAATGCAAGGAAAGTTATTTCAGAAGAGTACAAATCTTTTGTACTGCAGTGTACTGTCTCTGGGCGGTAATGTAAACACAAGACGGATGTCAAAGCCTGGCATGGGATCCATCTTTCACATAAATAATCAATGAAATATTCTGGTCATAGGAAACTTTTATTTGAATTATTAAAATTATCAAAATTTAATGCTTTTAACCTCCTCGGATACTAAACGAACACTGATGCATCTATTCTTGTTTACAAATACCGCCCAACTGGTTTCATTATGTACGCAGAGTATACACGACCTCAATTAACTTGCCTTGCCTTACATTTTTGTTAAAGATTAAGTATTAACCGACGTAATTACAAGCTATGCGTCGTTATATATAACATAGTTAATCTAATCACAATATAGATTTAACAGAGTTATCTTTATGAGTCACAATACGGGTTTTGACGGATTTACAGACTTTGCTAGGCTAGGCTAATCGCATTACAAGTTTTACGTAGTTAATGAAAAGCGCATTTAGATTTACAGACAATGTACAACGTAATATATCTCCGGGTATGTTCAGGTTAACGAATATGGGGATTGCTGCATTTATTACATGTATGTAAAATGTACATGTTCTAGAGAGGAGGGGAGATTAGAGGCTGGGGGGGGGGTAGAGACAGTGAGTTCCCCTGCCATGTATAAAACCAGATATTACTCAAGAAATGTCTGTTCAAGTTCATGTTCGCCGTAAACGTTTTAATAATAAGTATTTAAATTACTTCAACATACGGTCCAAACTTGTTTTAATAATTATTTAACTCTTGCGGAATTTGTCTAAATATGGTAGATTTTACTTTAAGTTTCAACATGTGCGAGTGTAAACATGACATTTCTGAAAAAGTTTGCCGAGCCATGTTTGTCAATATTTACTTTATTTTGCGCTTTGTATATCAAGTTTATGATTTGTTGGTTTGAAATCAGGATTCAAACATTCTCGAATTAGAAAACATTGGGACTCTAGGTCAAATATTAACTAAGCGTGGTAGGTTTAATAAATTTACTTTCACGTTAATCCGGTGAAAGAACTGCTGAGGCTTTAATTAATTTACTGCAGAGGTTAAGTATATTAAAGTTACAGGTTAGATCAATTGGCTACAGCTTAGATGGATTGGTTGCAGGTTAGATGGTTTAGTTTTGCAGGTTGGATAGAATTGAATATTAGGTTGGATGGATTTGTTTCAGGCTAGATAAATTTGCTATTGCTTAAATGGATTGGTTGCAGGTTAGATAATTGGGTTCCAGATTGGATGGACTGGTTGAAGGTTGGCATGGATTAGTTGGAGTTTGGCATTAATTGGTTGCATGTTATGTGGACTAGGTTCAGGTTTAATGGATTAGTTGCAGGTTTAATGGATTAGTTGCAGGTTTAATGGATTGGGTGTAGATTGGATAGATTGGTCGCAAATTGGATAGATTGATTGTAGGTTGAATGGATTGGTTTCAGATTAAATAAAATGATTCCAGATTTGATGGGTTGGTTGCTTGTTGGATGTTTTGTTTCCAGGTTATATGGATTAGGTCCGGGTTTAATGAATTGGTTGCAGGTTTTATGGATTGGTTGCAAGTTTAATGGATTGGGTGTAGATTGGATAGATTGGTTGCAATTTGGATAGATTGGTTGCAGGTTGGATGGATTGATTGCAGGTTAGATAAATTGATTTCAGATTGGATGGATTGATTGTAGGTTGGCGTGGATTGGTTGTAGGTTGGCATGCATTGGTTGCATATTTGATATATTGGTTGCAGGATATATGGACTAGGTCCAGGTTTAATGGATTAGTTTCAGGTTTAATGTATTTGTTGCAAGTTGAATGGATTGGGTGTATTTGGATAGATTGGTTGCAAGTTGGATAGATTGGTTGTAGGTTGGATGGATTGGTTGCGGGTTGAAAGATTGGTTGTAGGTTGTATGGATTTGTAGCAGGTTGGATATATTGGTTATTGGTTGCTGGTTGCATAGATTGGGTTGGTTTGTGGTAGGTTAAATGTATTTTTTGCAGGTTGGTTGGATTGGTTGTAATTGGATAGATTGGTCGTAAATGAATGGATTGTTTACAGGTTGGATGGATTAGTTACGATTTGGATTAGATGGTTGCAGGTTGGAAACAGCTTGAATTGAATGGTTGAAGGTTGGATAAATTGGTTGCAGGATGAAAAATAAATTGGTTGTACGAAGGATGGAATGGTTGCATGTAGGATATATTGGTTGCAGGTTGGATAGATTGGTTGCAGGTTGCATAAATTGGTTGTAGGTTTGATGGATGGGTAGTACGTTAGATATATTGATTTTAGGTTGGATGGATTGGTTGCAGGTTGGATAGATTGGTTGTAGGTTGGATGGATTGGTTGCATGTTGGATAGATTGGATGAAGGTTGGATATATTAGTTGTAGGTTAGATATTTTGGCTACAGATTGAATAGATTTATTGAAAGTTGGATTTATTGATTGTAGGTTGGATAGATTTGTTGCAGGTTGGAAAGATTGGTTGCAGGTTGGATTATAGGTTGTAAGTTGGATAGATTGGTTGTAGGTTAAATGGAATGGTTGCAGGTTGCATTATAGGTTGTAAGTTGGATTGATTGGTTGCAGGTTGGATTATAGGTTGTAAGTTGGATTGATTGGTTGTAAGTTGGATATATCGGTTGTTGGTTAGATAGATTGGCTTCAGGTTGGATAGATTAGTTGTAGGTTGGATGGATTGGTTGTAGGTTGGATGGATTGGTTGTATGTTGGATAGATTGGTTGTAGGTTGGATGGATTGTTCGCATGTTGGATATATCGATTGTAGGTTGGATGGATTGGTAGTAGGTTGGATGGATTGGTTGTATGTTGGATGGATTGGTTGTAGGTAGGATGGATTGTTCGCATGTTGGATATATTGGTTGTAGGTAAAATGGATTGGATCAAGTTGGTTAGATTAGTTGTAGGTTGGATGGATCGGATGTAAACTGGATGTATTGGTTGCAGGTTGGATGGATTTATTGCAGGTTGGATGGATTGGTTGCAGGTTGGATGGATTGGTTGCAGGTTGGATAGATTGGTTTTCGGTTGGATGGATTGGTTTCAGGTTGGATATATTGGTTGTAGATGGATAGATCCGTTGCAGGTTAGATATATTTGTAGTAGGTTGGATTGATTAGTGGTGTAGGTTGGATGGATTGGGTGTAGGTTGGATGGATTAGTTGTAGGTTGAATGGATTGGTCGTAGGTTGGATAGATTTATTATTGGTTGGGTGTGTTTGCTGTTGGTTTAAAAGCTTGGTTGTAGGTTGAATGAAATGATTGCAGGTGAAATGGATCGGTTGCAGGTTGGATGGATTGGTTGCAAGTTTAGAAAAAACTTAAACCAATCTGATATTCTTGAATTTATTTTAACAATGTCTCGATGAATTAAATAATATAGCTGGAAGGTGTGTAAAATAATATAGCTAGAGGGTGTGGGGGGNCCCTCCCTTTACATCATCATGTTACCATCCCTCCTTTATACCATCATGTTACCATCCCTCCTTTACACCATCATGTTACCATCCATCCATTTATATCATCATGTTACCTCCCTCCCTTTACAAGATTTAAGTCTTGAAAGTTTTAAAAGTTTCAAATGTTATCGTTATAAATACATTAAAATATATTTATCACCAGATAAAAATATCATTGAGGTTTTCTAAATTGGTTGATTTAAACAAAGCAAGCAGTATGGGATTATACAAGGAACTGTGAGAAACTAGTGTACTCCAATGACATATATATGTATTATATTCTATCTAACTAACCCTATTCCTACCCCCCCTCACCCTAGCGCGATTTTTGGACATAAATTAAAAAGCATAGGGCTATGAGACTGTTCAAATTTTTGTTCTTTTCTAACCAGCATAATTCCCTTACCTTAGGCTAAAAGCTGGGCTTTCATGCCTAGTGCTTAAATGTCTAATTTGGCATATACGTATCAGACTATACCTATTTTTAGACCCACTTTCAGTCTTTAGATTTCAACATTTGTTAGCTTTTTGGAAAGCCTAAAGGGAACATTGCAATTTTCAGTTCTTCTTGAATACACACTTAGGGTTTATCCATTTTGCGAATATTTTTGCATATTTAAATTAGCTGGGTATATTTCGCTAATTTTTTGCTTTTATACAATGTACAGTGTAGAGTGTACCAAGTATTTACAGTGTACAGCGCAAAGTGTACACTAAACAGTATACTACAGGGCAAGAAATATATAGTTCCTTGCTGCAGGGTGTCCCACGAAACATGACAGTTGGTGAATAGCTTAAAATGTCTTTATCCATTATTTGTTCAGTTGTTTGATACCAAAGATCACTGAAAATATTATAATGGAGTCAAGTTATATTAAAGTTGATTTCAAAGTAAAGTATAATTAGGCAAAAGATTTGTTTAACTAAAAATAACTATTTGTTAAATGTCATGTTTCGTGGGACACCCTGTATGTGAGCTATAATTACTAACCCTAAAATTACCTAAATGTTGATGTTGAAGCCATTCTTCTAAACATTCACCATAACTCTCACAAAACTAAGAATAATACAGGATAAGACTTTAGAGATGACTTTTTAAAGTTTTTACATTTATGGCGATAGTTGCAGAATCTTAAATCTTTCTTTGACAAATCATTGATTAACTTAATTGAAGACATATTAAGATTATATATTTACATAGTTGCAGGTCGTAATAAAAGTATAATTTCTCATGGGTAACCCAGTAGCTCAAATAATTGTTCATATTTTTATGAAATAAAATGCTTTATTAAATCATTTAAATACGGTTATTAGTTTAACTTTTATTTTTCGATCTTTTGACATTTTGACTTGGAAAGTTTTTGTCGCCGTAGCATTATATTTATTTCTAGCTTGAAAAACCAACGTTGCCATAGTTACTCCCGCCGTTTACCCGCGCTTGGTCGTTAATCACGATTTTCGCTATTTTTCCCTGTAAACTTAATTTTTAGCTATTTTTCCCTCCAAACACTTAATTCAAAATCTCAAAATTAAGCTAAGAACATTCCCGTGGTTCTTCCGAGTTGTCCAATCAAAATTTGAGGTAAATCGGTCCAGAGGTTCATGCGTTATGATTGGACATACAAACGGATAAACAGAGATAACAAGTTTACATATGTGGAATATAGATATTTATTTTTATACCTGATGTGTTTGTTTGAGCCTTTGCAAACTTTTTCTGATTTTAAATAATTAATTTTTAGAGATTTTAGAAATTGTTTATTATAAGCATAATCTTTTATCAGTTTTATTTTCTATTTTTTGCTAAAACATTAATGATTTAAAATCCCTGACGAGTGAGTCAATTATCTTGGACTGTTCTTCTTTGGATAGGTTGGACATATCCGTTTTAAATTCAGGATCATCATTATAATCATAATCATCATCATCTTCTTCCTTCAACTCCTCATCACCGTCGTCCTTCTTCTGCTTTTCTTCTAAACTTTTCCAGTTTGTATCCCCTTCGTTGCTCTGTTTTATAGAAGAAGAACTTTTATGCTGGACCTCAAATTTTTCAAAAAGAACTGGACCTATAAATAAAACCAGAGTAAAGTAAAATTTGCGAAAATTATTTCTTCTTAAGGCAGAAAAAATCTAAACGACCAGAGAATAAAAACGTATTGTATTGGTTATCTAAAGATTTGATATTGGTAAGTAGATAAATGTAAGTAATTTTAAATTAACATTTTTTTCACTTAGAAGTATACTGGTTTAATGCAAGTCCCGGTTCAAGGTGAATCGCCACCATTTTATATTGAAAGCTGCCAGGATAAGTTAAAATCATGTTTGACTTCAACACTGTTAGATGGAACACAAACCTTATGTTTAACCTATCGAAATTGACCGAAGCAAGCTAGACATATCGAAATCCGTCAATGACCTAGCTAGACGTTTCGAAATCGGCCGAAGCTAGCTAGCCATTTAGAAATTGATCAAGCTAGACATCTCAAAATTGATCAAAGACAGTTTTAAATATTAAAATATTATAAATCTCTCCGAATTAGTAAATATGAATTAGCCAAAAGATTAATTTTGTTAAGTTCAATTGAATTGCAAAACTTGTAAAATAAAACCTAAAAAAGGTTTATTAAACAGGGTAATTGTAAAACTGTAACTTCATTCAACATAAAACAATAAGAAACCCAATTAAAACGAAACATATGATGTTTTCCCCTGATATTAAATTAATGAATGCACTCATGCATATTGCAAAGTGTGCAATCACGCTCTTTTATGCATTTTTTAAAAAGAAACAATTTCATAATTGCTTTAATTTATGCTTAAAATGTAAGAAAACAAATAAATGAACCTTTCAGACTAAAAGTTTCGAAATTTTGTCCCCAATATAGGAATTTTTTTGACACATGTTTTCTAATAAAGGTTAAATGTATACATTTAAAGAAAGTCTGCTATAACATCAGTATATAACGTGTTTTCCAAAACTCATCAACATGACGTATTTTAATCTCAACGCAATATCTGTCTTACTCGAAATTTTAAATCACAGAATGCACAGCACAGATAGGACAAATATCTTAGTAAAATAAAGAAAGTTATTTACATTCACAAATGTATTATATACAGCCTAGAATATTCATTTTAGGATACACTTTTTAGGATATACAGTTTAAGATATACAGTCTTAAGTTTACATACAGTCTAGAATATTCATTTTAGGATACACTTTCTAGGATATACAGTTTAAGATATACAGTCTTAAGTTTACATACAGTCTAGAATATTCAGTTTAGGATACACTTTCTAGGATATACAGTTTAAGATATACAGTCTTAAGTTTACATACAGTCTAGAATANCATACAGTCTAGGATTTACAGTCTAAGATTTACAGTCCAGGATATACACTTTCTAAGATATACAGTCTTGGGCATACAGTCTAGGATTTACAGTCTAAGATATACAGTCTAGGATATACAGTCTAGGAGGTTAAAAAAATAAGCAGGCCTCGGTGTTTAACAGACTAATAGTCTGGTTGGTTAATTGGCTAATTGGTTTATTGGTCGATAGGTTCTTTGATCAATAGGTTTGTTGGTCGGGCTCCTCAACTCGGACACAGTAGTCTCCAATAATCAGTAAATATATATATTTCAAACCTGTAATAAAATAGGTATAGTAAAAACTAATATTGACAATGTATTAATTTAGTTGAATATTTAAAATATATCTTACTAGTTTTCTGTGACGGAGTGAGCGGAGTCATTAGGGTTTGGGGGTTTGATGGAATAGTTTTATACATTTGTAAATACTTCAGTGAATATAAAACCGGTTTTTTAAAGTAAATTAACTATTCATTGCAAAGTTATTTATGGATTTGATCTTTTACTTAGTAAAACGTTTCGCTGTTTGTTGTTTCTATTGTCGGAGTATAGATAAATTTGAGACTTGCTTCGGTTTGGTTTTTCTCCGAGGGAGGTTTTGGTAAAGACGACTTGCGGGGGGGGTTAGAAGTTGTATTTAAGGTCAACAAGGATATACAGTCTAGGATGTACAGTCTATGTACACTGTCTTTTTTCTATAGGAATACAGTCTAGGATATACAGTCTATAACATACAGTCTAGGATATACAGTCTAAGATATAGTCTAGGATATACAGTATAGGATATACTTTATAGCATATACAGTCTAGGATAAACAGTCAAGGATAAACAGTATAGGATATAATTTATAGCATATACAGTCTAGGATAAACAGTCAAGGATAAACAGTATAGGATACAATTTATAGCATATACAGTCTAGGATTAACAGTCTAGGACATGCAGTCTAGGATATAGTCTATGATATACAGTCTAGAATATACATTCTAGGATACAGTCTAGGATAAGCAGTCTAGGATATACAGTCTAGGATATACAGTCTAGGATATACAGTCTAGGATAAACAGTCTAGGACATACAGTGTAGGATACAGTCTAGGATATACAGTCTAGAATATACAGTCAAGGATACAGTCTAGGATAAACAGTTGAGGAGAAGAATATAAGATCTAGGAATATGGTGTCAAATATAAAACATGAAGAAGTAACTAAAGTAACTAATAATTACACCACCTCTACTGTATCTAAGAATATTGCATGCCGTGGTGAATGCTTCCAGCTCTACTCGGAGAAAGTCGAGATCCATCCGAACCTCGTTCAACATATCCCTTTCATTCGTTGATCTTTTGATCCCAGGCGACCATCTTCTTCCAACCTTTAACCAATCTTGAGAGCTGGAAATATGCACGGCTAATCGATTATCAGAACTAGGATTCGGTAGGTTTAATCGATTCTTTGGGTGAGAATATTTTACTATGGTTTCTGCTGATTTTGTGTTATTATCTTGAACCCTCAGACCGCGTGGCTGATGTTTGGGTTGGAAAAGGGTTTGATGTCGTAATGGATTATCTATGATAGTGTGAAGGGTGAGAGGTAATCCTCCGTAAACAGCTCCACCAGCAATCTAGGACAGAGAAGTTAGTAAACCTATAGGAGAGATAAACCTAACCTTAGTAAATCTGCAGTACATATATAAACCAAACCTTAGTGAACCTGCAGAAGAGATACACCACCTTATAGTAAACCTGTATGAGAAATAATCCTAACCTTTGAAAACCCGCTGGTTGTATATAAACCTAATCTTAGTAAATCTTTGGGAGAAATAACCCTAACCTTATAAAACCCGTAATATATATAAACCTAACCTTTTATATATATATACTAGAAATTCAAGGCGCTTCACGCCCTTCTTTTTAAGCTTTTAGGGCGCTTCGCGCCCATCTTCTATTTAAATTGTGCACATGTTCTTTTTGTTTACATTTCAAAACAAAGATGAAAAAAGTTTTGCGGATTTTTAAAAAAAAATTAGCGGATTTTCAAAAATTTTAATTTTTTACAAAATTAAAAACCTCTAAAACACAAATTTTTAAAATTTCAATCATTCATAAACCTTCCCTGGGGTCCCTAGATGTCCCACAAAAAATTTGGGCCCGATAGGTTCAGCCGTTTTGACGTTTATTGGATACAAACAGACAGACAAACAGACAAACAGACAAACAGACAAGCCAAATTTATATATAGATATATAGACAAACCTAACCCTAATAAACCTGTATTATATTCATAAACCTAACAATTGTAAACTTGTATATATAAATAGATAAACCTAACTTTATTAAACCTGTTTTATATATATAAACCTAATCTTAGTAAACCTGTATTATATATATAAACCTAACCATAGTAAACTTGTATATAAAGATAAACCTAATCTTAGCAAAACCTGTATTATTTATATAAACCTAACCATAGTAAACCTGCAGATAAAGATAAACCTAACCTTAGTAAACCTGTAGATAAAGATAAACCTAACCTTAGTAAACCTGTATTATATATATAAACCTAACCATAGTAAACCTGTAGATAAAGATAAACTTAACCTTAGTAAACCTGTAGATAAGCATAAACCTAACCTTAGTAAACCTGTAGATAAGCTTAAATAAAGGTCTGCTCCAGTCTAGTGTAAGAAACGCATAATTAATATTTCCTATTGAAAATGTCGTCTTTATAAAAAAAATTAGAGCTTGTTGACCCAAACTGTTTCAATCTAAATTTTTGATAAAAAATTGTGTTTTCCATTCGTGCAGACGTCACAAAATTTAGGAATGTAAAATGCGTCCATAAACCGGTATCTATATTTGAAGCCAGAGCCAGAAATTTTAGACATTTAGAATTTTTGATTTTTGATTTTATTTTTTAAAATAATATTTAGCTCACAACTTGTTTTCGAACATTCCTGGAAAATATTAAAATGTCGTCTTCATTACCAAAAATCCTCAAAACAGGAATAAATGTTTTTATAAGTAACTCTCAGATCATAACAATTAAAACATATTATGAAAAATCAACTATATATAAATGTGGCGAAAGATAATCGATGACTATAGGTTGTAATATCTGAATGATTTGTTTGAAATTAAATTGATTTTTTACGGTCTAAGTCATATGTTGCATCTTTCTGATTTGTATGGACAATACGTTTTTCGGTATTAGTCGTTTTTTACAATTTTCTCTTTATAGACGCAACAGATAGAAGTAAGATTAGAAGCGATCAAAAGCGCTTTTATATCGCATTAAGCCTATACCCCCTTTCATTTTTCGTGAACACTCCCTTTAAGGTAATAGGTATTGAATATTGAAGAAACCGTACATAAAATAGTAAACGCAACCTTGGATCGATATCACACGTTTAACAAGTGTTCTGTCAAAAACACGGTTTAAACTGATTTAAATGTTTCCGTCTCCAGAGTACTAATCAAAGAAGAAAGTGACCTTATAGAGAATACCTAACGGCTCAATATTACATATCTGAGCCAACAGAGTCAGACTTTATTCATAATTCTAAATTTGAAGCTCAGGCAGTTTAGAAAGAAATGTTAAAAAGGGGGGCAAAGCCATAGGAAGGGGTAGCAGGGATAAATATGAATATCCGGAAATGTGTATTAGTTAAGGTTTCTTTTATTCTGACCTAACCTTGACTATATGCTTGCCATTGTTTAGTTTCCTCACAATATGTCCGGAAGACGGTAAATAAATATATAACCTTATATAAATTCTCAAGCTTATATTCAAAAACATGTTTATGTAGATTTAGAATTGGACCAAAGAATGTACTAAGGATTTGAGTTTTGGTCACAAACCCTCCAATTTCCAAGACCGTAAACAAATCAATTTAATTCCAAACAAATCATTCAGATATTACAACCTATAGTCATCAATTATCTTTCGCCACATTTGTATATAGTTTATATTTTATAATATTCTTTAATTAATTTGTTTCCAATTTGATTATTTCTCTTGTCTCTTGCGCAACTATCTAAGAATGCCGCGCACCACTCACATTTTTCGAAATCCGTTAAAAACGTTTTCTTTAAAAAATAAAATATTATAAAATATAAACTATATACAAATGTGGCGAAAGATAATCGATGACTATATGTTGTAATATCTGAATGATTTGTTTGAAATTAAATTGATTTTTTACGGTCCAAGTCGTATGTTGCAGTTGCAATTTTCTGAATTTGTGTGGGCGCTAAGTTATTCGGTATGAGACGTCTTTAACAATTTTCACCTTATAGACGCAACAGATAGAAGTAAGATTAGTAGCGATCAAAAGCGCTTTTTTATCGCTTTAAGCCTATACCCCCTTTTATTTCTCACGATGAGATTGTAAAGCGTTCGGAAACTCAAATAATATGACAATCATAAAAATAGTCTTCTACCTTGAATACATTCTTTAAAGGGCTTATCTTATGATTTGCCAAAGGAAAAAAGACATTTACTGTGGCAAGAAAACGTGCATTTTAGGAGACAGACATTAAAAATTCCTTAAAATCGTTTCTTAAGTCTCATCCTTTGTGGGTCACCCTGTAGATCTTAGATATTTCATAAATTCTGTTGGATCAAATAATTTAAGTTATAAAAAACAAAGGTTTGATTGACAAGATATAGGGATTAGAAAGTGTGTGACAAAAACTCAGTTCCTTTTCATGATACTTTAAAAGTACAAAAGGAAAAAAATCAATTTTCTTTAGAACTTATTCTTGGGTATGTTATAATTTGCAAATGCAAGCATCATTTGATCAAACCCATCATGGTTATTGTTTTCTTTGATGCAATCTTAAAAAAACTTTGACATTTTTATGAAAATCTTTCATTTTGTAAAAAACTTTTATCCTTCTCTCAAAATATCTAAGTGTTTTAATTCTTTAATTATTGAATAGGTTTTATATTAATTATTTTTTTTAAATTATAATTTGTATGACTTTTGCTGGTGCAAAAATTATTTGACATTTTTGATGAAATAGTTTCACGCTTAATTTAGAAAATTTTAAAAATAATTTTATGATGAATATTTTCAATCAGGATAACCACTAACCAATACCTTTAATGTGGTTTAAAAATCCAAATTAAAATTGAACCAATGTTTCAGTGTTAATTGTAAATTGCATAATTAATAATTGTGCAAGGTGAATACTGAACATTCCGTGTCCTAATTTTTGTTCTTTTATTTAAATTATTTTATCTGCGTTACAAACATGAAAAATAAAAGTACAAAATAACGCAATAATTAACCAATATAAAGACGACTTTCCTGTGTACACTGTAAGTACTGGACATTGCGCATTTGCTGCAACTATTGCGTATCCACGCCGCTCTCCCCATTCAGAATCAAACATGGCCTGCTTACCCCCTCCAGGAGCAATGCCAAGAAATCTGGAAAAAAAACCTTGTTAAAACTTATCCATTTTTAAGCTTAGATCATTCTTGTTTACACTGCATGCTGCATAGGGTTCACAGTGGGCATAACAATTGATCACCTTCGATCATTGATCACTATTCAATGTGTAGCTTAATTTTTAAGATGGCATTTGCTTTTAAGTTGTTCGACTCTTTAATAAACCTTTCGTCATCGTATAGTTTCCAAAGGACATAGATGCTCTTTAAGTCGTCGTTTAATTGTCATTTTAGTGGTACACTCTGTACGGGAAATTAGCTTATTCACTGCACACTAACCAGAAGGAGAAGGTCAATTTTAATTGACATTACTATCACAGCTTTGAGACTCCGTTGCTCTTCTAGTTCTGATTTTACGCACAAGTGTAAGAAAAGCTACTTTATACGGTTACATATTATAAATTCAAAACATTTTTGTTCTTTTCAATATCTTTTCAATAACAGAAGTTATGATCAAAAACATATAAGTTGTCAATCTTACTTGCAGTTTACTTTAGTTTGACTAAAATAATTTTATTAAAGCTTTTACAGAAAAAAAATATTCAATTCGAGGGTACTCTTTTATATTTAATCACACTTTAATATTAAACTAGCTTGGGAACCCAGCGTTGCCCAGGGGAGTCATGATTTAGTCCCACCGTTAACCCGTCCTTTGTCATGAATTACGATTTTAGTGATTTTAAAATTTTTTTAATAGATTTACTCAATTTAGAATCTTAAAACTAAGCTAAGAATATTCTTGTGGGGCTCCCAGATCAAGGTTTGAGGCAAATCGATCCAGGGGTTCCTGAGTTATGATCGGACAAACAAAGAGACAGAGATAGACAGACAAACAGAGATATGTTCAATGTTCAATAAAAGGAGTATGCTTTTTTTCCATTTATTGACCTGTAGCATAATTGAAGAATTATATATTTTTGCAAGGAAACCATCAAAAAATTATTTTATTTACAAAAATCTGTATTTTATAATTTCTAGCGATAAAATAAACTTACCTTCCCTCTTTCAGTTTCTGGATACACTCCTGTCTGTTGGGGGATGAACACCGTAGTATTTTTGTTAAAGTCTACATCAAACAATATCTCTTGAATTATAATAAGTTAATAGATCTGATACATGTTTGGTACAAAAATTAAAATAAAATTTTTAGGGTCAAGGGTTAAATATTTTATCTTTCCCTAGAGACAAGGACTGTTTTTAACCGTTTTTAAACATTTAGCATTTTTAGCCTTTCAAGAGACTTCACAAAAGTTTGAGAAGTTTGATATTTTTTAGAATTTTATTCTCTAAAAGTTTGCTTTCAGTTTACTTTACAAACCGTTCGTAAACGAACAATTGATTTTGTTCAGACTCAAAGAGTGAAAACGAAAACTGAAAAAAAATAATATTTTGAAATGTGTAAAACTTCGTAGATTTTATGAAGCCTCCAGAAAGTAGGAAAAAATCCTAGAATAGCTTGGACACCGTGTTTCAGGCTCTAAACTTAAGCACGGTTTGAAACTGTCTTCTCCTTAAACGCATAAAATTATAAATAATTTCAAGATTGCATTCCTGAAGTCCTGGCATCAGCATTAACGATCGATCAACAACACTTTCTATTATTCGACCTAAAATAATCAGTTTGTATTTCGTATAGGTAGTGATGAAACGAACCATAAACGAACTAAAAACGAACCATGAACGAATTATAAACGAACCATAAACGAACCATAAATGAACCATAAACGAACCATAAACGAACCATAAACGAATTATAAACGAACCATAAACGAACTAAAATTCAACCTAAAAACGAACTATAAACGAACCATAAACGAAAGTGTTAAAATTATCATTTTGGATTTTATAAATGCTGCAAAGTTTAATAAAGAAAACTTCAAAAGAAAACAGTTTTGAAATCTTTTAACTTTTGAAAAAAATGTTTAAAACAAACCAAAATGATAAAGCGTAATGTGTGAGTAAGTAATTGTTTAAATATTTTTTACAACGTTTTTTTTGCTGAAAGGGGTGTAATGTGATTGTTAAAATTTATGTACCCCCAGCAGGAATAGGGTTAAGCACGGTTTCAAACTTTGTTCTCCTGAAACACTTCAAATTATGAATAATTTCAAGATTGCATTCCTGAAGTCCTGGCATCAGCATTAACGATCGATCAACAACGCTTTCTATTATTCGACCTAAAATAATCAGTTTTTATTACGTACAGGTAGTGATGAAACGAACCAAAAACGAACCATGAACGAACTAATAACGAACGAACGAGATTAGCCCAAAATGTATTTGAACTTTGAAATAAAAGTTTATACCATGTGTTAAGAATACATTATGTAATATTGCACATTGGCCCCCACCCATGACCTAGACCATGGTATAATCATATTTAACAAGACAGTGATGAATAACTACCCGTCAAGCAAACCTTAAAGTTTTACCAAACAGTTTTATCATCTCAAGGTGGGGAGAGAGAGGTAAAAAATTTATATAATTAGTTTCATACAGGGTGTCCCAAAAACATGCAAATTTACTTACAACATTGAGTTGTTGATAGATTGTCAATTGGTGTATAAAAAAAGCTGATTAGTGAATTATGTATAAAGAGCTTTCCAAAGTTAGTCTATCTTAAAAATTGCTTAGGGTAGTAAATCTTTAGACGGATTTTATTTTATTTAATCAAAATAATTCTTTAAATGTCCTTTAATTAACGGTACAAAAATAAGAGAGCTCATGAAGGAAATCTAATTCTTACCATTGGTAATCATTTTAACTTAAATCCTCTGTTAGTGTGTGTACGAAACAATGCCTAATAATCGTCATTAATTTCACGTTTTCTAGGACACCCAGTGGAACACTATAGTGTATAAATATGGTCAACAATTATGGTTTAAACCAAACCTAATTTGTAATCCGGGCACGTAGGTTTAACTAAATAAATATAAACAAACCATGTTCACTGCGGATATTATTTATTAAAACTAATTACAAGATGTTAGGTAATTTCCCAAATGAGTTTTCCCATGTGGCAACTTTTCAAAGGTATTTTCCCATGTGGCAACTTTTCAAAGGTATTTTCCCAAGTGGATACTTCCCAACTTTGCAATTTCCCAAACGGCAACTTCCCAAGTCTATCCTAACCGTAACGCTCGGACCCCATTGCAGCTTGCGTTCCCTTAGAGGGCCTGAAATAACCCTTGGGAAGTTGCCGATGCACATTTGGGAAGTTCCCACTTGGGAAGTCGCCCTCGGGAAAATGTCTTTGGGTAAATACCTAACACCAATTATAACACTATTATTTTAATTCGTAGGGCTTTAAAGTTTTTGGACAGAAATTTTCTCTTTATCGAGAAGGTTCAAGCCTTTTAAAATTATATTTTGTCCCGAGCTTCAGCAGTTATAAGTACAAAATAGATTCATAAAAATATTTCAAGGAACTATTAACCTATTTGAAAGTACACTTAATATGCCAAACAAAGAAGGTGTCATATGTTGGCATTATATTAAACCTTTACAACTTTTTAGAAAAGTTAAAATACTTAATCCTCAGCGACAATTAATAATCCTACAATGCTGTTCAGTCCGGTTCATTTCAAGAACCGATCCGACATCCAACCAGCTAGGGCGAGCTGTACAGTACACATACAGATTATACAAGGCAAAGCGGGACGGTACACCAGATAAACCAGCCCCTCCTTCTACGGAAATTCTAGTAGAATATTGTTGTCATAAAATAATTTGAAACCTGCTAAAACATAATTATAAAACAAACCTTTTTTGAGGTAAAGAAACGCTACGAGGTAGATATAATCTATAGGCAGGGTTCCATGATGGTAGATGAACAAACAACCACCTTAAACAAAAGGAATTGAGTCTTTGCCAAAAACTAAAATTTTCTAATCCTAATTCCTCCTGATGATGACAGCTTTTGATATGTCAAACTTCGATTGTTTTATCTAGTAGAATTCCTATAGTTTGAAATATTTAGTGTCTATACATTGGCTTGCTAGGATATAGGGGTTGTAAGACAGTGTTTGTGGCAAAGACTAAATTCTTTTAATTAATCTGTTTTTGCCAATTTAATTAAATGTTTGATAACTGAATGAAAAAGAAGTCTTCAGTTCTTAATACTGATATTTTCCAACAATTTCTCCGCACCTTTGATAAATAAAAATTCCACTAGATGAAACAACTTAAACATTATTGGTTTACATAGATATGTTGATTAGAAAACTAGACAGTTCTTCTACTCTCCAGTATCATATTATCTACCTTATTAAGTATATTCTCCAGTCCTTCTACTCTCCAGTATCATATTATCTACCTGTATTAGGTATATTATCCAGTTCTTCTACTCTCCAGTATCCTATTATCTACCTGTATTAGGTATATTCTCCAGTCCTTCTACTCTCCAGTATCATATTATCTACCTTATTAAGTATATTATCCAGTTCTTCTACTCTCCAGTATCCTATTATCTACCTGTATTAGGTATATTATCCAGTTCTTCTACTCTCCAGTATCCTATTATCTACCTGTATTAGGTATATTCTCCAGTCCTTCTACTCTCCAGTTATGAAGGAAGGATCCAATACAAAGGAATAGTTCTGCTGCTTGTGCTCTAAACAATAAACAATTCAAACCCTGACTGTGGTATAAAACTTGTTTTTAACAACACTATAATAGATCGAGGACAGATTTTAGATCCTTTATCTCTTCATTACAGATAGGTAATGGAATGCTTCAGACCCCAACAAGATATTAGAAAGCAAAAAAAAGTTGTGGCGGACAAGTTGTCCTACTTTCCGCTTGTAACTTTCCTTTCTGTTTTATTTTTTCGATACATTTAATTATGCCAATCTCCATTTTGTTATGTTCTTTTTATATTAATTTTGTTTTATGTAATCTTTTTCTTTTGATCCATGTAAAATTTTGTAAGTAAACAGTGCTAAATGTATATTAATCTAATTTAAAATAAAATATTTTATGTTCAAATTCGTCGAAAATATATATAGCTAGCTTGTGAACCCAGCGCTGCCAAGGTTACTAAAAATTACTACTGGCCGTTTACCCGCACATGAACGGGAAACTAAATTTTCGCTATTAAAGTCGACCCACCCAACTTAGAATCTCAAAACCAAGCAAAGAACATTCCCGTGGGTCTCCCGAGTTCCCAAATCAAAATTTGAGGCAAATCAGTCCAGGGGTTCATGCGTTATGATCAGATATCAAACAGAAATATATACAAACAGAGATTACATTTTTATAATATAGATTATTATTATTATTACAACTTTTTCTATTGTTATACCTTAGTTTAGGTATCTCCTTCTTCAAGCTTAATTTACCGACTATTCTAAAAAAAACAATATTTTTGTTGACAAAAGATCTGAAAACTTGTCACAAGCACTAATTGTCTAACCTTCATACATTAGAAAACTTTTTATTTTCAACTTAATGTATCATTCTATGGCATGCATTCATTTAGTTATGAATGGAAAACTTAAAAAAACGTTTTCCGCAAAAATTCCTGTCAAAATATTTCCCACATAATGTTCCCTCCCTGTCATGAAACGTTTCCCCCATAATGTTCCCTGTCATGAAACGTTTCCCACATAATATTCCCTGTCTGAAACGTTTCCCGCATAATGTTCCCTGTCATGAAATGTTTCTCACAAAATGTTCCCTGCAATGAAACGTTTCCTACACAATGTTCCCTGCCATGAAACGTTTCCTACATAATGTTCCCTGTCATGAAACCTTTCTTACATAACGTTCCGTGTCATAAAAGTTTCCTACATAATGTTCCCTGTCATGAAACGTTTCCTACATAATGTTCCCTGTCATGAAACGTTTCCTACATAATATTCCCTGTCATGAAACGTTTCCCACATAATGTTCCCTGTTATGAAACGTTTCTTACATTATGTTCCCTGTCATCAAACGTTTCCTACATAATTTTCCCTGTCATGAAACGTTTCCTACATAATGTTCCCTGTCATGAAACGTTTCCTACATAATATTCCCTCTCATGCAACGTTTCCCACATAATGTTCCCTGTTATGAATTGTTTCCTACATAATGTTCCCTGTCATCAAACGTTTCCTACATAATGTTCCCTGTCATGAAACGTTTCCTACATAATGTTCCCTGTCATGAAACACGTTTCCTACATAATATTCCCTGTCATAAAACGTTCTCTACATAATGTTCCCTGTCATGAAACGTTTCCTACATAATGTTCCCTGTCATGAAACGTTTCCTAAATAATGTTCCCTGTCACGAAACGTTTCCTACATAATGTTCCCTGTCATGAAACGTTTCCTAAATAATTTTCCCTGTCATGAAACGTTTCCTACATAATATTCCCTGTCATGAAACGTTTCCCACACAATGTTCCCTGTCATGAAACGTTTCCCGCATAATGTTCCCTGTCATGAAACGTTTCCCACATAATGTTCCCTGTTATGAAACGTTCCTTACATAATGTTCCCTGTCATCAAACGTTTCCTACATAATGTTCTCTGTCATGAAACGTTTTCTACATAATGTTCCCTGAAATAAAACGTTTCCTACATAATATTCCCTGTCATAAAACGTTCTCTACATAATGTTCCCTGTCATGAAACGTTTTCTACATAATGTTCCCTGTCATGAAACTTTTTCTACATAATATTCCCTGTCATGAAACGTTTCCCACATAATGTTCCCTGTCATAAACCTTTTCTCACATAATGTTCCCTGTCATCAAACGTTTTCTATATAATGTTCCCTGTCATGAAACGTTTCCTACATAATGTTCCCTGTCATGAAACGTTTCCTACATAATGTTCCCTGTCATGAAATGTTTCCCAAATAATGTTCCCTGTAATGAAACGTTTCCCACATATTGTTCCCTGTTATGAAACGTTTCTTACATAATGTTCCCTGTCATAAAACGTTTCCTACATAATGTTTCCTGTCGTGAAACGTTTTCTACATAATATAATAATATTCCCTGTCATGAAACGTTTCCTACCAAATTAATCCCACTGAACGTTTACTTTCGGGATTCCACTGTATGATATGAGATATAAAATTATACCTAATATGGATTATTGATAGGTTTAGGTATATGTTCAGAGTAAAGAATAGACAAAGAAGCAGAATAGGAGCAGGCCATAGCATTAGAAACATAACAGTATCCTAGAATAATCAGGAACATAACAGTATCCTAGAATAATTAGAAACATAACAGTATCCTAGAATAATTAGGAACATAACAATATCCTAGAATAATTAGAAACAAAACAGTATCCTAGAATAACTAGAAACATAAAAGTATCCTAGAATAACTATGTAAAACATAACAGTATCCTAGAATAATTAGGAACATAACAGTATCCTAGATTAAATAGGAACATAACAGAATACTATATAGAATAAATAGAAACTTAACAGTATCCTAGAATTATTTGGAACATAACAGTATCCTAGAATAATTAGGAACATAACAGTATTCTAGAATAATTAGAAACATAACAGTATCCTATATTAAATAGGAACATAACAGAATACTATATAGAATAAATAGAAACTTAACAGTATCCTAGAATTATTTGGAACATAACAGTATCCTAGAATAATTAGGAACATAACCGTATCCTAGAATAATTAGGAACATAACAGCATTCAAAATAATTAGGATCATTGGTTCCAAAATAAATTTACAAAACACATCAAATTAAAATGGAAAAATAATTGTAATAAATCCTTGTTCAGAATAGAAACATTTACGATTAAAAATACACACACAGTCCCTTCAAATCCTTTAATTTTACTACCTGAATAAATTTAATGATGTAGAGTAAAGGTATCTTAAGTCTCCTGGTTGATATCCGCCCAGCTAACCTAAACGAGCTGACCTGCTCACCCAGGTTCAATAACCTAGACAAGTTGACCTGCTCGCCCAGGTTCAAAAGCCTAGACAAGTAAACCTGCCTAGCTTCTATCACCGGCCCAGCTACTGCCTACCAGATATTTTACTTAAGAGTTCTTAATATTGGTTAAATTTATCTGTACCAAAACTGATGAGCTTGATATCCCAGGACCAAGCAATTTACCCTATCCCTATTAATAAATTTTTAGTCAAAGACCAAATTAAATGTTCATCCACCGGTTTTTGGTCATAAAAGGAACAGTAAATGTGATTTCAAATAATCCTTTAGTTAAAGATTCACAACGGTACCTTTTAAACCTTACAATGATTAACCATGAATTAGATATCATTAATTTTCTAGCTAAACATTTATTATTCTTAATTGTAGTTTCTTTATAAAAGTTTCTTGCGGATGTTTACTGCAGAGACAAATTAGGAACTTGTCAGTAATCAGAACACTTCAGGGAAGAAAAACTACGGAAAAAGGGTCTCTATTGTTATTCAGATAAAAGTGTAAAGAGTACTATTGTAAATCGGTTAATGAAGGGTTATTCAAAATTACAATTTGTCAAATAATTTATCATAAAATAAAATATCTATTCCTGGATGAGGTTTGTTAACTCTGAACACCAGACCGAGGAGAGCTGTGCAGTGTTCTCGGTATCTCCGGGTATACCTAGAGCAGGACTTGGTACGGAAACTATTACACCCTGATCCTCTAAATCTTCAAGTTTACTCAGACTTGCAGGATTAATCGAATCTCCCGGTATACCTATATCTGAACTGAGAACAGCTACCATAGATCCATGATTATTTGTATCTCCAGATAAACCTAGAGCAGAGCTTGGAACAGATACCTTAGATCCATCATTTTCTGTATTTCCAGGTAAACCTGGAGCAGAACTTGGAACAGATACTTTCAAATCTTGAAACTCTGGGTCTCTGATTATATCTGGATCAGAACTTGGAACAGCTACCGTAGATCCGTGATTTTCAGAATCTCGAGGTACTCCTGGATCAGATACATGAGCCTCCGTGTCTCTGACAATATCTTGATCAGAACTTGGAACAGTTACCGTAGATCCACGATTTACCCTTTCTTCAGGAAAACCTGGAGCATAACTTGGAACAGATATGAATACATCCATATCTTCTGTATCTCCGGATGTACTTGAAGCATAACTTGGAACAGATACGATTACACCCATATCTTCTGTATCTCCGGATGTACCTGGAGCAGAACTTGGATCCGCTTGATTTGGTGTATCTGAATTTTGTCCGAGAACGTTAAACCCCTGATCCTTTGTAACTCCGGATAAATATTGAGATGAACTATCTATAATCAAGAACTTATCTTCAGAACCATCTATTCCCTTTTCAGCAGATGCCACCAAAGCGTCATCTTCATGGTCTTCTGTCCCTTTTAGAGCAAAAGCTATCAAAGCCTGATATTTCTTACCCTCCAGTCTCATCGGAGAGGCGAGGATCAAATCCTGATACTCCGTCATCTGCAGATTTATTTACTATCAATGACGATATTCAGTCAAATCAGTAAAAAAACTTGTTCTGCAAACAAAAATATCAATTTAAGTTTTATAAATTTGTCTCCATCTTAGTACAGTGAAAACCAGAAAAATATGGAATATGTAGACGTCATTAAAACAATAATTAAGGGTATTTGAGGTTGTTACAAAATGGGTCTGTTTATAATGAACAACTGCTGTCTCTCATGATAATTGGACTGCTTAAAGTCATAACTTGAGTATGAAAGTCGTCTTGCTGTTTTCTGATTCTCACGGTAGGATATAAAAAATGTTGATATCTATTCCTAGCATTCTGCTCATAATTTCGAACTAAACATTTGTAATAATAATATGCTTTCGCTTATTCGATATTTCGAATAAAATGTTAGAGTGTTCCTATCACTGTGTACCTGGCCGAATATATTAACATACTTGATATGGAATTCTGATAACCAACTAGCTGGTACTAGAAAATAAACAACATGTGAAGTATTTATATCTCTAAGATAAATAAGATAAGAAAGTGTGAATAATATACAGGGTCCCCGCCGCTAAATTTATCACTTTGGTTGAGGGTGACCCCTCATATTTTAGGCAAAGTCACTTGCCAATCTTCTAGTTCGATTTCAAACTGAAATTTCACTGACATAAAACAAAACTAGTGTTTATTTTTTTTAAGACATTTACAATGAATTACGATCGACAGACCAACAAATTTAGGAATTCAAAGAGTGTCAAACTTACACTGCATATTTTTATAAAAAAAATTAACTATTCAATTATAATTCTTTTTTTAATCAAAAATTAAAGTTTGCAAGTTTTTACAAAAATTAAAATTACAATGACAAAGTGTGAAATAATATACAGGGTCCCAGCGCTTTAGTTTAGGAAGGCCCTTAAAATGTTGTACAAAGCCATTTATGGATGTTACCCATTTTCATGGTTCGATTTAAAACTGAGGTGGAGGATTTCAAACCACTAAATTAAAAAGACATAACATAGTTGAAATAAAGAAAACCTAAATTTTAGAAATTAAAATATTTTTAAAGCATTTTTAATGAGAAATATACTACGGGTGGGACAATTTGTCACTTTTTTGTTAAATGTTTTGATCCTTATATCATTTTTTAAAATCCATGACTATGACAAAAAGCATCAAATAGTGTCAATGCAAAGATAATCACACCTTTGCGCTGGAATTCTGAATGAGAAATTGACTTTTTCTCAGGCCACGGGTGTCTTTGAAAATTAAAACTAATACCAATGAATAGCTAGTCATATTTTGATATTTTCCTTAATAAATATTGTTTTTGGTTGATTCCAATAGTTCGGATTCTGTGAAGGTGGTATCAATCATTCATTCATGCATACTGTCATCCTCACCCTTCCCTAGATAATAATTATATTTTTGGGAATTCCTTCATATTTCTAAATTCTAATTGACTCTCGCAACGATTTCTTTGTTTTTTAGGCCGCAAAAACTGCAATTTTGGCGTTTTCTAATAGGACTGCAAAGCGTAATTTCAAGTGACCCTGCACACTGCAAATCAAGATATGCACAATCTCACACAAAAGTTAAGCATTATTTTGCCAATTAATCAATTTAAGCTTAAGATATAAACTAACGCGTAGTATTTTTAAAATGTATATGTCTAGGCCTACAAAAAAGTTTAAGTGAGTTGGCGAGGTAAAACCCTAGACCAAGGCGTTGCGACACTTTAAAGTCGAGGCTGTATGAAATTTTGATGACTTAGTTTCGGTGTTGTATAGACCATTGATATTTCAATCATTTGCATTCAACTAGAAGTAGTCAACATTTGCAATATCAAAGTTTAACACCACACAAAGATTTGGACGTCTTTAAAAAATTTGTATTAATTTTTAATTTCTAAATTTCTAATTTCGGTATTATCAATTTTTGTCCCTCAATTTGAAGATTTTTAACTAAAAGTAACCAATTGAGAATAATTTATTTCTTTGTAAATGTTTTAATAAACTTTTAGTTGTTTGATTCTGTGCTGAAATTGTCAATTTTGGTCAATTTGCAATAACATGATTTGCGTAAAAATTTACGTTTTGCGCAATACTTTCGAATTTGCACAAATTACGCAACAAAAAATTGCGCAATAACGCGCAAACTCATACCGCTAAATTCGTAAAAGATGCGCAAAAGTTCGTCAAAAAAATGTTTGCGCAAAAATGATCAAATTAACCCTAGTTTTTTAATTTTAAATGATAAGTTAATTTTTAACTAAAATGGGTCCAAATGCAAAAATACATAAAGGAACTAACCTATTCACAGTTAGAAGACTAATGATAGGGTAGAGAAACTATAGGAAGTACTAAACTATCTTTTACAGTATAATATTTCAAAACTATATTATTCTAGGGTTTCTTGATCCCGCACTCCTTCACACCTTTTCAACTTATCCGTCAGGAACACGTTTATTTCAGATATTACATCATCATCTTCAATTTAGGTTTAATTCATGGCTTTGTGCCCTTGTAGTCCCACTCCCAATAGTATTGATTTAAAACACAAGATATTAGAAAGAACCTTATTTGACATATATAGCGGATTATAAAAATTTAACTTTTCCCTTCTCAATAGCTTTTCAAAAATGTCATAAATTTTAATGACAAATTTTGTTCTAACGTAGAATGTATTTTAGTTTTACGTAAAATCACATATAACAATGCAATAATTTCTGTAACAATTAAACGATGAGTTCTCTCCATTTAAAATCCAATAAAGAGCTAGAGGGTACCATTATGAATCGGACCCAAAACTCTTTAAATTATGAGTTACTACCTGAAGGGCCCGGCGTTGCCCGTGGAAAAAAATTTCGATGTTTTTAGCCTATAACACCCCCCGGCCACCCATGAGTGTCCACTAAAAGTTTTAGCCCATTCGGTACAGCCGTTTGGCCGGCTATAGGCAATATATATTTAAAAACGAATGTTTTGTTTTATTACATACATAGATGGAATTAAGGTGACATTTTCTATAAAAGGACTGTAAAGGAAAAATGAAAGGGGGTATAGGCTGAAAGCTGTTCTCTGAGTCTGAGAGCTAAAGTGAAGAGCTTTCAGCATTTACCCCCTTTCATTTTTCCTTTACAGTCCCTTTAATATAGTAGTTTTCTTTATGACCTCCTGTAAAATTAGACATTTTTAGCTACGTCATACTTTTGGACTTACGTCAAGAAATCATTGTGATTCCTGATTATAAAAACAAAAAACGTCCTTATGTTCCTAAATGTTTAGGAGTAGTTTATTCATTAGCCTTAGTGTATTGTTTCTTATCTTTAAAAACTTTTATCATAGGTTTTTACAAACCGTAGTTTACAGTATCAAGGGATAGTTTATACATATACACCACACTTGGAGAAGAACTGTTGACACATTGTGTGACACTGAAATATTTCAAACTTGGTCCAAAAATCGCTCGTTTTATTTAATTTATCGAAGAAGTACTGGAAGATTTTTATTCTTAAAACTAGGAAATACAACAGCCCTAGAAAGGGGGTCTCTAAAAAAGAACAATTTACAATTTACAATTTACAATTTACAATTTACAATTTACAATTTACAATTTACAATTTACAATTTACAATTTACAATTTACAATTTACAATTATATCAATTTACAAATAGGTTGTAAATTTACAAATAGGTTGTTAATTTACAAATGACAAAGGAACAATACACTGGTCTCATACTGAGCCTCTAATGCAATATAATTTCAATTTTGATTTATATCAAGCTTTTAAACAGCTTGAGTACACAAAAACATGGAAACAAAGAGAAGCTGTCGATTAAAACAGCTTCCCTGTAATTACTTGTAATTCGAAAAAAGCTTGTTAACAATTAAAACTGAAATAAAAATGTTGTCTTCATTGTATTGATAAAATCACCTACCACCGTATCTTCAGAAATGATGGCTGAAAGCAGAGGATACGAACAGAACCCCGCAGGTAATATAAGTCGTCTTCATTATTATTATACGGTTCGCAATAATTAAATTTAAATGACTTCAGATTTTTCTGAATGAATTTCGTGTTTTTTCTTCTTTTTACCTTTAAAGATTATGTATTTTGTAATTGTACAAGGTGTCCCACGAAACATAACAGTTTTGAATGTCTTCTTCCATATACTGTATACGACATACAGGGTGTCCCACGAAACATGACAATAGCAAGACGACTTGAAAGTCGTCTTTGGTATTTGAATTTATTTGTGACATTTAGTCTTCTATCTACTTTAACATGTATGATTCTTGAAAAAACTATCACATAATTCTCCTAGCCCTGGCATTTCCAAAAAGTGGTCTGCGTTTTTTGTGCTTTCAATATTACCGGAGATATAAAGAGTTTGGTTCAGATTTCAATTTTGTTAAATAAAAGCAAAATTGTCGAAATCTGAACGAAATTCTTCATATCTCGGGCAATATTGAAAGCACAAAAAAGGCAGACCACATTTTGGAAATGGCAGGACAAGGGAAATTTTGTGATTATTATCTCTAGAAATTTACTTCTAAAATTATATTGACAAATAAACGCAGCAAATTATATCAAAAATCAAGACGACATTCAAGTCGTCCTGCATACTGTCATGTTTCGTGGGACACCCTGTAGAAGACGTTTTCCAGTTTATTTCGTGAAAAAAAATTTTTAACTCAAATCTATAATACTTTTAGATCAATTTTACTATAATATGATTGCCATATAATAAATACTTATTATTATTATCTTTGGTATCAGACAACTTAACAAATTAAGGAAGAAGACATTTTTACGCTATTCACCAACTGTCATGCTTCGTGAGACACATTGTATCTGAAAAATGTCAGAAATAGATCAGTTGCAACTTGGAAAATCCTGGACAATTGCTCCCCCTAAACCATTATCAAAGGAGTTATGAAAAATTTGAGATAAAATTTTTCCTGTATCCACCCCTGCTTAAAGTAATGATTTACTGTTTTTATGTGTTTGTAAAGGATTGCCTATAGCTGCAATTACATTTATTCAGATTTCAATGGGTATTAAAATTCAAATCCGTTTTCATAATAAATGTCGAATGAGATATTGTTTAAAGGGAGTGACCGGCAATATATGGTGGTTGAACTGAGTATGCACTATTGTGGGCAATTTTTTAAGCTTCATTTGAGACATATAAAGCGTTTCTACGATGAATAATTACTGAGTTTGAGTGCAAAGCCGACGTTAAAAAAAATGAATTTGGGTGGGTACGTTTTTTAAATTATTAAATAACGACGACGAAAAATAAAGTAATAGTTATACAAAAAACGAATTAGATGTTTAGGAAAATATTTCTCAACAAAAAATTGTCAATAAATCAATGTTAGACCAATCATTATATTTTCATCATTATATTAAATTTCTTATTTTCTAAGAATTCTTCAAATGTCGTCTTTTCAATTCCAGAAAATCTGTTGAAAATATTTGTGAATTATGTTGAATTTTAGAAACTAACTAGAAAATAACATTACTTTTTTCCGATAATAACGGTTCATTTTTATTTTCTCAACCTGTTCCTAGACAACTAATTAGTTTTTCGTCGTTATTTAATAATTAACAAAAAAAAAGATTTTGAAAACGTGCCCACCCAAATTCATGATTTTAAATGTGGACTTTGCGCGTAAACTCAGTAAATATACCTCGTGGAAACATTTTATATGTATCAAATGAATCCTAAAAAAATTTTCCACAACACTGCATACTCAGTTCAACCACCATACATTGCCGGTCACTCCCTTTAACAAATGAATTTTAAAATCACACAATCCCTGTGAGACATTTTAAAGTTTCAAACATAAAAAGAAATAAAGAAGAAGACTCGACAATCATTCCACTATTTTTGGTTACCACTCTTTAAATAACGGTTTTGATGTTTTCAGTAATGTCCCAGCCTACCCCTGTATATAGTCCGATGAACCTTGGAACAATGGTCCCACCCGGTCTTCAGTATCTAGCATCGTTAGGTACATTTACTTACATTTTAGCATTGTTAGGTACATTTACTTACATTTTAGCATCGTTATGAACATTTACTTACATTTTAGTACAGGGTGTCCCAAAAAACATGGGAATTCAGTGACGAATTCGATATCGTCTTTATGAATAATTCTTTGATTTAGTATAGTGATACCTACTGAGAAAGCTGTAATGTGTAAGAGTTTCGTCTGCTATGTTCACATTTTGTTTGTTTATGTTTTGACTGCAACCGGTTGTACTTCGTAAAACAAGAAAATTACAGTATACAAACAGAGTAAACTTGTCTATATTCACTGTTCATCTCGCGGAGACATTATAGACACATCTTTTCAGTCTTTTACCCTTTTCATTAAATAAACTCTAGCAGACATAATAATATTATGGCTTTTGAAATTAGGTATTACAATGCTAATTCATAACAAAGACGATATCGAATTCGTCACTGAATTCCCATGTTTTTTGGGACACCCTGTATCGTTATGAACATTTCCTTACATTTAAGCATCGTTAAGTACATTTACTTACAATTTAGCTTCGTTAGTTACACTTACTTGCATTTAAGTATCGTTAAGTACATTTACCTACATTTTAGCATAGTTTGGTACACTTTATCATCGCCAAGTACATTTAAAAACAGTTTAGCATCGGTAGGTATATTTACTCACATTTAGCACTGTTACGAACATTTACTTACATTCCAGCATCGTTAGAGTTAAACATACGTTTTAGCATCGTTAGGTACACATACTTACATGTTAGCACCGTAGGGTACACTTACTTAGATTTTAGCATCGTCAGGTACATTAACAACATTTTAGCATCGTCAGGTACAATTACCTACATTTCAGTATGCTTAGTTACAAATATTTACATTTTACATAGTATGATAGGCATCTTTCCATGCATTTTGTGCATCATTATTCATTAGTTGACAACTTGACATCGCATATTTTATATGTTTAAATAATTCTTAATTAGATTTTTATATTGAACCTTTTCTTGTATTTTATTTTGTTGTAGACCAGCTACTAGTGAAACAGACTGTTGAGATGTTTGAAGCATTCACAGGTTAATAGGAACATTTTTCATTTGGTTTAAAGAAATTGAGTTTTTGCCACAAACTCGAATTTTCTAATCCTTATATCTTGGCAACCTGATGGTGGAAACCCTTGATATTTCAAACTTAGGCTATTTGATGTAACAGAATTCATAGTTTGAAATATCTAACGTCTACGAAATTGGGTTGCAAAGATATAGGTATTAGAAAATCAGAGTTTGTGACAATTACTCAATTCCTTTCAGTAAATTCAAAACATTACTACAAAAACACATTGTCTCTTAGATGTATGCAAAGGATTAAAATAACTCGCTTACTCTAAACTTGACAATTTTTAAACAATTAAGCAGTTGTTGAAAATAAAGATTTTTAAAATTTGTTTAGGATTTGAGACCAACAACAAGTATAAAATTCAGAATTCCTTGGGCCAAAAAATTTTCATGGCCAAGGAAGATACAGGTTGGGAACTAATTTTTGTAACCCTGGATAAGAACGTTTCAAAGCGATTTCTTCAATTTAAAGTTTTTAAAGGAACGGGACGGTTAAAATAAATGGAAGGGGGTAAATGATAAAGCCTAGAGATTGTAGGATATGATCGCGACCAATATTGATCCTATCTAGAAGTTTTAGAAATCATAAGGAAAGATAAAAAAATTTAACAATCAAATAAAAATCTAAAATTTCTAGACACCTCCTGGAATATCGTCATTTTCAGATTAGTTCCATATTTGCTGAATATATAATCTGTTTAAACATTGATTGGAATACCATGTGCACGCATATTAGAGTTTTGTATAACTCGGACACATTTTTATATCAATGTTTAGTGACAGAGATACCATCAGGGGGCGGAAACGTCATGTGTGTGTATCTGTACCAAAAGAGTGTGTGTAAAGTTTACCGAACCGAAGGTGTGTACTGTAGGTATATACAGTACATATTTTTAAAGTCTAAGAGAGTACATTTGTTTATTGTTAATTGTTTACTTAAAAATAAGTTTAATATACATGTAGTATATTATTTATATATTTAAGTCAACACTATAAGCCAAACTTTTATGCAAAGAATATAATTTGATTAAAGTTTACAATAAATTAGTCGTTATTCAAGCTTAATTATAATTGACAACATTGTTCTGCAATTTCCTTGACTGCATAGTCATGTTGTGTGTCTGTACCGAACTTGTCTGCGACTGGCTTTCTCATGTCAGACCAGCGCCATTTCCTTTCCCTTTATTCCTTTTCCCTGGATATCATGCAAACAGAACTAATATTGGTCGCGATCAAATCTTAAAATCTCATCTCAGAACTAATATTGGTCGCGATCAAATCTTAAAATCTCATCTCAGAACTAATAGATCGCGATCAACTCTTAAAATCTCATCTCAGAACTAATATTGGTCGCGATCTTAAAATCTCATCTCAGAACTAATATTGGTCGCGATCAACTTTTAAAATCTCATCTCAGAACTAATATTGGTCGGGATCAACTCTTAAAATCTCATCTCAGAACTAATTTTGGTCGCGATCAACTCTTAAAATCTCATCTCAGAACTAATATTGGTCGCGATCAACTTTTAAAATCTCATCTCAGAACTAATATTGGTCGCGATCAACTCTTAAAATCTCAGTCACTTTAAGGAAGGTTTTGCAAAAGCATTTAAGAAATTTGTGTGATTGAATGTTTCTGACCAAGGAAAATAATTCAGCTATATTGGAGTTTTTGTATTTGAAATATACAGAGCAAATTGATTCATAACTTTTACCGCAATCAAGGGTGTGTTTAAGATGTTCTGGATTTATAGTATCTAAGTTTTGTCACTCGAAGCTATTTTTACAAAATCCTTTTTTTTTGTATTCGTTATTTGTTCAATTTTGCTAGACCAAGTATTAATTTGAATGGGGCTCGAACTATAAGATATCAAAATTGGACTTAATATATTCCGATCAAGCTCTATAGCATACTTAGAGCGCTCGGTTAACGATAATATAGTCATTCAATGAGTCAAACTACAGTTTAACATAGAACTTCGGAGATATTGACAGAATTTACTAAAAGTTGTCTTGACATTTTGTAATGGATTAATCTCAGCATGAATTCACAACGGGGATATTTTCCGTCCCGTCTGTGGGTCAGGTACGTCTAGGATGGCTCATTCACGAAAACACATGAAGATTCACGTGAATGATGGTTTTAAAAAACGTCAACAATTTAAATAAAAATATTTAGTTAAAATCTTTATTTGAAAGATTTAATTTTTTCAGAGCTTCATATAATTATTTAATTACAAAAACTAACTATCTGCAGAATTCCATTATCAGCAGGCTTAGAAAACGACATTCTATAAATTCTTTCGATGTCTCCGAAGGTTTGGGTAAAACTGTAGAAACAAGATCTCTAACTTTAAGGGATTGCAGACATATATAATTTAAAGTGATCATTGACACTCCAGAAATCCTCTACAGTCCCTTTAAATAAATTGATTAAGATTGTTGCACGAGGCAAATGTGTGGACCTGCGCGTCCTTTTGAGATGAATATTTGTGACCTCACTGGAACCGAGGTCATTCATCTTTACAGGTATCCTCTATCCTCTATATTTTATCCTCTATCCTCTATCCTCTATATTTTATCCTCTATCCTCTATTCTTTATTCTCTATCTTCTATCCTCTATCCTCTATACTCTATATTTTATCCTCTATCATCTATCCTCTATCTTTTATCCTCTATCCTCTATCTTCTATCCAGCTATCCTCTATCCTCTGTCCTCTATCTTCTATCTTCTATCTTTTATCTTTTATCTTTTATCCTCTATTCTCTATCTTTTATCCTCTATCTTCTATCTTTTATCCTCTATCTTCTATTTTTTATCCTCTATCTTCTATCCTCTATCCTCTATCCTCTATCCTCTATCCTCTATCCTCTATCCTCTATCCTTTATCTTCTATCCAGCTATCCTCTATCTTTTATCCTTTATCCTCTATCTTTTATCCTCTATCCTCTATCCTCTATCCTATATCCTCTATCCTCTATCTTCTATCTTCTATCTTTTATCTTTTATCTTTTATCCTCTATTCTCTATCTTTTATCCTCTATCTTCTATCTTTTATCCTCTATTTTCTATCCTCTATCCTCTATCTTCTATCTTCTATATTTTATCTTCTATCATCTATCCTATATCTTCTATCTTCTATCTTCTATCTTCTATCTTCTATCTTCTATCTTCTAGCTTCTATATATCTTCTATGTTCTATGATCTATGTTCTATCTTCTATCTTCTATCTTCTATCTTCTATATTCTATCTTCTATCTTCTATCTTCTATCTTCTATCTTCTATCTTCTATCTTCTATCTTTTATCTTCTATTTTATATCTTCTATCTTTTATCTATTTTTAATAAAGAAAACGTAATTAGACCCCTTGCTTGTCAGACTTGTTGTTTTCCTTGTTGTCTGCAAACCCTGGAGGTAAAGACCAATAACTAGTATACTTGTTAATGTAGATTTTAGTGCCGGAAGACGACATTTCGGTCAATAAACTGATTTTGTAGCAGATATGCCAAATTACCGCACAGTCAACGTTTTTATACCTGTAGGAGCCTTACATTCGGCAAAAACTCTCACTTTAATGAAAACTTGACATCTAAAAAAAGTTTTATAAAATAACATTTAAAGGGACTGTAAAAAATTAGTTTCTATTGATTCCATTCCTGATTCACAACGATACCCTTTAATATTTTACTGCTGAAAAATGATAGGTTTTCCCTTATTTATCCACAGAAACACTTGGTTTGCAAGCTCTCATATAGTGAAGGAAAATTAATATTTACTTTCTAGAAGAAAAAAAGATTATATTTACATTTGAATTTTTTTAAAACCGTGCGTTGGAAAAAGAATATTCATGATTTTTTCAGGAATAAATGTAAACTAAGATTTGGGTTCCTGCAGGTTTTTTTTCTTGCTCCAAAAGTAAAATTGTGTTTTTAACTTGTTGAAATTAAAATTATTTCATCAAATCGAGATTGTTTGAAAAAATAGAATTTCCACATTTCGTTTCTTTCGTAATTGCTTTGAGAAATAAATTAGTATTTTAACTTTTCCAGAAGCTGTTATATTATGGCTTTTCTACATTTTCTATGTTACTTTTTAACAAACAAACAAAAACAGAGAAAATGCTAGATATATGTTTTAAACAAATAAATATTTTTAGGTTCACTCTCCTCCAGGAACAATAATAGGTACTGTAGAACAGGAATGGTCCATTCTTCATCCTAGATTTGTAGTTAAGGTAATTTTAGATGAATCCCATCCCCTCCTCTCCCACCCATTCTAATATGTATTGGCATATTTCTATCTCAGGTAATATGAATAGACATAAAAGGTTGCCAAAAAATATGGGGGGGGGGAGGTCCAAATCAACCACGCTCAGATTTTGCCCGGAACGAGGGAGGGGGGGGGGCAGTGCCACCATGAGCCCCGCAAAATGGTCTCCAAGCCTCCGTATTCGCAGATGAGCAATTAAAATGACCTGGCTCTTCATCGAAGTGTTCGAATAGATATTAGAGAAGTAAAAATAACTTTTTTAAAGAAAATATTTACTTTTTAATTAGTTTTGCAGTGTTTTCTGAAATATACAAAAACATTGTATAACTATTAAAATATTGAATATTTTTTCCAAAAATTTTGATACATTATTTATAAAATATATATTCTAAAGAATAGAGGTAGCGCCAGGTCATTTTAGATACTCATCTGCTAATCCAGAGAATTCATTTCGTGGCGCTCACGTGGCGCTCATGGTGTCCCAGCATGCCCCCTCCCTACCGTGACTCGAGGGCGCGCGAATCTTCCTGGGCTTAGCCGGATACCCAATCCAAAAATTCCCAGCTCTGGAAAACGAAACAGTAGAGCTTGAGACTTAACAATAAGATAATTTGAATTTCCAGGATGAGAGTGGTGAAGCAATTCTTCGCATTGAAGGACCATGCTGGACCTGCAGCTGTTTTGGTAAATATATATATATATATATATATATATGTATAACCATCAAAATATGCAAATACTCCCCTCTTCTAGTAACAATTTTAGCAAGAAATGTTTCTTTTCAGGGGTTCAATTTATCTTCGTAATCGTTAACATAGAAGGCTTTTAAAGGGAAAGGCTGGCTAGAAATGGTAGTTGAACTAAGAGTGCATGTATTGTAGAGCAATTTTTTAGAATTCATTCGCGGCCTATTAGATGGTTTAAATTGTTCAGATAGAGCAAAAATGCTACCAGTAAAATCCTCCGGGCGCCCACGACGCCTCTAGCAGGTTGTTCGACCTTCCTCCAGGCTCCGCCCCCATGGAAAATCTCATGAGCAGTGTATTTGTACTGTCACCCTTACGCATGGCACGGGCACATGCGTAAAATTATATAAAAAAAAATTACAATTTTTGTTTGATCTAAATTTCAAGAGTTCTGTTATCTCTTTGACATTCAACTAATTGATAAGAATTATTTTTGAGTATTTGTTTAATCATCAATTACTCGTTAGAATATTTGAAAATATCGATTTTAAATAGAAAAATAAAAGAATTGCAAAAGAAAGACCTTCGTTATAGCTTTATCTCACAAAATTAGACGTAAAAAATTCTGCATTTTTTGCAATGAAAACTATTTTATCAAAATCTATCTTACATATTTTCCATAATGGTCCGCATAGCTTTTAAAGATACTGTACACGTAATTACGAGTGACTCGTTAGTAGATTGACATGTCCGATGGTACTCTTTAAGATTTAAGTCTGATTAATAATGCATAAAGGTACCCATCTTCTTTTCTTTGAAAATTGTCGTTTCTTCAAAATTCAATTAAAAAATAAACACTTTTCAAACTAAAAAACGACGATATCTTACATATTTTTGATCAGGTTTAAAGATATCGTTGTATTTCGGAGATGTTTCTCTTTAAATGGAAGGTCACTTTAAAATACCAAAATAATTGTCTCACACAGTATTAACAGTTCAGTCTTTATGCCAGAAAGCTTTGACATTCAATCACAATTTGACAAATAAAACATTCATTTTCAACGTTTTTTTTTGTCGGCAAATCCGTTAAAAGTGGAAAAGTTTAAAAAATCAACTCTGTAAGTAACACATGATTTTAGGGGATGTGGAGTTTAAGGTGCTGTCTGCTACTCATGGAACAGAGGTTAATATACTGGAGAATTTAAGAAAACTATTTCAAATATTAATCCCCCCCCCCCACCTCCAATCACTTTTTTACGATACCTTTAAAAGTATTGGTCTGACTGGTTTTAGACTTTTCCAACAAATACATACCACTCACTTTTAATTTACTGGGTCAAGAGCTTTTAAAAAATGAAAAATTTGTAATATTTCGCGAAATTTTTTTTTGCACACTTTTTGCCGAATAACTAGAATTTCGTAATGAATATTTGGATTATTTGCAAATTTAGAATTTTTTCTTCAGATAGTTTAAGAAAAACCCAAAGGCTTTAAAAATATGTATATATTTGTATCACAAGAAGGAAATAGAACGGGGTCACTGTGACCCCCCCCCCCCTGTTCATTAAACCAGACGTTAGTCGGAATAGGGTTAAAAGCTATACAGCGTAATTGGATTCCTTATGACGGCTTTTTCAGGGTTTGATTTTTAATCTATTTTTTGGGTCATCCTATAGGTAATAACATTTTCGTTTATATCACTATTAAGGTTTATGATGGTCTCGAGTGTTTATCAGGATTACCCCTTTTTCTCTTAATTGGACTAAAACTACTGAACCAATATAAAATAAAATTATTTTTAACGTATAAAACTTGGATTAGAAATGTTAATCCATTACAATCCATTAAAAATGTGCTTTAGTGTATAGTTTTAAATTTTGGAAGGGTTGTTAAAGTAACTTTTTGCTGTCCAATGCTTTTATTAAAGGATTATTATTTAATTGTGTTTTTTTATACATAACCAGTACGTCTTTTTTCTTAGGATGACATTTTTTTGCGTAGTAGATTTTAACTGAAGTTAAGAAAGAAATGTTTGTACATATATTCGACTTAGTTTAACGCCAAAAAACTGAAGAGGGTCGACCCAATTAACCTGGAATTTATTTTCAATAAAATATGACGCATATATTCGTTAAAAAACGAAAGTTTTTTAAATGAACGAAGATTTCGTTTTTGCACAAATAGAACCATAAACTGTGAATCCACTATCGAACATACTTACTTTTCTTCTTTCTCGTTTTTCATGGAATTAATAAAAATTCTTTCAGAATTGCATGGACAATAACACGTTCATTTATTAATTAAAACTAACGGACTTACTTACTGGTTGATTAAATTAATTGTTAAACTAACTAATTGAAAAGTTTTTAATTGTAATATTTTGCTTTCGAATTTTTTATTTCAGACCAAAGCAATATTACTGGGTTTAGTTTTCATGTTATACTTTTATTGAACAGGATAAACCATTTTATACAAATGTAACATTTTAAATTACAAAATTTTATTTCAGGCCAAAGCAACACTGCTGGGTGCAGTTTTCCTCATTGATTTCATGTATTTTGAAACCCAAAATCAGAATCAACATAATAGTTATAACTAAAGATGAAGATTGAAACGGCCGGGTCCGATGAAACCTTATAATATATGTATGTACCGTAAAGTCTAATATATTTTTACAATTTACTGTTTATGCCCATAAAGGGAGTGCTTGATTTTTTTTTTGTTAATGTGTGGGGTTCAAGTCTATTTATTAGGTTTCACAGATACGTCTAAACCAAATTATTTCAAAACGATATTGACTTTTCTGAAATAATTTTGTTATATCACAAAATGTCCCAAGTCTCTTATATAGATTACGTACTGCATGTAATTTAAAATTTTGAAATAAAACACCATTAATTATGGTTAATTATGGTTTACAGGTTAATCGGAAATTTGTTGAACAGAGTTCCGTTTAACGTGGATAGTTGCTCCAAAATATAAACTGCTAAATATAATCTATACTGTGCCAAGCTGCTCAGAACTTCAGAGCCAACAAATACAAACATTAGCAATAATTAATAATAAAAGTAAAAAACGGAATTAAGATTTAATGATTTCCATGAAATCTTTCAAATTAGTTTTCAAATTATGCAAATGTACTTTTATATTAGGAATTCATAATTATTCATAATTTAATGTCTTTTATAATTTTGATCATTATTATTGTTACAATTTTTATGCTTTACATTTAATCAGTGATTAATAAAGATTTGTTAAAATTTTATTTTAATTCCAAGACTTTCTTATCATGGGTCATTAATTAAAATGATGTCAAATATATAAATATATACAGGGTTACCCACAAAGGATGAGACTGTAAAGACGACCTGAAACTTCTAAAATATGATGATCCTATGGGTTTAACTAACCTTCTTCGTATAACTGCTTAATTAATGATATGTCAAAGAAAAAAACAAGTTTACAGTTTTAGAGAACTTGTTTTGGAGTTGGTGTTTACTACAATATTACTCTCCAGCCTGAATCGTTAAAGGAGCTGTAACTTGCTTTGACTTTGACTATGATTTGGGATCATAGCCCCTACTCTCCAGCCTGAATCGTTAAAGGAGCTGTAACTTGCTTTGACTTTGACTATGATTTGGGATCATAGCCCCAAGGTTAGATTTGAGATCATACCCCCAAGGTTAGATTTGAGATCATAGCCCCAAGGTTAGATTTGAGATCATAGCCCCAAGGTTAGATTTGAGATCATAGCCCCAAGGTTAGATTTGAGATCATAGTCAAAGGACATTCGTTAAACAAAATCTGAAGGTTGGACTTGGTTTGATTTCAGATCTAGTGCAAGTAATTTGTTCTATGAATCCAATATAACCTGCTCTGAGTATGATTTGATGAAAGCTGGTCTTCCTAACCGACACCAAAAAGTAAAATTTAATGGGGCATTCATATATCCTCGACCAATTTAAAAAGTCGTCTTTGATTTTTGGCCCTTAAAATCGTAAAATGATTGATAAATAATATAGATAGATAGACTGATAAAAACATAGACAGATAGAAAGAGATGATAGATGACGAATAAAAAGAGAATATCAAAAATATTAAATGTATAAAGGATATATTTGATAAAAAAGGTTGATTTTTTGTAAAAAAAATCTTTTTTTAGAATTTAAAAGAAATGGCAACTATCCTTACTACCCCAAGTACCGTCTGTTTTTAGAGAGACCCCACCCCCACCCTTGAAGCTGAATAAGACGGTAGTTGGGTTTAAATACCCTCACTCCCAAATACCGTTTATTTTTAGAAAGACCCCACCCACACCCTTGAAGCTGAATCTGAATGGCAACTACCCTAACTACCCCAACTACCGTCTGTTTTTAGAGAGACCCCACCCCCACCCTTGAAGCTGAATCTGAATGGCAACTACCCTTACTACCCCAACTACCGTCTCTTTTAGAGAGCTTGTTTCTGGCCTTCATAACACTCTCCGACCTTTACTATCACCCACTTTCTGAAGGGTGCACATTTCGTAGTAAAAAAAGGCATTTTATACGTTCATCTTCATGAAGCTGACTGTTTAGTAAATCTCTTTCATGCAAGATAGGCGGCGCGGGCAGTCCGCGTCAATAATCCATCTTTGACTACCTGGTCTGTGTCCATATCCCGTAGTGGTCATACCCTACAGGAGTTTAGAGATCAAGCATTGATCCTCAAATTTAAAAGTGCCCTCATCGGATATCGATATCAATCGTTCAAGATTGCGATATTCCACACAAAAGCTCTGATCTCTGATCATTCATGAAACATATATATTAATATTGTTTACATGCATACTTTAATCAATCAATAATTTTCGTCTATGTTTTGGTTTAAATATTTACTGTGAGATTTCTTCAAATTCATCAATTAGTGCCCTAGCTTTCTAACGAATAAAGCATGTATGTGGATAACATTTTTTTGGTATAGAATATTACTCTTGATAGTTAAAAGCTGAATTCAAATGAAGAGCTAGCATTCTCTTCATTGTTAGTGTTTTGTGATTTCAGAAAAAAAATATACTATCACACACCTTTACACCTAGACTAAAGGGATTGTAAGTGTAATTTTAAGTGACCTTCCATTTAAAGAGGGAAATTTCCTATTCACAACGATACCCTTTAAACATTTGACTGATGATTGAGGAAAAAGAACTATGTGAACTCAACACGAAGGACGTAATATTTATTCCAGGAAAACCTAGAATATTACAAGATTTTAATGCAAGGAAAGTTATTTCAGAGGTGTGCGCATCTTTTGTACTGCAGTGTACTGTCTCTGGGGTGCTAATGTAAACACAAGACGGATGTCGAAGCCTGACATGGGATCAATCTTCCGCATAAAAAATCAATGAAATATTCTAGTCATAGGAAACTATTATGTGAATTATCAAAATTATCTAAATTAAATGGTTTTATCCTTCTTGGATACTAAACGAACTCTATTAATGCATCTATTCTTGTTTACAATTTCCGCCCAGAGAGAACTGGCTTTAATATATGTACGCAGAGTATACGCGACCGCAATTAACTTTCCTTGCATTATAACCTTGGAATATTATATGTCTAGACTGTTTTCAAAAATCTGAGTGTGAATATTTATATTCTGCCACTTCTTGATAATCAATATTAATAATTTTTTGAATATAAAAAAGCTTGAAAACAAAGTGTTCGACAATTAAAACGTTTCATGAAAACGTCTGTCATCAGTCAAAGGTTTAAAGGGTACCGTTGTGAATCGGGAATGACCCTCTTTAACTGGAAGGTCACTTAAAATTACGCTTACAGTCCCTTTAAATATATACAAAACTTCATAAAAGATTGAAAAACACTTGTAGTGCGACTTAAGATATATTTACTGAATATAATATATAAATATTTAAATTTCTACAAGCAGTAACAAACCCCCTTTTTCAACATATTTAGTTTAGAAATGTAAATAGGGGGAAGGGGGAGGTTTGTGAAGTGTGCATGGACGGGAGGGAAGGGAAGGCGGATCTAACTTAGGGGGGGGGGGGGTCTAGGGGGATTTAAGGTTTAGGTGGATACTGATACACTCCAAAGAAAAGAATTGTATCAACTTGTTTATCGTATATAAGGAAGAGGAAAGGATGATCTGCCTTGAACTCTGTATTGAAGAGAGGTCTAGCAGATCTAAATCCAATCAATGCCGTTGCTGCTGCAGCCTCGCTTCCCTCCTCGGTAACCTCGATAAAGGATTTATGAACGGCAGCCTCCAACTTGATATCCTCCGAGGCTGACTCCGGGTCCAGGAAACCGGAGAGGTCTGATCCGGCTCCGAAGACGGAGCTAATGTTTAGTTCTCTAAGAGGTTGGTTTAGCTCCAGACTACCGGATACACTGAACTTAGGAATCTTGACATTAAGTTTATCCACACTATAGAACCCTGAACCTAACTCACTCATCACACCTTGCATAGTCTCAGGGGTTAGACGGGAAACTGTTTGCTGAAGACCATCATCTAACCAGGGGGGTAGGATAATAACCATACTCACGTGATCACCTTCATAGGGTAGCTCAACAACATGGGCCTGAAGCTCCTCACTTGTATAGTAGTTGAACGATCCTTTCTGATTCATAAACTTTACAATTCTAATCTCGTCCCTTGTAATATAGAAATTTCCAGCTTTAGTTTCAGACTCTTTAAACTTACTCATCCAGTCCCCCTTGAAGTAGGCGGCATTCACGACGGAGGCCTTGGTGGTGGTATCCACGTACCCGGCGGGGATGAGGTCCTTGATGTTACCCTTGGTGAGCTCCTCCACCCAGGAGTTCATGGAGATACGGCTCTTCTCGGGGGACCCGGAGAAATCCACAGGTTCAACCTAAAACAAGAAGATTATACACATTGGGGGAAAGTTAAGAGGATTTGTTTAAAGGGACAGTAGACGTAATTCCAAGTGACCCTCCATTTAAAGTGTCCAATTCTCATAGGTCCTGGAAATGATAAGAAAGCCTTATTTTCTCTCAATTATTATTTCCAATTCTGGTTTCCCTTAGAAATTAAAAACATTTTCCTTGCTGTTACTCAGGTAGAGATGGTTTATCAGACATGTCACTCTTTTAATAGAGAGTCAATTCAAATTACGACTACAATCCCTTTGAATTGTCGCAATTGTAAATTATGATTAATCTCATTTAGAATTCATTCAATCTTTGCTTTTAAACATCATCGTTAATACAACAAAAAAATTAGCTTTGATGTCATCTTTATCTTCAAAAATGTAATGGGTCCCACGGTTCATCTTAAGTTTTCATTTTAAAATCTGTTTATTTATTGTAACTAACCCAAGATGGATATTTAACGGGACTGTAAAGGAAAAATGAAAGGGGTATACATATAGGCTGAAACCCGAGAGTCTCAGGAGCTGATTAAGACATATATGAGTTCTTTCTGATGTTCTTGTCTCAAGAAATTGATATTAAACTGTGTCAAAACTATACCAAAACATATAGATGTCAGATTTTGTAAAAGATCCGTAATATTAAACAGATCATATTCAACAAATACGCATATTATCTGAAAACAACAATATCCCAGAGGAGTCTGAGAAACTCGAAAGTTTGCTACTATTAGTATTTGAATTGAATAATTTTTCATTTTTAATAGATATAATTGATATTATTTATTCGTCCGGAATATGTTTCTAGAACTCCAACCAATGGCAGTGCAGTATTATTGTCATGAGCCTCCGTCTGTATCACGTGACCAGTATACTGCAAAGCCATTGGAGGGAGTTCTGGTTACGTGATAAGGACGTATATCCTACATATATATAGGTTTTGGTATAATTTGACACATTTTTATGTCAATTTCTCGAGACAGGAACATCAGATAGATGTTTTATAGGTATTGTTCAACACCTGAGATTCTCAGGTTTCAGCCTATTCCCCCTTTCATTTTTCCTTTACAGTCTTCTTTATTTTTAAACATGTAATGGGTCCCACGGTTCCACCTTAAGTTTTCATTATAAAATCTGTTTATTTATTGTAACTAAGTTATAACTAACCTGATCCGTGAGTGCAAGTTTTAAACATTCATTTAATTTCAGAGTTTTCTCTAGGTATATCTTGTTAGCATGTTGGAACTCGTATCCTAGTCCTGGAGTTCGTTCTCTTACAGCCTGGTAGGCTCGATCAAACATATAGGTTTTTAATACCTCAGGTTTACCCAGGTGTTCTAGACCTAAACATATAGGCCTTAGTTTTTTTCATCTTAACCCTATTCCTGCTGGGGGGGGGGGGTCAATTTGCCCCCCCCCTGTAGTTTTTTTTTACATAACTCAAAAAGTATTGGTCTGAGGCTGTTGAAATTTTCAGACTTTTCCTACATACTCAAAGCCCTGCACACTGCCTGAATGACTGCATTTTCCTGTAACAAACTTAATCTTTGTTTTTACCCACTTTCACTTGTCAGATTTTGATAAAATTTAGCTTTTTGGAAAGCCTATGACATAAGGAAACGAATTGCACAAGTTTTGCGAAAAAAAATTGCAAACTTTTTGCAAACAACCTGTCAAAGGAAATTTGCACATTTTTAGTTTTTCTTGATTAAAAATCAGGTTATTTAAAATTTTGCAAAATTTTTGCATATTTGAAATGTATAATTTTTCATTTTTTGGACAAATTTTTTTTGCAAACATTTTTACTATATAACTGGATTTTGCGATAAAAAAATTCAATTTTTGCAAATTTGCACAAGATCTTTCCAATGATGTATCATTTGTCATATTTGGACATCAAACATGGGATTTAGAGGGGCGGGGCGGCAAATTGACCCCCCCCCAGCATATCCTGGTTTTCAAGTACCCCAGCAGAGATAGGGTTAATCAAAATATTGATACTTGTCTAGAGAAAATTTTAAAAATATTAGAAATATTTTTTTCTTCTCTTTTGTCAAGATTCAAATGTTTGAACAAAACAAATTTGAAAAATATTTATTTTTTGAGAAAATCATTAATTAATTTATTTATTCCAAGAATATTGGGATCCCAAAAACAAAATCTGAAGAAATAAAGAAAATGAGTTTTGCCACAAACTCTAATTTTCTATCCCGAAATTTTTGCAACTTGATTTTGTAGACCTTTGTTATTTCAAACTATGAATTTTGTTGGATCAAATAATTTAAGTTTTAAATATCAAAGGTCTACACCATCAGGTTGCAAAGGTATATGGGATTAGAAAATCAGAGTTTGTGGCAAAGACTCAATTCGTTTGTGGTTTTTCTCTGCTTACCTAATCCCTGTTCTAACTCTTTCTCTGTCTCCCCCCTAGCTCCGAAGTATGTAAGGAGCAGTGTATGGAAGATTGAACTCGGAGATATAAAAATATTCTCCTCGATCTTCTCAGTTTCAAACTTCTTAAAGAGCGCCTTGATCAAGTTGACTGCAAAGGCGCGCTCACCGGCGTATACGGCGGCCTGGACATCATCGTTTACCGGGCTGGCGAGAAAGGTGTCCGACAAGGTTGAGTTCTCGGACCCAAAACAGTTTCTATCCAGAACCTGACCACTCACCCAGCTTGTACAAAACAGCAGTACAGTACATGCTCCCAGCATACTAAACATATATAATACTAAATTAATAAATTTTGCGCATTATTTGAAAATCATTTATTGCGGGTATCCAATTCAGTTCGGGATTATGGGTATCCAATTCAGTTAGGGATTTGGGTATCCAATTCATTTTGGGATTATGGGTTATCAATTCAGTTCGGGATTATGAGTATCCAATTCAGTTCGTAATTATGAGTATCCAATTCAGTTCGGGATAATGAGTATCCAATTCAGTTCAGGATTACGGATATTCAATTCAGTTCGGGATTTTGGGTTTAAAATTCAGTTCGGGATTATCGGTATCCAATTCAGTTCGGGATTACGGGTATCCAATTCAGTTCGGGATTATGGGTTTCCTATTCAAAAGTTCGGGATTATGGGTATCCAATTTAGGTCGGGATTATGGGTATCCAATTTAGTTCGGGATTATGGGTATCCAATTCAATTGTTCGGGAATATGGGTATCCAACTCAGTTCGGGATTATGTGTACCCTATTCAAAAGTTCGGGATTATGAGTATCCAATTCAGTTCAGGATTACGGGTATCCAATTCAGTTCAGGATTATGGGTATCCTATTCAAAAGTTCGGGATTATAGGTATCCAATTCAAAAGTTCCCAGCGCTTGGACCTTAATTTACCAAGGTAGAAAGGTTGTGTAAAAAGTGTAATATTTTTAGACATGTTTTTCTCTAATCATGAGAATAAATAATTTTGGAGTAATTATGGAAACATATATACCCATAAAAAAATACTATTTGGAAACAACAAAATCATAAAAGTAAAATGCGTCTTTTTGACGATATTAACAGTAAAGACAATAAAAAGACATTATCACCCGCCCCCCTTCTTTTAATCCCCTTATGTAATGCATATGTGACAAATATACTGACATCAATCATATCTTATTCATTTATTTATTTCAACACAACTCTTTCAACAATAAAAATTCATTCATTATATAACTAAGATTCTAAATTTCGAAGTTTAAAGTTCTTTGAACAGGAATATAAAAATAAACTCTGGAATTTCTAAAACTAATTCTAAAATCATGTTTTGTCAAATTGAAAGGTTTTCGATCACTATTTTTATTAGAAATGAGTACCCTTGAATTGTAATTAATTACAAGTGACTGTATGGCCCTCTAGTCCCTATTCCAAGCAAAGATGGCGATGAAACAGTACCATTAAAAGATGGCGATGAACAGTACCATTAAAAGATGGCGATGAAACAGTACCATTAAAAGATGGCGATGAAACAGTACCATTAAAAGATGGCGATGAAACAGTACCATTAAAAGCTTTGTCTAATAAAGTATTAACATTAATTATTATTTATTTGTTAAACTTTTAATTGTGGTTTCTTAACAACAGTCAACTGCGTATTTCTACGCCAGGAAAACATTGAGGAATTATCAGGATTAAACACTTTCAACCAAACATATCCTACACAATAGCTATCAGACAAATGTTTCAAGGGTGCCGTTGTGAATTGGGCATTGTCATCTTTACATGAATGATCACTTGAAATTTTGCTTACAGTCCCTTTAAGCCTCAGCCTGAGATATGATGTTGTGTTTCTATCTTGGAAAGAATTCTGTCAATTTTCTACCTTTTTTCTGCGAATTTTACTTAATTAATGGTTACGGCATGTAACTCTTGCTAAAGGAATTGAGTCTCTGCAACAAACTCTGATTTTCTAATACCTATATTTTTTTCCCACCTCATGGTGTAAACCTTTGAAATTTCAAACTTAGATTTTTTCATCTAACAGAATTCATAGTTAAAAATATCTAATGTTTATAACGGCATTGGGTTAAAAAGATATAGAGATTAGAAAATCATTGTTTGAGACAAAGACTCAATTCCTTATTTAGCTTATAGTTCATTTAAATAGTAGAGTTTTGTTATAATTTCTCTTTGAAAGATGTAAATACGCATAATTTAATAATCTTGCTTTTATATTTTTGTTATTTTAATTTTTATTCAATATCGAAATCTTTTAAAAATCTGAATTGTCATCTTGCATTTATTTATTTGTTTTCTTGGCTTGCCGACCTTGATATTGGGCAACATGCTCTCAATGCTTTAAAATTATTATTAATATCGTCATAAATTCTAAAACATGTGATATCCAACATATATAAATGAAAATTCAATAATTTTTACACTCGTGGGATTAGAACATACTTAAACCTCTGTTGAGCCTTTTCTTTATGTTAATTTTCAGTGGATTTGTTTAAAATTAAGCCATTGAACTTCAAGATTTACCTTAAAAACTAAGTTTTGATAAGGGGTATCCACGGGAATAATGGGGGGGGGGGGGTTGAGATTTTCTGCGATGACATTTTTTTTTACATACAATAACAAAAGGGGCACAGCATTTTTTTTATTGTTTATGCGTTTTAATTATTTTAAACAAGGATTAATGACATATCTTAGAACGGAGCAGTTATAAGGTTCTAAAATTAGGTAAGTTGATGTTTATAAAGACGCATTCAATTAATCAATTGATATTTATATCCAATTTGTGAAGTAGAAGAAACTGTGCTGTAAACATGTAAAATATCAGAAGACTGTCTGATAAAGGTTTAACCGCATTAAGTGGTCGACAAGAGGTATCTATAATTAACCTACCCCCCCCACCTCCACCCCCCTCTGACGACAAATATTGCCAAATTTCCGTCAATTTCTAATGTCAAACTGTCAAAATTTAAACAAGAAAATATATATGTAATTATATTTACTATATCTTTAGACTTTCTAATCTTAATTTTGATGTTTTTTGCTTTCCTTTTATCAAAAACAAACTTAATATACCTGATGAAGTGGTATTCCGTGTGCACAGCAAATAATTTAAAGTTCTTCACTGTCCCAGAGATTTTAACGCACTGTGGTAAATATAAGCTCAGATAGACAGATAGCTTTATAGTACGATAGATAGATAAGCGAAGAGAAAGATAGATAGATAGTGAGACAGGTAGTTCACAGTTCAGGGATTTCCAAGGTCCTGAATCACAACAGTGTGATAGATAGATAGAAAAATAGATAGATAGATAGATATATAGAAAAATAAAAATTAAGATAGATAGATAGTTAGCTAGGTTAAGGAAGTGTTGCTGATTGTAGTAAACAGTAGTAATGAGATTTAAACAAAAAAGATTAAAATTCATCTTGCATCAAGAAATAATGAAGTACTTGCATCAAGAAATAATGAAACTTGCATCAAGAAATAATGAAACTTGCATCAACAAATAATGAAACTTGCATCAACAAATAATGAAACTTGTATCAACAAATAATGAAACTTGCATCAACAAATAATGAAACTTGCATAAGCAAATAATAAACTTGCATATACAAATAATAAACTTGCATCAAGAAATAAAGAAACTTGCATCAAGAAATAATGAAACTTGCATATGCAAAAAATAAACTTGCATATACAAATAATGAAACTTGCATATGCAAATAATAAACTTGCATATACAAATAATAAACTTGCATATAAAAATAATAAACTTGCATCAAGAAATAATGAAACTTGCATCAACAAATAATGAAACTTGCTTCAACAAATAATAAAACTTGCATCAACAAATAATGAAAAGAACACAATTTGTTTCGACACTATTTTTCATTAAAACTTCCGTAATACAGGGTGTCCCACGAAACATGACAGTTGGTGAATAATTTAAAAAATGTCTACTTCCATAATTACTTATATTGTTTAATACCAAAGAGAATTATAAGAATATTTAATGGTAGCTTCATATTAAAGTAAAGAAGAAGACATTCCAAATTATTTACCAGCTGTCATGTTTCGTGGTACACCCTGTTGTATATATAGTGATTAGTTATTGCTCATTAAAATTGCTATAAAAAGATGCACTCTCGTCTTCTACTCATTGGTTGCCCAAATAGCATGGAGCGCCTTCAGTTGGTTTGTTTTTGGGTAAATATTATCTGTCAGGAGTCCAAATTTGACGCAGTGCATGAACACGAAAAGCAATTTAAATTTTTTTAAAAAACATTTGCTATTCTTATGCTATGCTAAACTTTGACCTTAACCGAAAATGTATACAAAAAACGATGAAAAAACGATGCAAAAATGTACGTGTTGGAAGTACTCTTTGTTTTTTGTTTTGTATTTAATGATCCAAAACTTTAACAACACTAATAGGAAGTAAAGAATTGTAATGGAATTTATTTAGTCTTTTATTTCATAAATTAGAAAACATCTAAAAACTAGATTTTTTCTAATCGTACAAAATAGTATAATGTATAATAATTCAAGGACTGGATTTATGTTTAATTACAAGTGGCATTCAGATAATTTTATATACCGATTTATAAGGGCAGTATTAATACAGTTTTAATCCTATATATGTTGTAACACGCATATTATATGAAAACACGTACATTTAATGACGTCATTGCATTATGAACCGGTATTATTATGCCAGGAAACCCGGAGCTGATGGCCATTTACAAACTTTAGGAATTTTTGGGAATCTTCTTGTAGATTGTAGATTGCAGATCATAGATTGTAGATTGAAGATTGTAGATTGTAGATTATAGATTATAGATTGTAGATTGTAGATTGTAGATTGTAGATTGTAGATTGTAGATTGTAGATTGCAGATTGCAGATTGTAGATTGCAAATTGTAGATTGCAGATTGTAGATTGTAGATTGTAGATTGTAAACATGATCATGAAAATAGTTCAGAGAGAAACATTAAATATGATCATGAAAATAGTTCAGAGAGAAACATAAAATATGATCATGAAAATAGTTCAGAGAGAAAAGATCCCGAAAAGGTCATGAACACTGAACACTTGGAGTTTAAGAAACTGTTAACAAATCAAATTAAAAGTGTGAACACAAATAACATCAAAAAATATTGTAATCCTGCAAAGATATCTTTAGAGATATCTAGATATTTAGATATCCAGATAATTAGGTATCCAGATATTTAGATATCCAGATATTTAGATATCCAGATATTTAGATATCCAAATATTCATATATCCAGATATTCAGATATCCAGATATTCAGTTATCCAACTATTCAGTTACCTATATATTTAGATATCCAGATATTCCGATATCTAGATATTTAGATATCCAGATAATTAGGTATCCAGATATTTAGATATCCAGATATTAAGATATCCAGATATTTAGATATCCAAATATTCATATATCTAGATATTCCGATATCCAGCTATTCAGATATCCAGATATTTAGATAGTTAGATATCCAGATATTCAAATATCCAAATATTTAGTTATCTATATATTCAGATATCTATATATTCAGATATCCAGATATTTGGATATCTATATATTCAGATATCTAGATATTCAGATATCCAGATATTCAGATATTCAGATATTTAGATATCCAGATATCCAGATATTCAGATATTCAGATATTTAGATATCCAGATATCCAGATATTCAGATATCCAGATATTCATATTTCCAGATATTCAGATATCCAGATATTCAGATATCCAGATATTCAGATATCCAGATATTCAGATATCCAGATATTCATTGAAACTGCTTTTCAATCGAATACTTAACATAATTAGCTCAAATCATGCGACATGCATAAATTACACTATAAATATGGACAGAGAAGATTAACTGCGTTATATTATATCTATTGTCTTTAATCCTTTAAATAGTACTTTAACCGTGCGATAAATACGTAATGTGAAGGTCTTAATCATGTGATATCAATAACATCGTAGGAATTTAATTACGTCAATTCCTGTTAAGTGTGTAACCTAAGCTATTGAATAAAGTTAATTGAATGAGACTCTGCTTTTGATTACATTATCAGAAGCCTATAAGTAAGCTTAAAAGAAAGCTTTGGTACTCGTTGAATTATACGAATTGAGAAATTGCCTGGGTATCAATTTCATTGGACTGTGTGTCCTTTAGCACTGAGGAGTTAAGCCAGGTTGAGATTTGGACTGTGTGTCCTTTAGGCCTGGGGATTTAAGCCTGGTTTAGAATTTGGCCTGTGTGTCCTATAGAGCCTGGGAGTTAATCCTGGTTAAGATATTGCCTGAGTGGTCTTTAAAATCTAAGAAGTTAGTCCTGGTTGATCTTGGTAACGAGTAGACCTGGATAGATACGTCTCGAGTAAATTATGGAGTAAGTATTTGCCAAAATATAACTATACAGATATCCAGATATCCAGATATCCAGATATTTATATGTCCAGATATAAAGATATCGAGATATTCAGATATGCAGATATCCAGATATCAAGATATCAAGATATCAAGATATTCAGATATTTAGATATCCAGATATGTATTCAACCTTTTTTACGCAAAAAAAGTAATTTTTTTCATGAACTCGATGAACTTTATTAGAATTTGATTTATTTTAAAAACAGAATGAATTTTTACTCTGTGTTGTACTGTAATATTCAACCTTGGTCTGTTAACCTCCCTGGACAGGATCCATATTTATCTGTCATCAACCAAACTTTACACTTCATCTATTTACCTATCCATCAACTATATGTATTAGAGCATGCTTTGAATATACCTGATACGTCTATGTCATTTATTTAGATATGGTTGTACCAATTTTGATATATGCTCATGTATTTCATAAAAAATGTTCTTCCAAATTTCACCATGTTTTCGAATAACCCTACTGCTTTCCCGCGGCAGTCAAGTTTCAACAGTTGACCCTGTACACTTGGCCAGGACAGGTCTAGAACCTCCCCCCCCTCCACCCCACCCTCCCTCCCCCCATCCGGAACACTATCACATCACTCGGAACACTTGTTTAAACAGCTGAATTAAAGTTATTAGTTATTTCTCTAGAAATCTGAACAAGTGAAGTATCAGAAAAAAGTGACTTTAACGATTTAATGCGAAAGTATCGTAGGTTTTCTGTTGTTTTTGCTACATCAGAATATTAGTAGTTTTACTCAGCCTACTTTTGTTTTAAAGAGACTAAAAAGGAATTTTAACTTAACGTATCGCTTCTTCTTAACTTTTTACATACACATAAAAATCAAAAATATTTTCGATACTTATTAATTCTTCAAATTAAAGTGATAACAGATAATGTTAAATTTTAACCTTTTTTAAATTCCTTTTGAATATTGTTTATTCATCTTGTTATAATATATATATATATATATGTTTTTATGAGTCATATTGTATAAATTAGTGCAAATATTTGACAAGCAAAGAAGTAACAACAACAACCGTTAAAATAGACTACAGACAAAGGATTTTATAATAAAACAAAATTATTAAACCTGTATTGTATTGTATTGTGAATATCGAGATAAACTCTTGATCTTGATCTTTTGGTAATCTGAAAGATTAATTTAATCATTTAATCTATATTCGATATTCCGCACGGTAATCGTAACCTAGAGGAAAAACGGAATTGAAGAAATCGTATATTGAGATCAAGAACTTGGGTTTCTGGCTCTGGATTATATTAATCTAGTTTAATTCAGTATTTCAACAGGAAAATGTGTCAAGGTTATATCTTGGATATTTTCTATTTCAATATTTTTAATAGTAATTTGTTCAAAATTGGACTAGACGATTTTCCTCTTTTAACGAGTATATAAATAACAAAAGTATTAAATTTTTTTATAATTCAACCAAATATATTTACTTTTCTTATAATTGGACATAAATCCAAGAATAGAGGATTTACGAGGTCACATTGTCGAACCAGTAAATTCGCTCAAAGGAACTGAGTTTTTTTTCTACTAACTTTAATTTTCTAATCACTATAGATCTTTACAACTTGATGGTGTAAACATATGATATTTCGAATTTAAATTATTTTTATAATTTATAATTTAAAATTCAAAGGTCTACCTAGTACCTACGACAATGGGTAGGCAATTAGAAAATCAGAGTTTTTGGCAAAAACTCAATTCCTTCTTTATTACATGTAGATTGGAGTGATTTGTAAAACTTAAAATAATCTTGATCCTTAAAATTAAGAAGGAAAATTAATTATGATTGATTCTAAAAATAATGAACATGAATATTGATTGATTCTAAAAATAATGAACATGATTATTGAGTGATTCTAAAAATAATAAACATGATTATTGATTGATTCTAAAAAAATGAACATGATTATTGATTGATTCCAAAAAGAATGAACATGATTATTGATTGATTCTAAAAAGAATGAACATGATTATTGATTGATTCAAAAAATAATGAACATGATTATTGATTGATTCTAAAATGAATGAACATGAATGTTGATTGATTCTAAAAATAATGAACATGATTATTGATTGATTCTAAAAAGAATGAACATGATTATTGATTGATTCTAAAATAATGAACATGAATGTTGATTGATTATAAAAAGCATGAACATGATGGAATGTTGATTGAATCTTAAAATAATAAACATCAATCATATTGAAATTTAAAAATATTGTAAAATTTAATTAAAATAAATTATTTAAGTTAAAAAACATTAATATTGATTAATTCTAAAGTATAAAGTGCATTAACTATTGCGTACTTGATTCATTAAATACCTCTATTCATAAAACCTATAGTTAATGGTTTGAATTTAAATCACGAAATATAAACGAATCATGAAACAAAAGCCAACTAAATCAGCAAACCGTAAGCTTGCACTAAATAAAGTTACAGATTTTTTGCAATTTAATTTTCATCTAAACATTTTTTAAGCTTAAATATCACCGTTATGGCCTTTTGAGCTCTAATCTGAGTTTAAGTTAGTTTTAATTTTAAAAATGAATTCCTTTTTTTATTATGTAATTGCAACTTTGATTTTTCATTTTATCGTTTAACCAACAGATTTTTAATCCCATATTTTCTCAAACACAGCTATCTGTCAGAATTGATTTGAATTTACAATATTTACAATAAATATATTGCGGGTTTACTGGATCCATTCAAGGATAAACATATGAGGGAAAAGTAATTAAATATTGAAATCATGGTAAATCAATGCAATCTACAATTGATACAATGTTTGTAAATGAAAATATTATCAGATTATATTCATTTTGTCCATTCTTACCATGAAACACTAAACAAATGCATTTAAAGAGGAGTATTGTGGCAAAAATCAGTCACCCCCCCCTGACCCCCTAAAATACGTATCCTACATGGGGGGTTCCAGCTTGTCCAGGCAGGAAATGGGAGGGTTCGGGTGGTGGGGGTGGGACGACTCTATCTTTCTTTATTGTAAAATCAAAACTAGAGAACTTCGGGGTCACAGAGTCCTGCCAGTATATACCGTATAAAGTTGACCTTCTTTTTCTAGGTAGTTTGCAGTGATACAACACTGATAGATAGATTTCAATTTTCAGATAAATGGTTAAATAATGAAACTAGTGCTGCTGCTGGTTTTCTGGTTTACAACTGCAGTTTCTATAAATGTGGATAAATGTTGTCCCCTTAACAGGAAATTCATATAAACTTTCCTATTCTTGTTTTATCCGCATTCTAGATATTTAAAATTCCAGGGTAGTTGTTTTTTGGCTCGAATTTGATGCTAAAAATTGATCATACACCGTAAGAAACTAGATTCTCGCCTAAAACTCTGACAATTTGATTTCTATATTTTTGCAACAAGATTTCTAAGACATGAAATTATAAATTCTGAGACCGAATTTAAAGATTTTGAGCCTCGGTTTAAATTTAAGCCTCGGCTCAAATATGATTGGCTCCACTTAAATTTGTATTATTTATTTCAAGATTTAAGCCAGCGGTCAATTAAAACCGGTTTTTGACGAATTTAAGACGTGGCGCAAATTCATTAAATTCGGACATTGATAGACTTAATTGTCAAAGTTTAAAATTAGGTTAACATGTCAAAGGTTTACGCCAACAGGTTGCAAATATATAAAGGGATTCGAAGCTTTGAGTTTGAGGCGAGAAATCAGTTCCTTTCAGTCCATATTTAATAAAGCTCTTTGTTTATTCATAAATGTATGTTAGCTCTAGCTGGCCAACTAGCTGGACCGAATTAGCTGATTTTTTTAGGAAACCAATGGGGGTAACATAGGCTTAAAAAAATTCGAAATTTTCTTTTTCAAAAATCTTTTTTTCTTTTAAAATTCCACGGGTAACGTAGGGCACTTCAGCTAGTAAACAACTAAATTGATAGATATTTATGAATTGTGTTTAAGTGTTTTCGATGTAAGCACAAACAAGTGTTTTGCTTTCAACTCAAGCATCACGATCAGTGAAACCAGTTTGTTGTTTAATAAACACAAACCAAAAATATTCTCATTAGAGTCAGAGGATTTTATTGAAGAGGGGATATCAGCAACAGATTATAGGTTAGTTTTATCTTTGTCCTCATTCTTGTCCTCATCATGGCCACATACTTGTCCTCATTCTTATCCTCATTCTTGTCCTCATCCTTGTCCTCATCCTTGTCCTCATCCTTGTCCTCATCCTTGTCCTCATCCTTGTCCTCATCCTTTTCCTCATCCTTGTCCTCATCCTTGTCCTCATATTTGTCTTCATCCTTGTTCTCATTCTTATCCTTTTTCTCATTCTTATCCTTATTCTTGTCCTTCTCCTTGTCCTCATCCTTGACCTCATCCTTGTCTTCATCCTTGTCCTCGTCCTTGTCCTCTTACTTGTCCTCATCCTTGTCCTCTTCCTTGTCCTCTTCCTTGTCCTCATACATGTTCTCAACCTTGTCCTCAGTAGGGGTGTGACATTTAGTGAAATTTTTCTTTTATCATTTTACAGAAGCAAAATAGTACTCATAAAACGTTTTTTTTATCCAACTCAGTCAAATTTCAATACTTTTCTATTCTGTAAACTGACTTGAATTCCGAAATTCAACTCGGTTCCAAAGAAAACAAATTTGATCATCTTTTTTTAAATTCTTATTTTCACCTATACTAGTGACTTTTTAAACATTAACCTAAATTTAAGGGGTACATTTCGAGGTATGTGAAAAATGTATTTTATAAACATGTCTTTCACACCCTTAGTCCTTGTCCTTGTTGTAGGTTACCATCCTGACCTCATCCTTGTCCTTGTTGTAGGTTACCCTCCTGTCCTCATCCTTGTCCTTGATGTAGGTTACCCTCCTGTCCTCATCCTTGTCCTTGTTGTAGGTTACCCTCCTGTCCTCATCCTTGTCCTTGTTTTAGGTTATCCTCCTGTCCTTGATGTAGGTTACCCTCCTGTCCTTGTTGTAGGTTACCCTCCTGTCCTTGTTGTAGGTTACCCTCCTGTCCTGCTGGAGAAAAATATACAATTATTCAAAATATTGAAGACGAAGAAAACTTTGTTTTGATAAAAGGTAAATAAAATTAGAAATATACTGATTACCCGTTTCAAACTCTGATATACCTTTGCAACCTGATTTCATGGACCATTTCATGGACTGATTCCATGGTCGCAATGTACAGGGTGTCAAAATAAACATGAGAATTGAGCAACGAATTTAAAGTCGTTTTTTATTTCTGATTCTTAATGCATGGAAAAGAAAGTAAAAAAACTAGGCTGTATTGTATGTCTCACGAGCTTTTCATAAAGTGGTCTACCTTTCTTATATCATAAAAATTGACCAGGATATTAGATATTAAGACAATTTTGCTTTAAGGAATATTTTGAGAATTTAAAATATCTCGTCAATTTTGAAGATACAAAAATGGTTCCCTGTTCATAAAAACAAAATTATATTTTATGAAAAGCATCCATCGTCAGGTTGCATACGATGTTGGGATTAGAATATTTTAAGTTTTAGGCGATCAATCAATTTTTTTGGGAAATCAGAAATCATTTAAACATTCACAAATCATTTGACATAAACAAAATTAGAAAATATTTGATTGTGTAAAAATACAATAATTAATGTAGATCTAGATATAAATATTGTTTATTTAAGAAGACGGTTCACTGTTTAAAACTGAGGATGGTTCTACAGAGGCTATGTTTTGCATCGATTCTATAATTCGTCAGGTAATACGGTGAATACGGTGGTCTTCTTCATTGTTCGGACACTTTTAGACCTTTCAAACATTTTCAAAGAGTTATAAAAAAATTGTGAATGATCATTTTCTTTAAAAGTTGGAAAAGTCTGCCAATAGTGCCCCTTAAACCTTCTGCAAAGAAAGAATGAAATTCATTTCCAAGTTAGAACAATTATCTTCATGTAAAGTGTAGACCACATTTTGAAATGCCGGAACCAGGAATATTTTATGATAATTGTTTTAAGAATTTAGCACAATTTTTAAAATGTTGATATTATTTGATAAATGAATGCTTGAAAGGTGCAGTACGGAGGTAACATCAAATGACTCTTCATTAAAAAAAATGAACGTTATATTCGCAACTTTGCAAGTTATTTATTCTGACTAGCTGCAATCGAAAATAATCAATTTTTAGAAAGAAACATAAGGAAACCTCATTCATCCTTGATGAAACAAAGGTTTAAAAGAAACCATCAGAAATAAGCCACGTCACTCTATTTTGTTTGATTAAGGAAATGAGTCTTTGTCACAAATTCAAATTTTCCAATCACTATATCTTTGCAACCTGATGCTGTAAACCTGTGGTATTTCAAACTTAGATTTCTCAGAATTCATATTTTGAAATATCTAAGGTTTACGACTTAGGGTTGCAAAGCTATACGAATTATAAAGTCATGGTTTGTGGCAAAGACTCAATTCTTTTATATTTGTAGAATACAGTTGTCGGACATCTTGCTGTTTTATGCGGAATAAGCGAGGAAAAAGGTAAGTACAATGTGTTTTAATAAACACTGCAGTGCACTTAATTAACCGGGGTTTTGGTTAAAAATCTATTATATTTTTACACGAGTAAAATTTATAAAAGTTTCCCAAAATATCTTGAAGCTTTTAGTCCAAAAAATTAATGATTTTTCGAAACTTAGCGTTAAAAAAAAATACATATATATTTGCGCTCCGCCTTGCTAACATTCCTGATATACTTGGGAAAAGTTAATAGGGAAGGGGGCTGGGGAGCTAGGAAATAATTTGTCAACAAAATATTCACAAAGGTATCTACAGTAACCCTATTTTAGAAATCCAATCACAAACTCTGATTTATTAACCTTATTATCTTTACAACCTGAGGCCGAATTTAAAGAATTTGAGCCGCGGTTCAAATATGTTTGGTTCCACTTAAAATTGTATTAATTTTTTCAAGATCAAAGCCGGTGCTCAATTGAAACTGGTTTTTGGCAGATTTAAGCGTCGGTTCAAATTCATTAAATTCGGACCCCGTTATCGTATGACCTTAGATATTATTTTTGCAAGTGGGAGAATCGCCTAGTTTATTTACATTTTGATAATAAATAAAATAAAGATACTAAAATATGTCAGAAATTGATCTAAATTTTAAAATTTATTTGTCAGTCTGTGGTGGGTTTACATATTAATAATAGTAAGAGATACTTGAATCTGAATCTGTTTTGTTTTGTTTAGTATGTTCCGGTTTATTCTGCATCAACAACTGCTGTCCTGAGGGAACTGTTTACAAAACAAATCTAGGAACTGGTTTAAATAATAGTTTTAAATATCATCAATGGGACTGTAAGGGTAATTTCAAGTGACAATGCCCGATTCACAACGGTACCTTTACAAGCAATATCTGATTAGGAATGAATTAGATATCAATGTTTATGATTTTGAAAACTGATTAATTTCAATTGTGGTTTTACTCACTTGAAACAGTCCCTTTAATCAACTAATATTATTTGATCTTGTTAGGTCTAAAACTCAGATATTAAAATTGTTTTAATTACTTATTTCCATTTGATTAAAACAATTATTTCTTAGCATATCTGATCAATTGAGCATGAAAATGTATCTGTAAACAATGTACACTGCAAAAGCTGTGAATTTTAGGTTCATTGGACTATTAAAATCATATCTTGAGTCATATACTCCTCTTCCTATTCTGATATTTATAGGTCCAAATGTGTTCAGCTCACCATCTTGTTAAAGCTTCTTTAAGAGGCTGTTGTTGGAATTTCATGTGATCCTCCATTTGCATAATCATTAAATTTTATCTTTAAATCTTATCTTCAAATTTTTTTTCGAGTTTCAAACTGAAATTCATAATTCACTAGAATGGCTAGCTCAGCCATTCTAGATCAGACAGAGCTTTTTAGGTAAATTCCACTCTTAAGTTGGAGGGTAACTTGAAATTATGTTTACAGTCCTTATAAGGTACATGTATATTAACTAGTAATCACGCCAGGTGAGTGTCAACCTACTTCTGAGTTCAAGTTTCCCCAGCTACTCAAGGAGACAGTCAAGTCGGTCAACCCAACGCTTCCAGGTCATTATACTTGTTGGTCAGCCCAGCATGGTCAGGTATAATTCAGGATAAGCAGCTTTCAAAGATTCAGAATATTTTACAAAAAGACCCATATATATGTATCAAAAATGTTATACAGCAAAAAACTCACCAAGTGGGTCTAATTTTGCACATAACACTTGAGACTTTCAGGAATTTAGATACGGGACTTTTAAATCGTGGCCTGTGATTGTTTTGATTTCAAATTACATGGTAAAAGATTTATAATAGAAAAAAATTTTCTAGGAAAGAATTTCTTGTTTTATGCTCTTTTTGCTCTGATACATAATTATAAAATAATATATAATATATATAATAATATATGTATTAACAGAACTTTTTTGGACAACATTAGCAGTAAAATGTTTTTATAAAATGTTGTCTAGGGGAAGGTTGGGAGGACAGCCTCAAGATATACTATCGTGAACCTAATTGCTCTCATCTTCATATCTACTCAGGTTCTTAAAGGGACTGTAAACGAAATTTCTAGTGACCCTACATTTATAGAGTGGCATGTCAATCCACGACGGTAACCTTTAAAACATTTTCTCATCAGAGATGATAATACAGATAACCACCATTTTTTCTTTAAAAAATGTTTATTTTCAATTGCGGTGTCTCTGCATAATGGCTTGTGGATTTCTGCTTCAAAAATAATGGAGGATATTGTCAGAATTCAACCCTTTTCAGGCTAGAAAAATTATGATATCTTCCACATTATTAATCAGACATAGGTTTAAAAGGTACCATTGTGAATTGGAATTGCTTTTTTTTCATTGTAGGGTCACTTGAATTAACAAAACCCAAACCCTTTGATAGAATTTGATTTTGGAACATAAACTTTTTTTCCGTATTTTGTAACCTATAATGTTGACATTTGACATTTCAAACTGCTAGATAATATAGCCAAAGTTTGAAATATCACATGTGCACACCATTAGGTTGCAAAAATTTAGGAATAAAAAATTAGAGTTTGATAACAATGTTCAATAGTTCCTTCGTATGGCCTGGTAAATATGCTTGAAACTGGTCAATAATGTGTTTGAAAAATGTTTTGTAAATAAGTACAACTAACCAACATAAAAATTACAACTATCACTATTTGCCTATCCCTGAAATGCTTTAATGTACGTGTCAAAACTAGTGCAAGTGCTGTTTCTAATAATTTGATACGTTTTCACTTTATACTACAGGGTGTCCCAAAAAACATGGGAATTCAGTGACGAATTCGATATCGTCTTTTCAAATAATTCTTTGATTTAGTGTAGTGATATTTACTGAGAAAGCTGTAATCTGTAAGAGTTTCGTCTGCTATGTTTACATTTTGTTTGTTTATGTTTTGACTGCATACAGTTGTACTTAGTAAAACAAGAAAATTACAGTATACAAACAGAGTAAACTTGTCTGTCTTCACTGTTCATCTTGCGGAGATATTATAGACACATCTTTACAGTCTTTTACCCTTTTCATAAAATAAGCTCTAGCAGACACAATAATATTATGGCTTTTGAAATTAGGTATTACAATGCTAATTCATAGCAAAGACGATATCAAATTCGTCACTGAATTCCCATGTTTTTTGGGACACCCTGTATATTTATTTTATTAGAAGATGAGTTTGAGGTTGAGGCGGAAGGTTGGTTACGCGCCGGTCAAACTATACTTCCTTATACACAGTTCTGTTTAAACCCAGTGCAGCAATATAACTCTACAGTTCTTCAAGCAAAGGTAGATTATCAGTTCTAGAACATTAAATTTTGTCAATAATCTAAAAAATCTTTATTTACTTATTATAATTCATACAGCGTAATTTTATTATCAGATACCATGCCGTGATTCCACAAGTATAAATATATGTATGCTAAAGGGCCCGGTATTGCCCGTGAAAAAAAGAAAAGAAAAAAATCGAGAGAAAAAAAATTATCGATTTTTTAGTCTATAACACCCCCTGGCCACCCATGAGTATCCACAAAAAATGTCAGCCCTTTCGATCCAGCCGTTTTGCCGGCTATACGCAACCTATATATATACGAATGTCTTGTTTTATTATATAGATTATGCATTATACAGTTAAAGTTACAAAATTAATTCAAATGGTATGTTCTATCTCAGCAAATAATTATATTGTATCCAGGTTTGCTCTAGAATTGATGAGAATGATCTCCTGATCTACTCCGTCCTATCTCAGCAAATAATTATATTGTATCCAGGTTTGTTCTGGAATTGATGAGAATAATCTGATCTACTCCGTCCTATCTCAGCAAATAATCATATTGTATCCAGGTTTGCTCTGGAATTGATGAGAATTATCTGATTTACTCCGTCCTATCTCAGCAAATAATTATATTGTATCCAGGTTTGCTCTGGAATTGATGAGAATGATCTGATTTACTCCGTCCTATCTCAGCAAATAATTATATTGTATCCAGGTTTGCTCTGGAATTGATGAGAATTATCTGATTTACTCCGTCCTATCTCAGCAAATAATTATATTGTATCCAGGTTTGCTCTGGAATTGATGAGAATGATCTCCTGATCTACTCCGTCCTATCTCAGCAAATAATTATATTGTATCCAGGTTTGTTCTGGAATTGATGAGAATGATCTCCTGATCTACTCCGTCCTATCTCAGCAGATTATTCCAGTTCTCATCATTCTCTCAGAGATATTTCTCTTCCTCACCTTTTCTCTTCACGTTCTAGTTCCAGAGTTCAGAAAACAGATATTTGGTAAGTATCATACCATGGTTCAGATAACAGACATTTGTTAGGGTTTATATATGTGGAGTGGAGTTCGGAAAGCATATATTTGGTAAGAAGCATAGCAGAGTTTAAAAAACAGATATCTTGTGTACTGTTGCTAGCCTATTCCTCTCCTATCAATGGTTCCTAATAATAATAATATGATAGGATGGATGAAAATGTGTACTGTTGCTAGCCTATTCCTCTCCTATCAATGGTTCCTAATTATCCTATTTGGAGGAGATCTCCTGATACAAGAATATCCAGCCCTATGCCAGGTAAATAAGTGTTAATCAGAAAATACTGGAATGATTTTCGAATTATTTCGGTCTTTCTGTTGTTAGAACTTTTGGATTGTAAATCTCAGGATCAAGCATAGATCTCAATCTTATGCAGACCTACAGATTAATTTAATTCCTATTCATTAACCAATAAAGAATGCATGCCTGGAAAGCCTTTATTGAGGGAAAAAGCATTTTCTTCAAATTAAAAATGCCCACATTGGATATCGGATCATTCTTACTTGAATTATTCTTAATTTAAAGTAAATAAATCTGTTATACTTCGAGTAATTTATTCTAAAATAGGATTATTTCCATTGTCTTTAGTTATATTCAAGATTATAGTGCAAGGAAAGTTATTTCAGAGGTGTAGGCATCTCTTGTACTGCAGTGTACTGTCTCTGGGCGATAATGTAAACACAAGACGGATGTCGAAGTCTGACACGGGATCCATTTTTCACATAAAAAATTAATGAAATATTCCGGTCATAGGAAACTATTATGTGAATTATTAAAATTATCAAAATGCAATGTTTTTAACCTCATAGGATACTAAACTAACACTGATGCATTTATTCTTTTTTACAAATTCCGCCCAGAGAGAACTGGTTTCAATATGTATGCAGAGTATACGCAACTGCAATTAACTTTCCTTGCATTATAACCTTGGTTATACAGAACAATATTGTTTTAATTCAGCTGATGGGGTTCTTGATACAGTTTTGTTTCCTCTGCTCCTTCACCTGGATGACAACAATGTCAATTGAGGTAGAAATCCATCAATTAATTATTAATTAATTAAATCAAATAAACAATTATATTTACTTAAACAAACAATTAAGTTATTAACTTTTAGGGCGCTTCGCGCCATTCTTCTATTTCAACTTTTAATTGTGGCTCTATCTGTGAGCATTTTCTCTTTGTACAATATAAAACAATAACAAAAAAAAGTTTTTAGTTAAAACTTTTCGACACAAATTTTGTAATTTTGAGCAACCATAAACCTTACTGGGGTCATGTGAGGTCCCACACAAAATTCGGGCCCGATCGGTTCTGCCGTTTTGACATTTGTTGGATACAAACAGACAAACAGACAAGCATAGTATAAATTGAATAAATTAAATTATCAATTTATCAATTAAGTAACTTTAGAATGATCATTAAATGAATAGATAAATAAATCAAAAATTCAAAGAATCAAATAAACAATCAGTAGATTAATCAGTAAATCAATTAGTAAATAAATAAATAAATAAATAGAAATAAAGAATAATTGATAAATCAAACATAACTTCATAACTTGATCAACAATTGTTGTTTCATTTGAAATTCTGCAAAAACTAGAAAAAACATAAAAAAGTGTTTAGGAAAAGTTTATTTCTTTAAAAATCTTATCGTTGATTTGTTTGTCCCAAGAACATAATCGGGTTGTAACGATCAAATATCGGAATTTTTCTATTGCGAAAGTTTGGTGATTAAGGGGTTCTGTATTGATCTGCCAGTGGTTGTAATCTGGCAGCACATTCATCCGTTCCTGCTTTATTTATTTTGAGATAAGGATTGACTAGAATTCTGCTGCCTAAGGGCTGCTTATACCTGAAATAGGCCTGCTTAGGCTGATCGGTTCATTTTTGAACAGTCATTGATAATACTTAATTTTTCAGGTCTGGTTGACCTTTAGAAAGTTGACCGCTAACAGTGAAACTGATGCTAGACAAAGGAACTTGTTTTAACTGTTTATTTATTTATATTTTGTTTTAAAACATTTATTCCAAATTTAGGTTGGTCGGAACTTTAGAAAGCCTTAATCCGTATGGTTTTTAAGCTGACAAAGTTTTATGAAATTTTTAACAAGTTTAATAAGCCTTGGACTAAGAAGATCTCAAAACAATCTGCTCTTGGCCAATGATTTATAACAAAAAGTCAGCTTCTATTCATGAATTAAGCAATTAATCAGTTTTACATTAAAAGTTTACGTTACCGTGGATATCCAAGTTAAGCTTTTTAAATTTCGACCTCAGATTAAATAAAAATAAATGTTGATGAAACCCTTTCTTGATATTAAATGTGCACGCAAATAAAAGGGACTTGTGGGATGAAGATACAGTGATAACCATAAAACTCTGAAATAGGAAGACGACTTTTAGATTCAGGTTATGACGTTAAATAGTCCGATGAACATAAAACAGAGCAATAGTGAAGTATAACCAGACCAATTTCACTTAAAAAGTGAATCAATAAGTTATTAGTAAAAATCAAATGCACTTAATCATTGTTGTAATGTCGTCTTCCTAGTCCACAGTTTTCTTGTTCTTATTGTATATTTTCTATGCTTTATATTTTCTATACATCTATTATTTGGTGTAAAATTCTCTAAAATCTTTTTATAAAAATGGAATAAAATTTCAGTTATTCAATTGTAGAAGTCAGAGAAGAAGATTTAAACAATATAATCTTTTCTCATTTGGAACTCCGCTACTAGGTACAGTACAGTACAGTACAAGTACAGTACAGTACAGTACAGTACAGTACAGTACAGTACAGTACAGTACAGTACAGTACAGTACAGTACAGTACAGTACAGTACAGTACAGTAAAGTACAATACAATACAGTACAGTACAATATAGTACAGTACAGTATAGTACAGTACAGTACTGTACTGTACTGTTCAGAACAGTACAGTACAGTACGGTACAGTACAGTACGAGATGTAAACGTTTTACTTTAAGAAAACCTTGTCATTGTTTTTTGCCATGTTGTTTTCATAACTTTTATTACAGTGTTCGGCGTTTGTATCAATGCAATGTAGACAATTTTTCTTACATGTTTTAATTTCTAATAAGGTTTTTTCAAATTACAATTTTACAAGTAAAAAAAGAGAAGCTATTAATTGGCATTTCCTTTGTGTTTCCATGTTTATGTGTGTCCATACTGTTTAAAAACTTATAGAAAGTCGTCTTCATTGTGTTTCAAAATATATACGACGACTGTAGAAAAATAGAAACTTTTATTTTAAAATCGTATGTTTTTGTTTAGTTACTGTGTGCACCATAGCAGTGCACTTTACACCTGACCATCTTAAGGAAAATATTATTTCCCCGGGATTTGGTGAGTAAAAGAAATAACAACTATAATTATTATTATCATTATAATTTTTATTATTATTATTATCATTTTTATTCTTATTCAAATCAATTTATATTCCTTTTAACAGTTATCAGTGTAGAATTTAACAATTTCAACAATAAGATGGTTTTATTTACATTTTTACAGGTCATCATTCGTCAATGCACAGTGATAAAAATTGAAAGCTCGTGTGCCAAATTTACTGCGATGTTTGCCAATTAGTGCTAAAAACTAAACCTAAACAGAAGTTTTATAAAGTTCTAAATTGTACATGACTTTATGACTTTAAAATAATATAAGTGAGTTACTGAGGTAAAATCAAATTCCAAGGCTTTAATGTGAATTTAGGCTTATACTTTTTGGATATCCCTGTACAAGAAAGAAAACACCTAAGTAACGGGTTTGGGGATGTAATTAAAAACGTAAATAAAGCCACGTTTTTCTTCTATGTTTAGGTGAGGGGAGCTGTTTTATTGAGGGATATTTGGCTAAAATTCTGTATTTTCACGGATTAATTGCTCTCCTACTGGCAGGTAACTAGAAAAGTACAAGTGAACTGTTTTGTAAAATAAAAGGCTTGGCGACACTTTAAGTTGACCCAGTCTTAAAAATTATGCAACTTTTGATGCAACAGGATTTATGTGATAACAGATCAAATTGAAGTAAATTTCATGTTAGACAAAATCTTACACTCTTTCAAACATGGCTTCATATATCTGAAGAATTATTGAGAAAAATTTAAAGATTTGGACTTAAAATATGCAATAAGATTAAGGAGCAGAGTTCTTTCTACAAACTCTGAGTTTTAATTCTTATATTTTTTGCAATTCGATGTTCCAGTCGATCCTTTAATATTTCAAACTATAAATTCTGTTAGATCAAAAATCCTAAGTTTGAAATATCAAAGGTTTAAACCATAATGTTAAGATAAAGGGATTAGAAAATTTCAGTTGGTACTTAGTGGCAATATTAAAAATATTTCAGTTAGTGGCTAGTGACAATATTAAATATTTCAGTTATATATCAAAGCATTTTTGTTGTATCTACATTCTACATTTCTAAAAGTACTCTAAGAATTATGTTTTCAAATGTTAAATCTGAATTCTGACACATGTTGCTTGCTCCAATACATAAACATAATATATCAACTGGCTTCTAGACTGACAGAAAAATATACTTTAATGAGTTTTAAAGCTCTAACACCAGGGGAGTGTAGGGGGGCTGATTTACACGCAATCCCCGGCCCCCTCCCTCTTCTACTCTGATTAGAAACGTTTTCCGGCTAATTTTTTGTTTAGGTAACAAATTTCTGTTTAGTAAACCTATAATTCTGTTTAATAAACCTGGTTCTGTCTAGAAAACTTGGTTGTGTTTGGTAAACCTGGTTCTGTTTAGTAAACCTGGTTCTGTTTAGTAAACCTGGTTTTGTTTAGTAAATTTGGTTTTGTTTAGTAAACCTGGTTCTGTTTAGTAAACCTGGTTTTGTTTAGTAAATCTGGTTTTGTTTAGTAAACCTGGTTCTGTTTAGTAAACCTGGTTCTGTTTATTATCTCCGCGTACTCGCTTCTGCTCGGAGTCTGGGCTCCTGCTAGAGATGAACAAGGATCCAGGTTTCAGAGATTTAATATTAAACTAGGGAAAAAAAATAAATCCTCAAAACAGCATAAATATAAATAATCTTAATGATATTGAAAAGAATAAATAATCTAGATACTATTTAAATAATTAATTGATTAACCAAATTAATTATTAATTATTCAGATGATGGACTGACAAACTAAATGAATTGATCTTCTGATTGATTAGCTAAATGACTAATGAATTTATCTTCTGAGTAATCAATTAATTGATTAACTTAATGAATTATGAATTGATCTTCTGATTTATCAATTTATTGATTAGCTAAATGAATAATGAATCTTTTCTGCTGATTTATCGATTGATTTATTAACTAAATGTATTCTGAATTGATCTTCTGATCGATCAATTGACTGATTGAGTAAATAAATGCTTGATGAATTATGAAATAATCCTCAGAATTATATATTGATTGATTGACTAAATGAATAATAAACCTGCTCTGCTAGGCGGATAAACGGACAGATGACATGGATTGTATTTGAACTGTTTCTTGTGATGGGATTAACCTGGGGATCAGAGATATTAACAATCTCAATAGATTGGGCTCATTCTACTTCACATTACTTAGGTAAATTTATCCTGATCATGATCCTGATCCTGATCTTAATCCTGATCCTGATCTTGATCCTGATCTTGTTCCTGATCTTGATCCTGATCTTGATCCTGATCTTGATCCTGATCTTGATCCTGATCTTGATCCTGATCTTGATCCTGATCTTGATCCTGATCTTGATCCTAATCTTGATCCTGATCTTGATCCTGATCTTGATCCTGATCTTGATCCTGATCTTGATCCTGATCTTGATCCTGAAAGTTAAAAATTTTCTCACTTATTTTCATTAAAAACAGAATAGAACACCAGCCTCAGACTTTAATTTTATTGTCATTTTAACCTTAGAAAACTAATGGTATGCATATATAGTTATAAACAAATTGAATCTACAAGAATTTTTAGTTTGAAATTTGAAAGGTCCGCTTCCGGCCTGCGACATCAGGTTCCAAAGATGTTATTAGTTCAGATCAGGATTTGTATAGTTAGATGCTTGTTTTCAGTAAATTTAAATGGTTTATTTCTAGGCCCGACTGAAGCCAATGATTGAATGTGGAAAAGGAAGCTCACGTGACTCAGTGGATGGCAATACCAGGAGTAAGGTGAGTGTACAAAACTACACTGATAACCAAAAAACTTTTAGACTTTAGTTATGACTTTAATTAATACAATAAACTTGTGGCACAACAATTGTGAACACAGATTCATTTCACTTAATAAGTGGTTTAATAACTTAATATTAAAGGTATTGCGTTGCATTGCAACAACATCAAATGCTCTTCGGTATTGCATTAATGTCGTCTTCCTATTCTACAGTTTTCTTGTTATCACTGTATAGTAATTAATACATTTTTAGAGGGAAAAATGTATTTTTGAAATTATATTAATGTTGAAATCAATAATTAAACCAGGGAGCAAATCAAAAAAAAATGTGAGAAGTAGTTGAACTTCGTCCACGCAGTTAAACCACTTCTCTTAAATCATTAAATCTAGTCCTAGAAGTAATTATTGTTTTCAATGATAAAAAAGGGAATATTATCACAATCGTAGTCAATCTTTTAAAGTGGGGAGCTCTAAAACTTTGTGGGAGAATGACGACATTTAAGCAATATTATGTGCATGCGTATGTGTACCCTGCACAGTGCACAATTGCTGTGTTTCAAGTTCATTAAACTATTCCACACTTTTTTGGGTTCCACCTTAGATAAATTAACCAGCCCAGCATTTTGAATAATCTAAATAAAATGTTCAGGAACCACATTTGTCTCCTAAGACTCTGTCCACATCTGTGCTGAAGACTGAAATACCCTTGAAAGAGTTAAACCCGAACCAACAGCTCAGACTTGGACCTGGAGAAGAACCAGGAGCAGAACCTGAACCAGGATCTCGTCTAAAAGCTTCTAAATCTCACAGCATATTCGGGAAAAGGTAAACAGCAAAATGAAAGATATTTTACTATAAAAAAAACCCTCCGAAAATCATAAAAATGTTGATGAGAAAGAAACTGAATATTCATCCCAAACTCTCATTTTCTATAAATTCTTTTTTTTCAATCCGGTGGTGCAACCTTTCATATTTCAAACTTAGATTAGTTAAACTAAGAGAATTCATAGTTTAAAAATTTAAAGTGTACACAATCAGGTTGCAAATATATAGAAAATCTTTTAATTTTTCCATAACAGTTTGAATTATGAAAGATTTACACGATCAAGTTGCAAGGATATGTAAATAAAAAAATCAAAGTTTTAGTCAAGTGTTCAGTTCCTTTGTGTTGCTAAATTCCCAGATGTCTACATAGAAAGTCCAAGTTTAATGAAATTAATTTGAACATTTTCTTAAAAAAAAAAACATTAAAGCCGGGAAAACACATTCAGTTTTGCATCTAAACCCAATTTTCATATGTTAATACATAAAGCTGAACCAATAAAACTGTACAAAGTATATAAATATTATAACAAAAAAGTAGACAAATAGTATAAAATAGCAGACAAATAGTATAAAAGGAAGACAAATAGTATAAAATAGCAGACAAATAGTATAAAAGGAAGACAAATAGTAGACAAATAGTATAAAATAGTAGACAAAAAATATAAAATAGTAGAGAAATAGTAGACAAATAGTAGACAAATAGTATAAAATAGTAGACAAATAATATAAAATAGTAGAAAAATAGTAGACAAATAGTATACAACAGTAGACAAATAGTGTAAAATGTAGACAAATAGTATAAAATAGTAGACAAAGAGTATGAAATAGTAGGCAAATAGTATAAAATAGTAGACAAATAGTATAAAATAGTAGACAAATAGTATAAAAGGAAGACAAATAGTATAAAATAGCAGACAAATAGTATAAAAGGAAGTAAAATAGTAGACAAATAGTATAAAATAGTAGACAAATAGTATAAAATAGTAGACAGGTAGTATAAAATAATAGACAAATAGTATAAATAGTAGACACACAGTATAAAATAGTAGACAAATAGTATAAAAAAGTAGACAAATAGTATAAAAAGTAGACAAATAGTATAAAATAGTAGACAAATAGTATAAAAAGTAGACAAATAGTATAAAATAGTAGACAAATAGTATAAATAGTAGACAAATAATATAAATAGTAGACAAATAGTGTAAATAGTAGAAAAATAGTATAAATATGCAAATAGTATAAAAAAGTAGACAAATAGTATAAAATAGTAGACAAATAGTATAAAATAGTAGACAAATAGTATAAAAAGTAGACAAATAGTGTAAAATAGATACAAATAGTATAAAATAGTAGACAAATAGTATGAAAAGTAGACAAATAGTATAAAATAGTAGACAAATAGTATAAATAGTAGACAAATAGTATAAAAAAGTAGACAAATAGTATAAATAGTAGACAAATAGTATAAATAGTAGACAAATACTAAAAACAGGAGACAAATAGTCAAAACTGTTTGATTTATAAAAACATCAAATACACGTTTTGGACCTCATTCTATTCCACAGTTTTACGGGTCCGCCTGTAACATAACATTAAGCAATATAAAAAAAAACGTATCTACGTTTTTTTTTATATTGCTCGGACATTCAATTAGATCTAGCAAGTGTCGTGTGTGTTTGCCTTAACATATGTTTTACATCTTCTCAAAATATGCCCTGCTCATCATCTATTAGATTAGTTTCTAGGCTAAACTTTGTATTTTCAAATTAAAAGAAATTGATTGAGAATTGTTAAAGTCATTCTAAATATTACACACTCGTACTTAAAATCATTGTGTTAACTCTGGGACCGAATTTAATGGATTTGAGCCAGTTCTAGAGACGGTTCAGCCATGCTTCTTGAATCGGTTATTCAGGTTTCGTCCATGTCAGCAACCCAAAGTACAGATATGTAGTTGAATCGGCGGTAGATGGTTCAGCAACCAAGCTAAAATTTATTATACAAGGCTTTTTCGCTTTGCGCCCTTCTTCTATTTCAACTTTTAACTGTGGCTTTATCTGTGAGCATCTTCTCTTTGTACAGTATAAAACAAAACAAAAAAAAGTTTACGGATTTCATATTATTTTTTCGCGCATTTCAAAATTTTACAAAAATAAAAAAATTTTAGATACAATTTTCAAAATTTTACAAAAATAAAAAAATTTTAAACACAAATTTTTAAAATTTTGATCATTCATGAACTTCCCTGGGGTCACGTCAGGTCCCACACAACATTTGGGCCCGATCGGTTCAACCGTTATGACGTTTATTTTTTACAAACAAACAGACAAACAGACACCCAGACAAGCTAAATTTAGAAATAGATTCGGTCCTTTATTAGATAGTTTTTATCTTTAAATATTTATTTTTTTATTTCTTGTTTTTAATTCAATTTTATAAATTGCATGTTTGTTTTTATACGAGTTCGCGTTTCTAGGCTGCATTTTTAAAGATAATCAATATAAAATTTAAAACTGAGTTTAACACACATAAAGTCATTTATCTTACAACGATCAATTCTCCTAACTGAATTTAGTTTTTTTCAACCTGTAAGGTTTTTTTTAACGTTATCAAACAAATACGAGAAAAAAATCGTGTTTATATTAAAATAGCTAAAAAAGACGATTAGCCTGGTATTTTGGTGAAATAAAATCTTGATGTATGCTTTGCTTGTCTGTCTGTCTGTTTGTATCCAATAAACGTTAAAACGGCTGGACCGATCAGGCACTCATGAGTCATGACCTTAGGGAAGGTTAATGGATGATCAAAATTTCAAAAATTTGATTTTCATAAAATTTTAAAATTTACAATAACTATTTCAAAATCCGCTAATTTTTTTGTTATTGTTTTATATTTTATATATAAAGAAAATATTCAAAATTGAAAAAGAAGATGGCCGCGAAGCGCTCTTAAAGCATAATATGTTAAATTTTACCCTCATCCCTATCTTATAACATGCATATCTTGTTTAGAGGAAGTTACAGTCTAGAAACTGAAGAAAAAGAAGAAAATGGCGTAACTACTCTTTCCTTCCAACACACACAAACAGACTCATTCTCATAAACATTAATTCAGTGATCCCTCATGTTCAATCCTATTTACCGAGTGATTGTATTTTATGGGGTCCAGGAGTAATATGGTATCTAAATTATGTTTAATGTATTTTGCTATTTTAAAGTGGATTTAAATTTGATATGAGGGGTAAGGATTTGTGACTTTTTTTAGAAATCAGCTAACCCCCACCAGAGGTTGCTGCGTTTTCACATAAAAAAATACAGCAAAATAATCTGTCCATACGGTAGCGAATTGATGATTTAATATTGAAGAAATCACTGTATAGGTCTGTTACGCGAGCCATGCTGCGTGTAGAAAGTCTGCTTGTCACCCCTGGGTATTTCTGAGTTCTCCCTGAAGATCTGTACGGAATGTATTGTGAAAGAACTAGTTTAGGAACTGTTTACAGTCCGACTGCGCAGACGCAAGATTTCTAGCGGAGTAGTAGTTATATTTATATTCAGTATATGTTTATTCGTTTTGCAAGTATTTTCCGTGTTCAGAATTCTGGGATCACCGTGGTAATTATTTTATATATATCTATGTTTATTGGTTGATTCTAGTATGATTGATGATTATGTATTCGTTTGTTGGTTCCTAGCCACAGTTTTTTAATGCCTGAGTGGATTATTTGTTATATTTGTATGATTTTCACTCAAAGCTTTTTCTGTGGGTTTATTAAACTTGTTTAGATTGAAGGCTCAGAGAAATAAACGTTCGGAACCTTACTATCTTCCTTTTTATTATGAAGAGCGTTGAGAGAAGGGAGTCTTACGATCCAATCCTGAGAAATACCACACGGTACATATATTAGGTCTTTAGGGAAATCGCTAAGTAGCGAAACAAGGTCTTAAAAAAATATTTTGAAAACTTTCATGTTATACATCATTTTCTTGGAAAGGAGTCATCAAAAATATTAAAAAATTTTAAAAAAAATACATTGTTGGACCGTTATTTGGCTATCACTTCTTTAATTTTAATATTTTTTAAATCGCTTTTCAGATTTTAATTCAGCATAAAATTTCAAAGAAAATGAAGTAAGTATAATATATGAAGTTTTTTCGAAATTTTTTGTTTGAGGGCCTACGGTGATATTAAGATATTAAATCGTCAATTCGCAACCGGACAATTTTTTTTGCTATATTTTTTTAGGTGAAAATACAGAAAGCCCCTGGTGGGTGGTTGGCTCTATTTCAACATTGACTGACTGGGGGTGGTGGGGTTGACTGTTGAGTGTGACCACACTATAACCATATAATGCCAAAAAATATTTTTTTTTTATTTAAGTAGATATGGCATCCCTATCAGTTGAATTTCATTTCTTTATTTTTGAAACACTGTAAAATGTAAATAGTAATTTAAGTTATTTAAAAAAAATGTCAAAATAATTTAAAATAAAAGTTTTAATACAATTGTTTTCAATTCACACAGCGTAGGTTGAAACTAAGAAAATGCAAAAAAAAATAAAGCATCTTCTTTGTTTCATTTTTAGAAAATTTCCCAGACAGCTTAAGTTACAAACACAATTCCTTGTGCTCAATATTTGGAAAACAGCGAAACTAGGACTGTTAATCGTTTTATAAACTTACAAAAAAATGATTTTTTCATTTTTTGTTTTTGAAAACTAACGTACCTTCGTTTTAGAAAAAAAAACTATCAAACTGTTTTGATCAGCGTTTTGAAAAACGAAATGACTCTATTTAAAAAAATATTGTTTTTGTAAATTTTTCCTGAAATGAATTTTGATTTTTTAAAAGATTTCTGCAGTAAGAGAAAATGATGAATGTTTTAAAAACACTCGTTTCGTTTTTCCTTTATTTTACGTCGTTAACGCAACGATTAGTTCGTTTTCTCAGAAAAGTTGAAACGATCAACTCCTAAATAAAACAGAAAAGTGGAAATGATCCACTCCTTAATAAAATAGAAAAATGGAAACTATCCACTTCTAAATAAAACAGAAAAGTGGAAACGATCCACTCCTTAATAAAACAGAAAAGTGGAAACGATCCACTCCTTAATAAAATAGAAAAGTGGAAACGATCAACTCCTAAATAAAACAGAAAAGTGGAAACGATCCACTCCTAAATAAAACAGAAAAGTGGAAATGATCCACTCCTTAATAAAATAGAAAAAATGGAAACTATCCCCTTCTAAATAAAACAGAAAAGTTGAAACGGTCCACTCCTAAATAAAAACAGAAAAAGTGGAAACGGCCCACTCCTAAATAAACAGAAAAGTGGAAACGATCAGCTCATAAATAAAACAGAAAAATGGAAACGATCCACTCCTAAATAAAACAAAAAAGCACTTAGTTAACTTTACATATGTGTATACATAAAAATGATTGATATTGACAAGTTCAGAAAAAAATAATTTTTCAAAATTAGACCCATTAATTTGTTTATAGTAACGATTCTTTATCTCTTTATTAATGAAATGAAAATAAACTTAATGTTTAATTCAACTCCTGCAACATCCTTACTATCTATCTTTAACATAGCGGTACTTTTCACACATGTTTCCCCGTCTTTATTTATATATAGTCTAGCTTGGGAACCCACCTCTACACTGTGTGAAAATCTCTTTAAAATCGACCAACTCAACCTAGCAGTTTTAAACCACAGTTCTATCCAGTTGCCAAATCAAAATTTGAAGCAAATCGGGCAAGGGATTCCTTAGTTATGATAGGACATACAAACAAAGAATTAAAGAAAAAAACAAACAGAGATTACTACTTTATGTATAGCTACTGTGCTTGTCTGTTTTGTATGTATGTATATTGTGTACAATAAACGGCAATGCGACTGTAATTTGTAGGAACTCAAATGGAAAGGCTAAATGCAAGACAAAATAAAAAAAAATTTAAATCCGTCAATAAAAAAAAAAATTCTCAAAAATAAACAAATCGTAAACAAAGAAAATAAGTAATGATGGAAGCCAAGTTTTAATATTAAAGATTTAAATTCAGTCAAATTGCAATTTTTACCGTCTTTTATGTTATTTAACGTGTGTACCTTCCCTGACAAAGGTTTAAATTTAGCAAAGGTTTTAGTTTTACAATTTATTATTGATTTTTATTTTAGTTTCATAAATTGGTGGTAGAAAACATAATAAAGTTTGCTCTATTTCGTCATTACTAGTTCTTGGTCAAACCTCTGCAGGCACTTGTCTTCTCTTCAATCAACTATCAATTTTTCTTTTGCTGAAAATACATGGTTTTTTTATGTCCATTATGCTTGGCAAAAAATCAGATCAAAGTCTAAAAAAAGGTTTTGTAATCTTTTTACGTTTAGATATCTAATTGTATGTCAATATCAAAAATGCCAGGGTTGATTTTTGTATACCATTTTTGATCTAGAATGAAAATTAAATCATGATTAAAAGTGTTTTTAGTTGTTAACTGGAATAGATTCTTAATATCTGTTAAGTATCAGCAGGATTAGTATTTGTAGGCTAATCAAATATTGAATGTATAATAAAATTAAGCTGAGACAAAAAAAAATCAACACTTTTATTTTTTTCTATTTTCTTTGAAACACTTTAAAACCAAATAGTAAGAGTAGCATGAGTAGCATGAGTAACAAGAGTAACATGAGTAACATGAGTAACATGAGTAGCATGAGTAACATGAGTAACATGAGTAACATGAGTAACATGAGTAATATGAGTAACATGAGTAACATGAATAACATGAGTAACATGAGTAACATGAGTAGCATGAGTAACATGAGTAACATGAGTAGCATGAGTAACATGAGTAATATGAGTAACATGAGTAGCATGAGTAGCATGAGTAACAAGAGTAACAAGAGTAACATGAGTAACATGAGTAGCATGATCGAGTAACATGAGTAACATGAGTAACATGAGTAGCATGAGTAACATGAGTAGCATGAGTAACATGAGTAACATGAGTAACATGAGTAACATGAGTAACATGAGTAACGCTGCATGTTGGTTCCCAAGGTAGTATATATATATATGTACTACGCTTTTATGGCGCTTCGCACCCATATTTGATTTCAATTGTGAACATTTTCTCTTTGTTTACATCGTAAAACAAAAACAAACAAAAATTTTGCGGATTTTATAAAAAAAAACAATTTAATGGATTTTCAAAAATCGAATTTTGTTAGATGGAAAATTTTGAACATTCGATCATCTATTAACCTTACCTGGGGTTACGTGAGGTCCCAAAAAAGTTCGGGTCCGATCGGTTCAGTCGTTTTGACGTTTATTGGTTAAAATTCTATGCTCTCAACAAAATTTTTTCGCCGCGGGGGAGGGGGAGGCGGCGCAGAAATTTTGTTTGAGGGTACATATTTATGATTGATTTACAGTATATCAAAATATATACTTTGCTTGTTTTTGCTTTGTTTGTTTGTTTGTTTATATACAATAAACCTCAAAACGGCTAAACAGAATTTTATCAAAAATATAGGATTTTTGCCTTATCCCAGGGGCCGAGGGAAATTTCTAAGATGCCTAAGATGTCACCAGGATTTTTGATCTCACTGATTTTTATTGATTGAGTAAGCGTTCTCAAAAGTGCGTCCTGAATAGGAGTTCCAATAGTGCGTCCTGAATAGGAGTTACAATAAATAGTGCGTCCAGAATAGGATTTCCAATAGTGCGTCCNTGATTGAGTAAGCGTTCTCAAAAGTGCGTCCTGAATAGGAGTTCCAATAGTGCGTCCTGAATAGGAGTTACAATAAATAGTGCGTCCAGAATAGGATTTCCAATAGTAAGTCCTGAATAGGATTTCCAATAGTGCCTCCAGAATAGGATTTCCAATAGTGTGTCCAGAATAGGATTTCCAATAGTGCGTCCAGAATAGGAGTTACAATAGTGCGTTCTGAATAGGATTTCCAATAGTGCGTCCTGAATAGGAGTTACAATAAATAGTGCGTCCAGAATAGGATTTCCAATAGTGCGTCCTGAATAGGATTTCCAATAAATAGTGCGTCCAGAATAGGATTTCCAATAGTGCGTCCTGAATAGGAGTTACAATAAATAGTGCGTCCAGAATAGGATTTCCAATAGTGCGTCCTGAATAGTAGTTACAATAGTGCGTCCAGAATAGGAGTTCTCAATAGTGTGTCCTGAATAAGTGTTCTCAAAAGTGCGTCCCGAATAGGATTTTTATATAGTGTGTCCTTAGCCGTCCCAATAGTGCGCCATTAAAAGCTGTTCCAATAGTGTGTCCTGAACAGAGCTGAAAACTTTAGAATGAGATATCCTGAATCCCGATTACTTAATCTGCGTATCAAATAGACACATTTTTTATTTTCTTCTTAAACCACTCTTTCTTGGATAAAGTAGAGAAAATCAAAAACGGTTTTTTAAATAAGAGAGTCCCTCACGTTTCTGTATATTAATCTTAAATGACGCGCAAAATTTAAAATTTACCGGCTTCTTACACGCGACTCTGATTGGTTGAATTTTATACACTTTTCTGGATACAAGTACAAGATTAGGTTAGTCTCGATATTAAGAAAAAGAGAGGATCAAGCATTAATCTCAATATCCACCATACTTTGCCTACTCATGTTTAGTGTGCTATCTTTAGCAAAGTACGGTGTTTGTATTGTTTTTACTTTTTTATATATTCTCCTTCTCGTTGGATTTCTATTAACACCTAGATGTATCTGATAAAATGCAAAATATCCATCTTCAACATTTCCCTTTCGAGTTCATTTTAAATGTATATAATTCACGAAAAGAATTGACCAATGTTAGTTTTTTTTTAAAATGTTTTTAAATATGTATTTTTACGAAGTACATTTCAAGTATGAAATTAAATATGAGTTCTTACAAGTTCAAAGTTCAAGCAAATGCGTTTTCATCCGAAGTTATCACAAAATGTATAAAATTTTCAAAAATTTCATAATAAATGTAGCATACATTCTATCACTTATGAAATTAAACATTTTAATGAATACAAAAAAGATTAGTTTTAATACTTTTTAAAAAGGTTGAAAAGAATTGACTTTTTGCCACAAACTCTGATTTCCTTACCCAAATATCTTTGGAACCCAATGTCGTAAACCTTTGATATTTCAAACTTATATTTTTTGATCTAACAAAAGTCATAGTTTGAAATTTCAAAGGTTTACGACGTTGGAATCCAAAGATATAGGGATTAGAAAATCAGAGTTTGTTGCAAAGAGTCAATTCTTTTGAAATTATTATAAATGTTCTATGGACCAATTAAAATATAAAACCAAATAAATGCGTGGCTTAACGTCATGACAAAAGTAGCTAAGAGGTCACAAAGTCGTACCAGTAAATGCAGTTGCATAAAGTTGACCCACTCCTTCTGTCTATTTGAGTATAGTAGATTTTATCAGATATATTTGCGTCAGTGACCAGGGACACGTGCAGGGAATATGCATAATAAACAAATTAATAAATAATATTTTTAAAGTTCAACGACCGCTGCAAGCAAGGCCAAATATTGATAATATTTAAAAAGTGCTTTCCAAGGCCGAATTTTGCAAACGTTTTTACAAATATTGAGAAACAAGTAAAACTTCCTCACGCTTTCTCAACATGTACGTTTTAGAATTTCCAACATTTTTCTAACCCACTGTTCTGCAAATCTAGCAAACAAAGCGTGTTGTACTTCGATGGTCAAGACGAATGTTTCAACAATAAAAAAGGTTTTATTTGAAAAACTGATGGGTAAAAATGGGTTTAATAATGAGGGCAAATTTATTTTCAACCCAGAAAATCTGAACCATCGTAATAAGACAAAATAAAACAGATTTTTATCAAAATGAATCAAACTCTGGCTCAATGTGAAGAAAAAAAACTGAAAAATATTTTAAAAATAATTGAGTCATTTTAAAGGAAGAAAAGGTTTAGAGAGATAAAGAACCTAATAAATTCTTAACCTGTGCTTGCTTCTAAAAAATCTTGGAAAAATCAAAAACCCTTCTTATTTTGTGAACACTTTCTTTTAACCTTAATGTTGTCTCTTTAATGATAAAATTAAGAAAAAAGTTATCTGCTAGTTTTCTTTTAAGGAAAACTGTGACAATTTAAATTTGAAAAAAAAAATACAAAACTAGTTCCATATTTTATTAATTATATTTTCTTCTCTGTTCTCTGTTACGTAATTGTAATGATTTAACACAAGCAATCATTTTCGTAAATGTCAGAAATCTGGGACTTTTAATTTTTCTCCACAATCATACGAGAATGGCCTCATTCACGGGACGGAGAATAATTACAATAATGAACGGGTTTTCTGTTCTTTTTTTTTAATTTTCACAACTGTCGTTCTTTATGTATGGGACCGGGGGGAAGGGGGGGTAGGTGGGGCGGGAGGGCTGATTTTTGCTAAATAAAATTTATTTATCCTTGAATCAATTTTTTATATACATAAAACAGGTTTTATGATATCTTTATTCATTTTTTGAATTTGCTCAGTGTTCGGAGCTAATATGTGTTGCTGACGAAAATTTTTAGATATTAAGAAGTAATCATTCGGTTTAATAAAGCGTTTTTCTTGATGTGTACAGTGTTACACTTTTTATATATATATAAATTTGGCTTGTTTGTCTGTCTGTTTGTCTGTTTGTTTGTCTGTTTGTTTGTTTGTATCCAATAAACGTCAAAACGGCTGAACCGATCGGGCCCAAATTTTTTGTGGGACATCTAGGGACCCCAGGGAAGGTTTATGAATCATCAAAATTTCAAATATTTGTCTCCATCAAAATTCGATTGTCATTAAATTTTTTTTTGAAAATCCGCGAAATTTTTTGTGAAAATCCGCGAATTATTTTTGTTTCGTTTTACGATGTACACAAAGAGAACATGTTCACAATTAATTTAGAAGATGGGCGCGAAGCGCCCTCTAAGGCTAGAAAGAAGGGCGCGAAGCGCCTTGAATTTCTAGTATATATATATATTGCTTTACATTTTCTGTCTTCATGTTCAATGAATTGTAAATAGCGTACTTTATGTCTACAGCTTTTATCTAAACCCATGGATGAAGATATAGAGACCCGATTGGACTGTTTTGGTCTAATATAGAATAAGAGAGGAGTTATGAGGGTGTTACCCCCCCCCCCACTCCCATCACCAATGATTTTGCCCATAAAGTTTAGATATATGAGTGAGTTACATGTCTCTAGTCCAGAAAAAGTATATGTGAAGAAACAAGCGCATTGTAATTCTCAAATGTATATTTCTAGGGTTACAAAAAAGCATATGTAAATTAGTAACGTAAAACCAAAAACCCAAGGCTTTGCAAAACTTTAAAGTTGATTCAGTGTTGAAAATGTACTCATTAATTTGCATAGCTCTTTGATCTCCATGATACACAAATGAGATAAAAAGGGGGCCTACCTACCTACCTACCTACCTACCTACCTACCTACCTACCTACCTACCTACCTACCTACCTACCTACCTACCTACCGAGTAGTAATCTCGTAATAACCTAACTTGAGAGTATTGTTGAACTTTATATATATGTTATCCTTCAAGAAAGTCCATATACGTATAGTTATTGACCCGACATATGCAGTTAAAACCTTTATTCATTGTCCAAAATAAGATTGTTAAAGACCAGCTAACTTTGAAGAATAGACCTCTAACTCTGAATATCTTTAAAAGATATATCTCTAAAAGACACGAAAAGTTGCTGTTTTTGGCAAAATTTAATATAAATTGAGCCTTTGCCAAAAAAATATTCTGAATTTCTCATCCCTGTTTCTTTACAACGCAATTTCGTAGAATTTTTAAAACATAGAATTCTGTTTGATAAAAGTTTATCAACGGTTTACATCATCAGGTTACAAAGATATAGAAACTAGAAAATTTAGTTTGGAAAAGTTTATGGCAAAAACATAACTCCTTTATGCCATCTCATACAAAAGTGTCGACCCCTGTCAAGTCTGAAAATTTCTTCGAAAATTATTTTTTTTTATCAAAAAGAGAAATTTCACATTTTTTGAATAACGAAGAAACCTGAATTCCTAGTCATTATGAAAACAATCATGAAACATAATGGCTTGGAAACAAAAGCTATAATCTTGTTCACACACTCACCATGTTGTATCAAAGCCACCATAGAATGGGATAGGGTGAACTCTGACATAAATTAGATCATTTGCTAAAGGTTTAACTCCAAGGTTTAACTCCAAGGTTTAACTCCAAGGTTTAACTCCAAGGTTTAACTCCAAGGTTTAACTCCAAGGTTTAACTCCAAGGTTTGACTCCAAGGTATATTAACAAAGTTCAAAGTTCTCTTTATCTATATCTGGGAATTTGTTAAACTTTGTAAATCTGTGTAAACTAGATTGTTAGATAAGCATGGGGTGCTGAGATGAGCTTATATCTTGGATACATGTGGTCTCTTATACTCACTCGAGCCCCAGACTTCATAGGGTAAGCATATTCTTAAATTTACTATTGCTTTGTTCATCAGATTGTTTTATTTTAATATCAAACTGAACTTGTATTCATTAAACTTACAATTCCAGAATAAGAAAGATTTATAGGGTAAATAAAAAATTTTTGAAAGCCCAAAATTTTAGTACCAAAGTGATTTAGAAAAATCATTTTTAAACCGAAAAATTACATTTTTCAAAAAAAACTAAACACTCGCAACAAATTCTAGTTTTCTAATCCATAAATCTTTGTTTTCCAACAAGATCTTGTGAACCTCTAATATTTCAAACATTAAATTCTTGTAAATCAAATTTTCAAAATTCTGAATATCAAAAATTTAAACCATTAGTTTGTAAAGATACAGGCATGAGAAAATTAGAATTTGTTGTGAGATAATTGAACAAAGTTCCATCATAAGTAACTTTATTTCTGATACTTTTGTTTTTAAAACCGCAATAGACACACGAAAACTCCAGTTCATTAGAAGTATCCGGCTAATTTTAGCCCTATACAGGCTGGGGGATCTGAATCTATGTATAGCCGGGGGGGGGTGTTTGGTGCCCCCTAACAAAAGGCCTTAGAGAATAGGTATAGGGTTTACATACATGTTCATAGCCCATTTTTTCAAGGCCACTTATAGAAAAAAATTAGACCAATAACTTTAATGTTTGGGCGCTAGGGAGGGTTGGAAAAATGTCTCAAAAAAGGGTTAAAAAATTAAAAAGTATATTTTTTTTAAACAAATCTCAAAGTTACAAATCTAAACGTGCATTTTTCAAGGACTTTTCAAAAATATAGTTTTTATATCTGTAGCTTTAGTCACAAAAAGTTAAGGGCTATTCATAGATTTTTTTTCACAGACTGGACATTTTTCCGCCCTTACCCACCCTATAAATAAAAAAAAAATTAACCAGAAATCCTTTAAATTACTTTTCATTAAAAGTCACACAATTGCACGGTGATAGTGTCAAAAATGAGAGTGCTAGGACAAAAAAAACTACAAGGGGGGCGCCAAACGTCCCCCCCCCAGCCTGTTTAGGGTTAAGGCACTCTGAACAATGAACATACCTACAGAAGAATGGGACAGGGCACTAAATTAATTATCTCCTTCTAGTGAGCATAATATGCACAGCTAATGAAACAAACCATTTTCTTATTACTTACCAGCAACTAGCTTGGGAACCCAGCTTTGCCTGAAAATTAATTTTTTTCCTTAAAATTGAAAAGTCAACCCACTCAACTTAACTTTTTCAATCGAAACTATAGAACCTTCCAGTGGTTCTACTGAGTTCCCCAATCAAAATTTGTGGCACATCGATCTAGGATTTCAGGAACTATAATTAGATATTGATATATCTATTAATTGTGTTTTGCTAAATTGAGTAGTTTTAAATTATTACATCATTTTTGTCATGTTTAACTGAAAGTAAATTGTTGCAAATTGTAGCTTAGAGTAAAGTTTAAAAACCTAGAAAGTTTAAGAATCGCTGATAATTTTACTTTGAACAAGAGAGAAAAAATTTTATAAGCAATTTTTGGTTTTAATTTCTTTTTTTTTAGGTTTCAAGATGATCTGGAGACTTGCTATCTGTCTTTCCCTGGCTGTTGCTCTGACCAATGGTAAAAAACCACGAAAATATTGAAGTTTAGCAAATAAAGAAAGTTAGAAAATACTTTGTTGTGTAGGTGCTGCTGTTCCTGTTCAGGAGGATGTTGTCTTTGACATGCTCCAGGCCATGATCCACAACCCTGAATCTGTGGCTGATGCTTTTGGTCTCAGTAGAGTACGAAGGAGCGCTTACGACAAAGAGTTTTCTTTGGATCGTCTTGGAGTCAACGTTGGAATTAAGTATATTGACCCCAGCAACCAAGCCAAGGGAGGCAAGGCTGACATCACTGTAAACAACCTGAAGAAACTTATCCCTAAGGCCAAGAGTGAGTTGGTCAAGTTGGCTGTTTCATTTGATGGAGGTGCAGAAGCTAAGGATGGTCTCTTTGATATGACCATTGACTATGAACTTCATCACAGCAATGAGGAACTTGGAACAGCTCACCTTGAGAGGACCAAGGAAGGTAACTTCTGGAAAACCAAGATGTCTGTGGTCTCCAAAAATAACCCTGCTCAGAAATTGATTCCCATCTTTGAGATCACAATGAAATCAGATAGGAAGACTGTTCTCCAGGGAACATACAAGTGTGAGCATGGAAATGATTACACTCTGAACGTAGACAGAGTTCCTGGAGAGAAGATTAATGCTGTGCTCGAGGGAAATGGCAAGACTTACATCATGGAAGGAGTTCTTGACAAGGCAGACAAATCTGTCAAGATTAACATTGATGCCAATGGCCTGAACTATGAGGTTGAACTAGACTTTGATAATGATGGTGAAGACATTTCCTTTGAAGCCAAAGTTAACCTAGGAGGATCTGGGGAATATAAACTGGAATTTGAGGCAAAGAAGGACTTATCCGGAGGAGGACTTAAGGTAAACTTCAACGGTAGAGATCTGGTCAGTGCTAAGCTGAAGGGTAAACTGAACAAGGATGACCAAAGTGCTAAGTATGAGTTGAGGTATTCTGCTGTTGGTGTTGGAGAAGGAAAGCTGAGGTTAGGACTCCAGGGAGGAGACAAACAAGAATTCAAGGTTCAATATCTTCCTAAGACAGGACTTGACCTCAAGCTTGAGCTTACTAGGGAAAAGAAGGCTGATCATTCAAGACATTTCCATGGAGTTGCAACAAGGGGAGGGGAAACTTTCCTTGAATATACAAATGACATTGTTCCCACCATGAAAGCTGACTCTTATGAGCTTAAGGTTGATTCCCAATTTGATGTCAATGAAAAATCTGTAGCCTATCCTGTTTTCTGCAAGTATGGATGCTTCAAGCAGAGAACAATGCATGCAAAGCTGTATGTTGACAGAAACACCCCCTACAAGCTATCTCTGGATGTTGATCTAACCAAGGACAGCGTCTCTGTCTTGACTGTTGATATGAACTCCAGGAATAACCCGGCTGTTTTCAAGATTGTTGCCCCCAGAATTCTTCCTTCTATTCTTCCCACAGGTAGAGAATCTATTGAGTTTGAGGCAGACCATTCTCCAGGAAACTACTTGAAGATCAAGTCAAACACAAATGCCATCAGTTCTTTCAAGATTGAAAAGGTTGACGGAGAGACCAGAAGAATTGAACTTAATGGCAAAGAACTTATCAAGGCTGGATTTACCAAGGGAGACAACAAGATTACACAGACCTCAACCCTTCCCAATGGCAGAAGTCTGACCACCACCATCTCTTGGGATTCTGATAATTTGAAATCCAACAAGGTTCATGTTAATCTTGATGGAACAGAAAGAACCCTGGATGCCCATATTGAATGGGATGTTACTAATCCAGCTGCAATGGTCGTCAAGGCACATGGCAAAGGAAAGAACGCTCGTTGGGGAGAATATGAAATCTCAAGAGATATCAAGTCATCTTTCACCTCCTCTGCAATCAACGTTGACTGGCAGGGAGATTCATCTTTCCAGAATTCTCCATGGCCATCCCCAGTTCACACTGAGATCAAGGGAGCCTTTGACTTTGCCAGCTACAAGTACAACATGAAGATCAGCAAGAATGTTGCTGGTAAGACCTATGCTCTGACAGTAGCAGATGGAAAAGTAAACCTTGAAATGTAAATATCATCAGGACTAGTTGATGAAATTTATTCTTTTGTATTGCATATTCTTGTCCTCTGTATATTACAGTTTATTATTAGTTCAAATACATATATCTCCTAGGTGTCTAGGAGAACTTACAATTCTTCAGATTTATCTTAAGATTAAGAGAAACCAAGAATTTGAAGATTATGGAAAGATTAACAGCCTCAGACCAATACCTTTTTAGTTCTGCCCAAGTTCGGAACAGGATTTAACTGTACCATTAGAATCCTAGTATTGATGTCGACCTATTAATATTGACCAAAGACAGTTCTACCTATCGAAAACTCTGTCAGATTTTGCTAACTCTGAGTTCTCAGCAGTGGATGCACATAATGCTGTTCTCTTCTGATTGGTTCAAGAAAGTACATTTTTAGACATTAAGATCAGATATTGTTGTTTTACTGAGACAATTTGAAATATATTTTGACTTGCTGTGTGGTGACTAATTTTTTAAAGGTTTTTAAAATTTTAACCTTAAAGGAAATGCTCGAAAAGTCAAAATTGCTATTCGCATATAAACAGGATAATTTACATAGGATAAAATTCTAAGATTTCATTATTAATCAGTAGATTATGGCTGGAATATTTATTTTTTAAATTGTGCCAAAACAATTTCAATCTTTGAAAATGTTAAGCTATTAAAGCCTATTTTTATATTAACCCTCCTGGGGGGGCGGGGGTATGCAGCTAATTGAATGAGCAAAACAGGACAGCCAGGAAACAAGAAGATTGGAAAAATGATTATCTGCATTCTTGCATTCAGCATTAAATACATGTATTAAATAATTTGTTTCATAAAAAAATTAGAAATAAATAAATTGATAAAGTAAAAAAGCCTATTTTTTATATTACGCTTTATATTTCATTTGTATTAAGCTCTAAGCTATGAGCTATATATATTCATTCATAATTTTCATAAGACTCTCAAATTAATTTTAAAAAAGCAAACTGTCAAGATTTTAAGTTTAACATGAAAATAAATAAATCCGCTCCGAAAGAATGCAGATTTAAAGAAATTATATATTGGTCTACTCCAAAAGTTTGAAAACTGAATGAAATTGTAGTGGTTGGTTTAAACCTTTACCTAGATAACCATCAAAATATTCTCCACTGCACCAAAGCTAGATATTATTCACATTAATTAAAAATAAAAATACAAAAATACAGAAAAACAAACATTATTTCATTATTAATATTTTTACAAATCATAATTTTTTTAAACACTGGATATTATTTTTAAGTTATTTTTCTCAAGGGAAAAGAAAGCTTGTCTCGTGTTTTCAGTTTGAATATATTTCAATTCAGTTCTTCACCAGGGACTATGCTAAGCAGAAAGGTTTGCTATCTTACATACAGGGTTACTCACAAATAATGAGACTTCAAAGACGACTGTAAGAAGTTTACTCAGTCTTTATTCTTACATTTTTACATATTTATATTTATAATGCAGAAACTATTATTAAACCTTTGATCATCATTGTTTTAGAAGGTTGTCATTAAATTATCATCTATTTAAGTTAACCTTGTATTAATTTTTTCAAGTCATCAAAAACCTGGATTTTCTTTGGTTTTCTTTGACAAATTTTTAATTTTGCTTAATGTTCAATGATAATGTTGATATTATAGGTCATAGATTAATAATAATACGTTATTAGTTAGAACAGACCAAGAATGTAATGCAAGGAAAGTTAATTGCAGTTGCGTATACTCTGCGCACATATTGAAACCAGTTCTCTCTAGGCGGAATTTGTAAACAAGAATAGAAGCCTCAGTGTTCGTTTAGTATCCGAGGAGGTTAAAAGCATAATTCGCATAATAGTTTTCTATGACCAGAATATTTCATTGATTATTTATGTGAAAGATGGATCCCATGACAGGCTTCAACATCCGTCTTGTGTTTACATTACCGCCCAGTGACAGTACACTGCAGTACAAAAGATGTGTACACCTTTGAAATAGCTTTCCTTGCATTATATCCATGGAACAGACTATCTCTCTGTCTTGTAAAACGTGGCATGTGCATAACTCCTTTGGGCTTCTGCCTCCGGTTTATTGTCAACCGAAAAGCCCTAAATCTTGAAAGGACGACATCTAATGTTCTATCTGTATTGTTATTGAAATATGCTATAGGCAAACTTGGCTTGGTGTTAGGACAAATTTAGTTTCATAAAAAATTCTAAAATTTTTTTTAAGTGTCTTATTGCAGACTGTACTGGGAAGAGAGGTATTCATACTTACATTGTACATTTTTACAATTTAAAGAATATGAACATTTTCTGTAAATATCTTAATAGTTGAAGAACATCACATTCCATACTAAATGATTTGATAATCTAATGAGAATAGTTTTTTTTTCTGGTATATATTTTTTTCAGACTTTTATTATGGACAATTTTTCCAATAGGCTTGATTTTATCCATATTATTTTTTTGGCATGTACATTCTTTTTCGTCAATACGCATTAGCTATTTAAAAAAATTGAATATTTATCTGTTTTAGTGGAAGCTGATCAATTATCATGGATGTTGAAGATCAACCTTCCTCAAAGCTGATCAATTATCATTGATGTTGAAGATTGACCCTCCTCGAAGCTGATTAATTATCATTGATGTTGAAGATTGACCCTCCTCGAAGCTGATTAATTATCATGGACGTTGAAGATCAACCCTCCTCGAAGCTGATTAATTATTATTGATGTTGAAGAATAACCCTCCTCGAAGCTGATCAATTATCATGGATGTTGAAGATCAAGCCTCCGCGAAGCGTAAAATATTTCTCAAGCACACAGTTCTCACTAAAATTCTTAACAAGGGCTTCTCTCATGGAAATTATTAGATTTTATAAAAAGTCAAATATGTTTCAAATGTTTTTTTGTTTTTGTTTTTGTTTCTGTATCAAAAAAACTATTTGGACCTATTTTTTGTGTGAAATTTAAAAATTTTGCTTGCAAAAAAATTTGGATATTTAAATTATTCGAAAATCCACCAATTAAAACTTTTGCGTAATTTTTTAGCCTTGTGATGTGATGTGATGATGAAGAAAATATGGAAAGCATGAAAAACATTTTTTAACGCTTAATTTGAACTTAGAAATGAACTCTTATTTTCCATTACATATATCTTTGCAAGACTTTTACATATATCTTTGCAAGACTTTTGATATTCAAAGCTATAAATTCTGCTAGATTAAATTGTCAGAGTTTGAAATATCAAAGGTTTACCCCATCTAGTTCAACATGGAATTAGAAAGGGATTAGAAAATTAGAGTTTGTGTTCGGTTTCTTTATTTTTTTTGGACATCCTTTATAATGTTTATATTTTAAACCTTGTTTTTTTTTAATATTTCCTTTTAGTTTTTATGAATATTATTATTTAACATTTTCATTTAACATTAACATTTTCCCCATATCTGTAGAATAGATCTTTAGCTTAGGAAATAATTGTTTTAATCTGATAATCTGATACAGGAGAACTTTTTATTTCACAGGACGGAAATATTGGATTGAGGTAAAAGTTTTTATATAAAGCTGTTTTGGAATCTAATCTATATTTAAAAACTTTTTTATTCAGTGGGACAAAAAGCAATTGGGACTGTAACTTTTGTTTCTTTTTGACAATTTTCTCTTCCAAAATTCTAATTTTAAAATCATCAAAAAATTTTTTTAAACTGTTCATGATAAAAATTCAAAAAAATTTATTTTTTTGCCAATAAAAATAGAAAAAGCTAATATATATATATTTTAAGTTAAAAAATGTTTAATTATCATTGTAGTTTTGAATTTACTCCAGGGAGGAGAAAAAAGAAACAACTTTCCGTGGAAAAGGAGAATTTTCATCCTCTCTCCCCGTTCTACCCATCCGCAGGTTGGGAATCATTGGAAAACTTTTGAGGTTTTTGGACTTCAAAATTCTTTCAAGGTTCCCACAATTCAAAACTGTGTTTTGTAAAAATTTGCTTTATTAAACCATGCAAAAATTTTAACCAAAAAGAGGGCTAAAATTCGGCATATTGTAAGGAAAGTAAATGTCTCAAATCTTTAAAATTTACAATTTTAAAAGGAACTGCAGAGTCTTTGCCACAAACTTTAAACTTGTGGAACATTTTAAAAGTCCAAAACCTTAAAAGTTTTAAATAATTTTAAATAATGTTTTAAATAATTTTTTTTTTGCAGGTTTTCCTTATAAATGCTAAACAAGTTTTCCTTATATTTGCTGATCAATTTTTCCTTAACTTTACTAAACAAGTTTTCCACTAAATTTCTAAGCATAGTTTTCCTTATATTTGCTGATCAATCTTTCCTTAAATTTACTGAACAAGTTTTCCTTACAATTGCTAAACAAGTTTTCTTTATAATTGCTAAACAAGTATTCCTTTTATTTGCTGATTAATTTTTCCTTAAATTTACTAAAAAAGTTTTCCTTATAATTGCTAAAGAATTTTTAAATGGGTTTCCTGAACCTTTTTTCAGGATTTATTTCGGTTACAATACAAAGTCCGTTTAAAAACTTGCTTTTTACAGAACAATTTGCGGAAAAATAACAACAAATTTAGTTTACACATTTTTAATCATGAACTATATTTTCAAGTTTAGAATCAAGTAAAAGTAAAAATCATTTTAAAAACTTTATATTCATTTGAACTGTTAGCAGGTCTGGTGGCTCGGAAAGAAAATCTTCCTCAGCATTCAGTGCAGGATGTCATTGGTGAGAAAAAAACATAAATAAATAATCATTGGGAGAACATCTATTGGTAAACACTACATTTAAAAAAATATAATGGAAAACTTAGTAATTAAATGTGATCCCAAATTATAAAAAATATATCTACGATTTTTTTTTCTATAATTACTTTTCTACTAGCTAGGGCACCCATGGTTTTGCCTGGAGTTTACTCTATCAAAGAAAACCCAATTTTCAAACCTCGCTATAAACCTTTCCCAAACAAAATTTGCAGCGAATCAGTCCTGGGGGAATTTATAAATAAAGATTAATATGTTTTGATTTTGAAAAATTGTAAATAAATTATTTAAGGAATTTGGCCAATTATGTTGAGCCAGCTACCAGAAGACAATCCAGGAACCAGATTTCATATATAATGAGATGTACAGTGGTTGGTGTTTTTATCCATACAATGAAGACGGCTTGTCTATTAAAAGGGAGTGTTCGCGAATTCTATCTGTTGCGAAGATATAAGGAGAAAATTGTTAAAAAATACTCATTGCGAAGAACGTAGCATCCATACAAATTCAAAAAGTTGAAACAATTAACTCAGATCGTAAAATATTAATTTAATTCCAAACAAATCATTCAGATATTATAACCAATAATCATCAATAATTTTTCGATGCATCCTTATATATTTAATATTTTATAATATTTTTCCATTTTTTATGATCTGATGTTACTTTTGAAAACATTTAATCCTGTTTCGAAAATCCGGCACCAGTGAATATTATTAAAAAAAAAAATATTTTATCAAATATTAATTTTATACGGATGCGGCGAAAAATAATCGATGACTATTGTTTGTAATATCTGAATTATTTGTTTGGAATTAAATTGATTATTTTATGATCCAAGTTAAATGTTGCAACTTTCTAAGTATGTATGGAGGCTACGTTCTTAAGCATGAGTCGTTTTTTAACAATTTTCTCTTTATAGACGCAACAGAAAGAAGTAAGATTAGAAGCGATCAAAAACACTTATTTTTCGCCATAAGCCTATACCCCCTTTCATTTTTCTCAAACGCTCCCTTTAAGTTTTGATTTCTAACAAGTTTTTTAACTTACAAGTTTACAAGTAAACCAAAAGAAGCTGTTAATTGACAGCTTCTCTTTGTTTCCATGTGTTTATGTATTTATATGTGTATCCAAGCTTGGTAGAAATAAAACATTTAAATAGAAAGTCGTCTTCATTGTATTGATATATACGACAATGATTGCAGTTAAACCACGTAATTAAATCCAAACCATTTTTCTAACGCGGCGGTTTAAGCTAAAGAGAAGTATTTCAACTTTGTTTACACAGTTCAAATATTTCTCTCTTTTAATTAAATCTGATCCCAGATCTTGTTCCTCTACCAGTACCCGGAGAACAAAACCTCTTCCTGAATCAGATTTAACCCGGAGATCTAAACCTCTCCCTGAATCAGATTCAACCTGGAGATCTAAACCTTTCCCTGAATCAGATTCAACCCGGAGACCTAAACCTGTCTCTGAATCAGATTCAACCTGTAGATCTAAACCTCTCCTTGAATCAGCTTTAACCCGTAGATCAGATTCAAGTCCTGTCACTGAACTCTTTGAATCCAACCCTCCTCCTCTTCCCCCAAAGCAGCGGAAACTAGTGTCCAGTGTGCACAGTCTAGGTTCTCAAGTGTCCAAATCTCCGTCCTTCTCCTCGAAAGGTTCAGTTTACTCTGTACAATCTATTCCTCTTCCCAGGCAAGCGTTTCAGGTAGAGATGAACATAGTTTAGGTGAACGAGTGGAATTTTTTGTGAACGATGAATTGCCCACATGGATTTAACGATTCTGTTCTTATTCCAGAAAGCTGGGACTTTCGATCACAATTTGACCTATTTAACATAAATATTTTGCCTTTTCCTTGAGTACTTTTTTTGTGGAAATTTGCGTTTTGAATGAAAAAGTATAAAACAGATTTGAAGTCATCAACAATCATTTGCATTTTCTGGATTGGAGAGAACGTTAATGAACATTTTTAAATCATCTGTTGAACAAACATGTTCTTTTCTGCATGACTGAGTGATTTTTTCGTTCAAACTTTTAAATAAACGGTCTTTTTTTACTAAACGTTTTCGAACGAACTTTTAAAAATAACAAAAGTTTTTTTTACTGAGCAAACCTGTTTTTCGAACAAACTTTTGAAAAAGCTAAAGTTTTTTTTTACTAAATAACTATTTTTTGAATGAATATTTTTTACTAAAGGGACGAGCTCACTATATGAAAGATTTAATTGAAAAATCAATCAGTTAGAAAACTACAAAAACAAATAAAAAAATTCTGAAAAAAAACGAATTCAATTTTTTTTCTGAACAACAGAAAAAAATTATCTGAATGGGTCGTTAATGACCGTGAATTGAAAAAAAGCCAAACGCAGCCATATCTACTTCCAGGAGAGTTCCTTAACAAGTTCTACATCCGATACATCTGGTTTCTCTCTAGTCTCGTCAAAACAGAGGAGTGCATGTCCAGGATCCTGTCTCACACATCTCAAAATACAAACTAAGGTAAAATATTTTTTATAATTTTCTTACTAAAGCTAAAGATCAAGAAATATGAGAAAAATGTTCAATCTTATGAACCTTAAGAAATCTTTTGTAAATTAATTCTAGTTAGCCAAAAAATGATCTACTAAAGATACACATTTTTCTCTGATTAATTAGATTTTATTCCAAAGAAATTTTTGATCAGTAGCCAGAAATATGTATTGGTATTTCATATTTCTAAGATTGGTGCATCAGTTTTAAACAAAAATTTTAATTTTTTAGACTGGAAGTTTGCGTTGTAAAAGAAAGAAGCCCAAAGCGCCCCCTCCTCCAAAAACTAGTTCTCCAAAAGTTTTAAAAACTGCAAATGAGATTTATTCATCATTATCTTCCTTCACTCTGCACGAGGTATGGAGATATCATTTAGAATGATTTAGATTGTTTTTAAACAAATCCCAACCCTACTATATATCACTAGAATTACATCTTTTTCTTCTCAATATATATCACCATATCTTTTTAGAATGTTAAAAATCACAATTATGAAATTTTCAATTCTGTCAAAGTTAAAATGTGGAAAATTATTCAAAAGCCCTGATGGGTATCCAAATAAACGCCTTGAAACGCTGATTCCAGATATACATATTACATAGGAACAAATTTTCTTCAGAATTAGGGTGCTGGATTCCAAAAAAGGAATTTTTTTATCCTACATATATGTCCAAAGTTGTCAAATGGTTTAAATTTCCAGCTAGCTATGCTTAGTATTATTTCTTTTCATTTATTTATCTAAAATCAGAGTTTTAAGACAGTTCTTTTGACTTATCCATGTTTTTGGATAAAATATTTTATTATGAAAGTTGGGACAAAATTTTAAAAATATTTACTAACTGGCATTGATCGTTTTGATTTTTTAACATACATACTAATACTATGCGTAGTATAAATATGAACAGATTTTGTAATTGATGTTATTTAAAATTAATTAATGATATCCTGACATAAGGGATATACAGAGGACTCTCTACCATCTTTATCTGATTTTTCCTCCGACTCTGAGAAAAGTGAACAAAATAAGAAAATGCTTTATAAAAAAAGGTTAACTATAAAGTTTAATCCTGGAGAACAGCTGACCATATCTTAATTAACATAATGGATAAAACACTTGATGTTGTCTTGTCAAGATTTAGGGGTTTTTCGTTCACAGCAACCCTGAGGCAGAAGCCCAAAGGAGTTACGTACATGATCTCTCTGTCTTGTCATTCAACGCAGCCTGCGCATAACTCATTGGGGCTTCTGACTTTGGGGTGTTCTGTCTGTAATTTTATTGATCTACGCAGCTGACTTATATTTTCTCATTCCTTCATATTAGCCAAGAGCAGATTTATTTTTCTCAAAGGATTAAATGTTTAAACAAAAGTTTCGGCCTCTCCTGTCTTAAATATTTTTTTTAACAATTCCTGAGATTTCATGATTTTTTATAATTTTATAAACCAAAATATATTTTTTTATATTGAGTTTCTTAATGTTCTTAATAATTTATATCATATTTCATTATTTATAAATGTCTCAATAAATTAACTGGTAAAAATTTGAAAGAAACTGAGTTCTTGAAATATTAAAATCCCTATATCTTTGCATCCTGATGGTGTAAATCTTTGATATTTCAAACTTACACTATCTTATCTCACAGATTTTATAGTTTTAAAAAGTAAATGTCTACGACATCAGATTTCAAAGATATAAGGATTAGAAAATAAGAGTTTGTTGCAAGAACTCTGTTTCTTTGTCATGTTTTCTGTTTTCTTTAAGGAATTATTTCAATTCAGGAATAAGCATCGTCACTGCAGTTCAGAATCTCTGGAATTAGATTTAAGAGAAAGTATTTCGTCTGAAACAAAGCATAGTTTATATTCTCTAACCCGTCCTCCAAGCTTCATAATCAAGTTTCAAGACAGTATAAAGGTAGAGGTTTTCAAGTACAGTTGGATCCATAAAACATAAGTTATGATTTAATATGGGATCATGAAATAAAATAATTTAGTAGTTTATACTCAGACCCATTTCCCTATGTAAGTTTATTTTTCAAGTAACTGATAATTAACTTAAGGCCTAAATAGAAGCATAACATACAAAATAATTTTCTCTTTTTTATTCCATAGTTTAATGGGCACCACTGTACAAAATGCAGACAGAGAGTCAAAAACTAGAATCTACAAAAAACGATTTAGCTTTTTTACACAGCGTTTTTTCTTAATAACCATCCTAATATTTATTTTTTGGAAACACGTGTTAAGCCTATACAAACCAATATATATTTTTCAAAATTATTAAAGTACAGTGGTAGGCGATTACATCAAAACAATGAAGACAACTTTCGATTTTGATTTATATTTCAAGCTGTTAAACAGCATGGATACACAAATAACACAAGCATTTTAAAAGCTTCTCTTTAAATATCTGTTAACCTGTAATTCGAAAAAAGCTATAGTAAACAATCAAAACTTAAATAAAAAAGTTGTCTTAATTGTATTAATATAATCACCTACCATGTAGTTGAACTATCCGTAGCTTATTGAACAATGTTAGGTACTTTCCCAAAGACATTTTCCCAAGCAGCAACTTCCCAAATGTGCAATTTCTTAAGCAGCAACTTCCCAAGTCTGTCATAGCCGCAGGGCTTGGCCCCCAGAATGTTCTATTCCCGGCGCTCGGCCCCAAGCCCATCCTTGCCGCATTGCTCGGCCCCTATTGCAGCATGCGGCTCCTCAGAGGGCCTAACCTAACCGTTGGAAAGTTGTCACTTGGGAAATTGATACCTGGGAAATCACCATCGGGAAAATGCCTTTGGGAAAGTACCTAACACCAATTAAACTACCCTAGGAATTAAAGATGGATGAGCTGTTGCATATATCAGCTGGTTATATGACAACTTGTATGACCAGCAGCTACTCATTACAGGATATATTCTATAATGAAGCACAGCTAAACAAGGTACAGAACACAAATAGGACAAGAAATGTCATGTATTTATATAATTTTTATCAAATCTAAGAAGCGTAATTTGAATTGACCATTCATGCAAAAATGGCAATGCCCGATTTAGAACGGTACCCTTAAGAACTTTGCCTGATCAAGTATAAATTAGATATCCATGTTTTTTAACTGTTTATTTATGTTTGCGGGTTCTCTTGCTTATATGAAGCAATGGAGAAACTATCCTAAATTAAACACTTTTTGAGTCTATTCACAGAATGGTAGGTCACTTGAAATTACGCTTAAGTCCCTTTAATATTGATAAAATAGGTGATGGTGAGTGCGTATTCTAATCATGAAAAAGAAATTGTTCTCCCACCAGCGGCTCTCAAGAAAGTTCTCAGGTGTACAGGGTGTCCCATAAATACAGGGTGTCCCATAAAACAAGCAGAAATTGTGACGACATTTAAAATCGCCTAAGCTATTCCATATTATAGTCTGCTTATTTTGCAATTTAAGAATTTATCGAAATATTTTTTGTTCTAAATTAATCGTGAACTATCCAAAAACAGTTTTAATAGCGCCACTTAATTCCCAGGTTCATTTGAACACCCTGTATCATAAGAGCTTGTTAAGTTTATTTGAAGAAACTTGTCAAAGTTTTAATTTGAATTAAACATTTAATTTGAACTTGTTCTGCAAATAAACATAGATTGCTTTAGATATTTATTTATTTTATTTCATCTTTACTAACAAATAATTAACATCATCATTTTGATGTTTTTATTTTTCTATTTTTCCAGAAGTTGTTATGATGATTCTACAAATGAGATTTTACTCCCAATGGCGGTAAGATTTGTTCAATTAATCCTAACACGCTTACGCACCCGAAATACAACAAGGTCTGATTAGTTTGCGCGCAATAATAAACAAGTTGCGTAAATATTATTGCTAAAGTCATTAAAACGTAAAAAGTTTAAGAAAACTTGTGCAGATTGCGTTCGTCATTTAGACAAGTCCAGTGCATACTGTTAAATTCGGCGTCTATAAATCTTTGTTGTGTGATAAAAAATAATATTTACAATGCTATGTATTTTTTGTATCGTGTGTAAGAATTCTTACTTTACGTTTATCTTGTGTTTCGTAAATAGTGATTCATTAAAGAATATTTATTTTTTGTTAGCAACGCAACGCAAATAGAACTTCAAAACATTTAGGTTATTATGGAGTATATTACCCCCGTCAACAATATTGATGAGCTAGGTAAGTTAAAAAGGAAAAAGATAAAAGTTCTTTAAAAAATATGGTTTAAGTCTTTAAAATCTCTAATTTATCATTTTCATATTGGTCTTTCTTTTTTACTCATTTTTTACACATGGAATACTTTTTCATAACTTTTAAACAATATTAAAATTATCAGTGTTTGTGTCAAAAAGTGAAATAGATCGCCATCTTACACTTGTGGATTCGATAGACAGGTAAACTGGTTTTAAAAAGAATTATGTTCAGTATAGTAGCAAGAAAGCTATAGATTGATTGTCGTCTTCACCCTTTCATATATTTTGGAAACGTCACATATGGAATAAGTTTTAAAATCCTTTCCTACATTTCATGATGAAAAAGAAAGAAGACGACAAACTTGCCGCTATTGTTTCTGAAAACTAATACACAGGGTGACTCAGGCTTTCCAAACTTTGGTCTATTATTTTTAAACCTTCAAAATTGATGGAGAAATTAGGAAATTTGTGCAAATTCAAGTTTATTCAAAATAAACAAAACTGTTCAAATGTAAATATCTCCGTTAATTTTAAAGATACAATTACTAAGAATGTAGACCACATTTTGGATGCTCATTAGACTTTCAATATTTTTTTTTGATGCACAATATGTTACATTAGTACTTTCATTTAACTTATCTCTGTTAATGTACATTACAGATATCAAGAAGAAAGTAACCTGTACATGTTTAATGTACTGTACGTTACAGATATTGAGAAGAAAGTAACCTGTACATATTTAAGTTACTGTACGTTACTGATATTGAGAAGAAAGTAACCTGTACATGTTTAGGTTACAATGTATTATAGATATTGAGAAGAAAGTATCCTGTACATGTTTTAGATACTGGACGTTATAGCTATTGAGAAAAAAGTAACCTGTTACATGTTTAGGTTACTGTATGTTACAGATACTGAGAAAAAAGTAACCTGTTACATGTTAAGGTTACTGTATGGTACAGATATTGAGAAGAAAGTAACCTGTTCATGTTTAGGTTACTGTATGTTACAGATATTAATAAGAACGTAACCTGTTCATGTTTAGGTTACTGTATGGTACAGATATTGAGAAGAAAGTAACCTGCAAATGTTAAGGTTACTATATGTTACAGATATTGAGAAGAAAGTAACCTGCAAATGTTTAGGTTACTGTATGTTACAGATATTGAGAAGAAAGTAACCTGTTACATCTTTAGGTTACTGTATGTTACAGATATTGAGAAGAAAGTATCCTGTACATGTTTAAGTTACTGTACGTTACAGCTATTGAGAAGAAAGCAACCTGTACATGTTTAGATTACTGTATGTTACAGATAATGAGAAGAAAGTAACCTGTACATGTTTAGGCTACTGTACGTTACAGATATGGAGAGGAAGGTGACCGTGGATACTAAATATATTGAATATGCAACTGAAGATTCTGCTTTCCTTACTCTTTTGATTAAATAAATTTGTTTTTATAAACCTTTGTTTCAATATATTTGAGAGATTGAAGTTTGCAGCAGCACAAACAAAGCTGGGTTCCTAAGCTAGTCAAATATATTAAGGCATATTGTCGTAAATCCACAACTTTTGTGCTTGACTTTTTCCACCCTGCACCCTACCCTATAAATAAAAAAATGTTTAGGGTTAAGGTTGCACTCCAAACCTTAAATCCCAACTTCATCAAGGAGTTCATGTATTGACTCCGAGAGGATGCTTAACTTGAGCAGTACTAGAATAGAATATCAACTGTGTCCTTTCCTTGTGTATACTTTTATAACTTCAAAGATAAAATTTTTATAATTAAAAAAAAAATTTGCAAGAAATTTTTTTTCAATGAGTAAGACTCTTAACTGATAACTAAGGAACATCCTTGCACACTCCTCACGCCTCTCCTTATGCTCATCTGACATTTTCTGTACCTTATACTTGTAGTATGCATTATATCCATATTTTTTCATGATTCTTACAACTGACGTTTGAGAGACTCCAACTCTATTAGAAACGGACCGGGTGCTCCTGCGTTAACCTTATTGTTCATCAGTCTCTTCACCTGAGCAATCTTTCTTCCTGGAACAGAGGGTCGTCCGTTCCCTATTAGGTGATCAGCACAGAACCCATACATTGCAAACTTCTTCTTCTGGTAGACAACACAGCTTCTCAGACTTTCTTTTTTTGATTGCATTGAGCGTATCAGTACCAATATACAGCCACTTTATTATTTTACCATCACTGACATGTGGCTTTTTCTGGAGATAGGTCTCTATCTGTGATTTCAAGATGGATTTAAGCTTTTTATCCATTTTTTTCTTGGTAGATCCACTATCAACTGGTCCCAAAATAATAGTTTTGCGGATTTTCATCCATTATTATATGGATTTTCTTAGTAATAATCAAAAAAATCCATTTTGTGTGTTTTTTTGGGTTCACCCTTTATATGTTTATTGATCTATTTAAATTCACACCAATGGAGTCTAAGAGTTGTCTGTCTATTCAACTCTAATCTGATTAATCTAGGGATATACAGGATATCCCAATTCAGAGACGACATTAAACTCATCTTCTATATATAAATTTGGCTTGTCTGTCTGTCTGTTTGTCTGTCTGTTTGTATCCAACAAACGTCAAAATGGCTGAACCGATCGGGCCCAAATTTTTTGTGGGACATCTAGGGACCCCAGGGAAGGTTTATGAATGATTGAAATTTTAAATATTTGTCTCCATCAAAATTCGATCTTCATTAAATTTTTAAAAATTTTGAAAATCCACGAATTTTTTTTTGAAAATCCGCGAATTATTTTTGTTTTGTTTTACGATGTACACAAAGAGAACATGTTCACAATTAATTTAGAAGATGGGCGCGAAGCGCCCTCTAAGGCTAGTTGTTTTAGATTTCGGGAAAATTTAATTGAATAAATGACAGATATTTTAGGGATTTATTAAGTTTTATCTCTGTTGCAGACCACATTTATGACATCCCAGGACTTAGTTTTCCTTCTGTAGTTGTTTTAACTGTATAATTAAGTTGTCTAAAATGAAAAATGAAAAACAAACACTTTTAATAAGAAAATCCCTGCAAAAAATAAAAACAATCTTTAAAATATAAATCTAAATTTGTAAATTTATCTTTTGTAAATATGCAACAAACAATTTTCATATTTATCTATGTATGCCATAGCAGAGCAGATTTAGCTAAAAAATTATGTAAGACGACATCTGTTACCTTTGATTTTTCTGGATTTTTGATAAAAAAAAATAATCCATTCAAAACAGGGTTACTCGCTACGGAGGAAATGGTTAAAAACAAATTTAAATGGTTTCTACTTTCTTCGGTATGATTTGTTTCTAACCCTGTTCTCTTAATAAACGTAGCAAATAGAAGTAAACTTAGTAGCGATCATCCCAGAATTTATTTCGGGGTCAGCCTTATACAGTGTACCCCCTTTTGAACACTAGATATGTTTTTTTACAGTGAACATAAATAATCATAAAGAAGTTAAACAGGGTTTATTTCTAAACTTTACAGGTTACAATTCAAAACAGGATTTAAAACTATAATTTTCTAAGAACATTTTATTGTTTACAAAACTCTACACAAAGATTTGTTTTGAAGATTGGAGACGTATACTGGTTTGTTATTCGTGAACTGAAAATATAGAAATTAAGTTTAAAGGGACTGATGGCGTAATTTCAATTGATCTTTCATTTTAAGAGTTACATGGCACATATCTAGTTTAGAACAATACTCTTAAAACTTTTGTGTGCCAAAATTAATTCTGTCAGAAAATTAATAATTTGTAATTGCAGTTTCTACCTCTTTATGCAGCTAAGACAAGGAAGGTACTTGACAAAAATTCATTTTAATTTTTGCAGTTACAAAGGTTGTTAAAGTATTTGTTTAGTGTTGAGATTAACTTGGGGTTTGTTGTTCAAGAATTCAACTTACTCGGAAGACGACAATGCTTTTAATCTTGGAAGGTTATTTATTTTATCGATTTTTTTAGTGATTATTTCCATTGCTTTTTTCCCTGATGAAGCTAGATTGTTATTAATGGATTTTCGGGTAGATACAGGGTGTCCCACGAAACATGACACTGTATTAGATATTAAAGGCTGTTTGCAGTTTATTTCGTTTAAAAATCTTTTGCTCAAATATGTTTTACTTTCAAGTTAATTTTAATATAATATGACTCCTATATAATATTTCTATTATTGTCTTCATGGTATTAAACAACTTAACAAATAATGGAAGAAGACATTCTAATTTACCAACTGTCATGTTTCGTGGGACACCCTGTATTTGATTGGAACAAAGCCTTACTAATGATAATTAGATTATTTGAAAAAACTGTTATAATTGTTACAAACAAAACTACGCGAAATTCGCTAAAAATTCCTTTTAAAGGCAGTGACCGGCAATGTACGGTAGTTGAACTGAGAATGTAGAACTCTGGAGAACTTTTTTAGGAATCATTTGAGACCAATAGACGTTTTTATGGTGCATATTTGTTCAGTAAGAGCGCAAATTCAATCTTTAAAATCCCATTAGATTTGAGGAATGATTTGAGAATCGGTTTTAAACAAAATACTTAATAACCACGATAAAAAATGTAGTAAAAGTTCTTCAGTAAACTAATTAGGTTGAGAAAAATAAAAATTAACTATGTATATATCATCGAAAATAAGTAATCCTATTCAGCTATTGGTGTCTGTATTGAGAAAATTTCTATTGAGAACTAAAATCCTAAACATCTAATAAGTTTACTACAAAAATTTTTTTACAATTTTTGTCTTCATTATTTAATAATTTTAAAATATCGATTCTCAAAACGTAACCACCCAAATGGATTATTTTGAACGTCAACTTTGCGTTCAAACTCAGTAATTATACATCATTAAAACGTTTTAAATGGCTCAAATAAATCCTAAAAAAAATCTTCACAATACTACATTCTCAATTCAACAACCATACATTGCCGGTCACTCCCTTTAAAGTGAATATTTACCTCTTAACAGGTGGTGATATAGGGCTGTATACCGGGGGGCGGACCTTATGTCCTGAAGGAGGGGCCAGGGTCGGAATTAGGACCTGAAAATACCAAGGTTGTATAATTTTTTAGTTACTCTCGATGCGCTCCAATATACGGAAAATGACGTCTCACAAGATAGATAGATAAATATTCAATATGACGTCACTCATTATAGAAACGAGAGTGACTTCATATTGGGTATTTATCTATCTATCTTAGGAGACGACATTTTCCGTATATTGGAACGCATCGAGAGTAACTAACCTTATTATACAACCTTGCTAAATACTGAATAAAAATACAGTGAAACCCTTAATAACAAATACATCGAAAGAATTCAGCAAATGTCGTATTCTTCACTTTCTGATAATGTAATGTTGCAGATATTTAGTTTTTTAATTAAATGATTAAATGGAACTCTTTAAAACTGTTCCCACATATTCATGGCTATTTGTTTATTTTCGCAAATACTGAAATTTTCCGTAATATAGTATAAAACTCATTGAAAAGTTGTCAAGACGACATTTGATAAATTCTTCCGATGTATTCTTTATTAAGGGTTTCACTGTACCTAAAAAAATAATATTTTCCTCAAACTTCTAAATGTCTGACAAACGTTTGTCTGTTTGTTTTTATCCTGTAAATGTAAAAACGGCTGAACTGATCAGAGCCAAAATTGATTCCAGGTAAGGTTTATGGCAGGTCGAAATTTTTGAATTTGGCCCAAAAAATGTTGATTTTTATAAATGTTCCTAAAAAATGATAAATATGAATATGTTGTAAGCTAATATTTGAGGTTAGGAAGATTTAAACTTTAAAGAACCTTATATTTTTGTCTGTTATCCAAGAAGCCAAATGTTCTGAATTTACAGTTCAAATTTTGTAAAGTTTCTAGCAATTCAATATTCTAGTTTCTAGATTATGAAGATAATTACCTCGGTAAAGTTTCTAGTTTCTAGATTATGAAGTGAGAGTGAAGGTCTAAGTGCTGATGAAGGAGTAGGTGTGGGGGGAAAGGAAGAGTCCCAGGTTGGTATTGTAGAGACACAACAGCTTAGAGGTGTTACTCCAGTTCTAAATCAAATCAAAGTGAATTTAATTTCTTTTTTAAAGCGATAAAAGGGAACGTTCACTTATTTGGGTAAATTAATGGTAAAATAGTTAGCCGATTAGTTGTTCATTGGTATTGGTCTTACTTTTCAAAATGACTGGACAAAAGCCCATTTATTGTTTAAAATTCTAGCGGAAACGTTTTTTCAGTAACAACAGCCCAATAAAATCTAAAATTATTATATTTTAATTAAATCATGTGTCAGCTCTTATATAATAAATCAGCAAGAAATTAACGTTTTTCGTGTTCAACCTTGATTAAACAAATCAACACGTTTAAGCAAAGCTACGACTTTCTCTCTCAGACAAACCGGTTTCTAGATTCCAATAAAAATCACGGGGATTTCTGGGGGACGTAGTGAAAACAAACGCATCAATCAAAGAGATATAAGATACCAGTAATTAGGTATAAAGAAATAAACGATTATTAATCAATCAATCAATGTTTATAAGAAGTTATATTTTGAAAAAAGAAAAAAAAAATTAAAATGATTTTGAAAAAAAGCATCAAATAGTGTGTATGCAAAGGTATCATACCTTTGCTCTGGAATTCAGAATAATAAATCGGCTTTTTCTCATGGGCCACAGTTGTCTTTGAAACGTAATCACTAATACCAATGAATAGCAATTATTAGGCTATTTATTTACCCTCAAATTTCCAAAATAAGTGAACGGTCCCTTTAATGTGTTCAATCATTATTGCTTCTCTTTCTGCAGATCTCGTATTAAGAACATATAAAAGTTGTGAGTTTGTTGTATGCGCATTGCGCAACCAAATTAAGGAATTCAATTCAAGCCACAAAACTTTGAAGTTTTAATTCCTACATCTGTGCAACCTGATGTCGTAGACCTTTGATCTTTCAAACTTTGAAACATTAAAAAAAAAAAATGTAAGGTTAAAATGTCGCTGTTTCGCACATTAGGTTAGGTAGACATGCTTATTAGAACTTTCCTAAAATAGCCGGTTTTTAGTTAATGTAGATTTTTCTTGTTTTAAATCTTTTTGAAGAGCGATAAAAATATAAAAAATGTTTAACTTCTTAGAAGAGAAGCTTGGGTGTGAAAAATCAAAATTAGAGAAGCTACGAACTAGATTGAACTTGAAGTGAATGCAAACTCTTTTTTTTTAATTGTTCATCATGAGTGGAACATGGGAGGGGGAGGGTGTTTTTTATAACTTTAGTTTTAATTGCAAAAAAGTAATACAAATAATATCTACGAAATTGGATTAAACCAAATTTAGGAATTCCAAAACTTAAAAGTATTTTCAATACGTTTTGCGGAAAAAATTTAAAGTTACTTTTAGATGTCTCAGCCCTGTTCTTTTTTTCAAAGCTGTGTATCCATCCCGGTTGTCTTTAACGGACTTTATTCATCAAACTTTTTATTTCCATATAATCAGTCTTTTTCCCGGAGGTTGCTTAGCTCCGTGGTCATAGCACGGGAATATTTTTAATACCAACCAGGGAAAGAGGACACTATGGGATGTGATCGATAGACAAAACATTCTTGCCTAAAAATTTCCAAGTATAAAGTAGACACCCTGGACATATATTCAAAATACATTAGAGGAGACTATTATGGACAAGGCAACAGTCTACAAGAGGACTAAAACTTTCCAAGAATAAAGTAGACACCTTGGACATGATTCAAAATACATTAGAGGAGAATATTATGGACAAGGCAACTGCAGTCTACAAGAGGACTAAAACTTTCCAAATATAAAGTAGACACCTTTGACATGGTTCAAAATACATTAGAGGAGAATATTATGGACAAGGCAACTGCAGTCTACAAGAGGACTAAAACTTTCCAAGTATAAAGTAGACACCTTTGACATGGTTCAAAATACATTAGAGGAGAATATTATGGATAAGGCAATATCTACAAGAGGACTAAGGGGGAAAGGTGTAATGGAGAGTGTTGGCAGAAGGAGGAAACGTCTACGCAACAAAACTCCACAAAAATACCAGAACAGTCGATAAAATTGAAAGTTTCTTAAACCAAATTCCCAAGGCTTCTGAGTTGATGGTTGTTGATGAGTTTGACATCTGCTAGTGCTAGGGTGTTGCAAACAAAGTTGTAAAGCAAGATTTGAAAAAATGGCAAAGATTTGGACAACATTTGCTCCAATGCAAAGAGGTCCTGGGAAATGTAGATTACAACTATAAAAACCCTCAAGGACCCCTCTGCAATAAAGGCTTACCCTGCTTTGACTTTTTAGGGTTTCCCAACCTCAAAAGAACACGTTTAAATGGATTAAGTTTAAGTCTGTAGATAAGATATTTAGGCTGTGAGTTGTGACAGGTATCGTTAATGGGATCCGGGAGAAAGCTAATAGCGTCAAACATAATTATCTGATCGACATTAGCTGCAGTCAGAAAACTGAACAGGTATAAAAAGAACTTATAAAAAAAAATCATGAAGATTAAAGAAGGTTAGTATTGTTTTGCTGTGGGGATGGATGGAGAGGTGCATATTTTACAAAGATAGACCCACCCGCCCCGGATAAACTGGTATAATGCAGCATCATTATTTTTCATACAAATGTAATTAGATGTCTCTTAGTTTCCATAACGTATACATTGGACATTCTTTGACATTAAACAGTGAAATATAGAAGACAAGCATGAACTGGAAAACATCACGTTGTAATCAAAAATTCTGCCGCAGTGAAAAGGGTTATTCATAATTAATGGAATAGGACAGCGAGGCTGCAGTGCATAGATTGCTGATAACAGTTTAAAGTGAGGTACAGTCCATAGATTGCTGATAACAGTTTACACGAGGTTGCAGTGCATAGATTGCTGATAGCAGTTTACAGTGAGGTTACAGTGCATAGATTGCTGATAACAGTTTACAGCGAGGTTACAGTGCACAGATTGCTGATAACAGTTTACAGCGAGGTTACAGTGCATATTTCTCAAAAGACTGTTGACTTAATTATAAGGTGACCCTCCATTAATAAATTAGCAACAAAACAAGTTATTTGTACTGAGAAACTGAAGTTTATTTTAGTTTAAAAATTGTGTGAGGAGTAGCGTTGTGAACCGAATTAAATGTGCGGTGCCTTCAAGTATGTATTCTGAGATTGAAATATTTGAATGAGGTAGGGGTTCAAAATTAACAACCATTTACAGCACTTTTAGGCTAAAATTGACTCTGGTTCTTACTAAACTGCATTTTTAATCTTCCAACTAATAGAAAAAACTCAATCAACGTGTAGCTAAATTCTAGCTTTTGAAATAACAACATTTTTAATCTCACCTTTTTGGTTTATATTCATAGTTTTGTTTAAGATCCAACTTAAGTCGAGGTTGCAGCTTCCGTAAGCTTGCCAGGCTGCCACCGGATATATTCTCCTTCTCACTTCCGCTGTCAGCATCCTGGCCGGATTTAGACCTTGTCAGCTTTTCTGCTGACACCGATTTCGGTTGCTGACCGCCCGATTCGTTGTTTTTTTCATTATTTTTGATGTATTTGCATTGCGTTTTCTCTTCCGTTTTTATTTTGTCATGAGTTCCGGGGGAATTTCGTTGCTTCTGACCACGTGGAGTATGCTCGCTGGACTTCCGGTGGCCATTTCGGAGATTCTTTCCATAATTAATTCATAAAGTTACAAAACAAAATGGCGTTTAGAAATATTTCTTTTAAATAAAATGAAAAGGTTAATCAAATGATTTTTTTTATGAACTTTCCTTTAAATTTTTTGATATCGCGTCGTGACTTGGAGATTGAGGTTTATTTGGCACAGTTTTATTACAAGATTTCATCATTTTCTTACTCTCATTAGACTTCACATCTTGGTTTTCTGAGAACAAGTAGCCAATATTATTGTACGTACAGTTTTGAAAATTGGATAGTGTAAGTGTACAAATATAAATTAAGGTGTACATAAACTGGATGTGATACACTGCAACGTATACAATTTAGGTAATTAAATTTATGTAATTAAATGAAAATAAAATTCCTCAGTTGCCCTATAAATTATTATATTACAAGAGATATCATGTGTATGCACATAACTGGTTAAAAAATACAAAAATCTGCTTTATCAAGATAAACATTGTTTAGACAGTTTTGAGTGAACATACAAATGGTTATAATAATATACACTGTACATCGACGTACATAGATATATGTTTGTTTATATGTATAGTGACAATATATAGATATATTTGGAATAGATACTTGTATCGTTTATCCTTTACAACCTTATGTGATAGATATGGTTGCGATAGTAACAAGTGAAATTGTATTTGCTTAGCTGTGATAATTTACAGTTGTACAGTACAATGTACATAAATATAGCTGTCCCTGATATTCTGATACAGTTCTCCTCTAATTGTAGTATGGAGTCTTCATGTTCACAATGAACCCCATTTAGTCCTTTGTTTGTTCTCTGTACACTATTGTACATGTCTGGCGAATCAACAAAGTCTAAAAATCCATCAGAAATATTAAAAGTTCACAAATTTCGATTGTCAAATTGTCGATTATTTTTTTGATATATTTTACAGTGAGACCCAGAAAACTGTGAAATAAAGAGACGACATTAAGAAAATCTGAATCATATTTGATGTTGTTTTGAAGCAAACAGTTTTGCCAGTAGCAGGGAAATCAGCTTAGTAAATAAAGAGGCCGTATGTGTACACTGCACAATTACTTGTTTCATGTCCGTTGGTCTTTATGAAATATAGATAGATATATATATATATATATATATATATATATATATATATATATATATATATATAATTCAAACTTTTTTTGCTTATTTTTGATCAAATTAAGGTTTGAAGTGTCAATAGTCGTCCTGCTACATTTTACGGGTCACACTGTATAATGAGACAATATATTTCTGATTTTTTCCTTCATTTGTTAGATTAGCTGATAACCTATTATTCTCCTCATCAGCTGATTTGTTTTCCTGCTGATATCCAAGATTATTATGTATTCCACCCAGCTGAAATAGACATTTAAAGTTTTAGTTTTTAGATTATCAATTATTCAAAAGTTACAAACTTACCAAATAAACCTGTTTCTGCTTTTCAAAAAGTATGTGGTCAAGAGAAGAGAGAAGAAAGTTGTCCTGGTAAGAAACATATTTGAGTTAACTTACAACATATTTGTTGCATCTTTACAAAATCTGATGATCTGATGATCTCATGATCTTATGATCTGATGATCAGATGATCTGATGATCTCATGATCTGATGATCTCATGATCTCATGATCAGATGATCTGATGATCTGATGATCTGATGATCTGATGATCTGATGATCTGATGATCTGATGATCTGATGATCTGATGATCTAATGATCTGATGATCTGATTCCATGATGATCTAATGATCTGATGATCTGATGATCTGATGATCTGATGATCTGATGATCTGATGATCTGATGATCTGATGATCTGATGATCTGATGATCTTATGATCTGATTATTCTCTCAACTATAATTTCCTGAAGCTGAAGGCTGATATGTTCATCCTCCCTGGCTCCGGCTTCTGTTTGTGTTCGCCATATCTCCGCCTCACCTTTCATCTGCCGAACTTCATCCTTCGCCAGAGCAAGCTCTTTTCTCAACTCTCTAGAATATAACTAGCTTAAAGGGATAGTATACGTAATTTCAAGTGACCCTAAAGTAATGGAGTGTATGTAACGGTTATAATCTTAAATCCTTTGTCAAATCAAGAATGGAGGAGATACCCTTTTTTGTATAGGTGAAAATTAATTGAACGGTGCTGACTTTTCATAAGCAATTTATGCGTCAAAGACGATAAACAAAATTAAAAGAATTCAACACATTTTCAAATTAAAAATCATCAAAATATCTGAATCTGACATAGATGGACGCAGATCGGTATAGTAATAATTCTAAATGTAATTTTATCAAAATATCATCTTACGAACTTATTATTTTTAACAAGCTTTAATTTTCTAATGCCTTTATATTTGATATATCAAACTTTCACCATTTGTAAAATCAGAATTAGTTAGCAATATTGAAGGCCTACGCTATTAGATTGCAAAGATATAGAGATTAGAAAAATAATCAGTAAGTATTCAGTTCCATTGTCAAAATGTTGTAGAAGTTGTAATAGAAATGGTAAAACCACTTTTACTGTAACCTTAACAGTAATGTATGGACTGAGAACTTGATTAAATAAATTCTATCTAAATCAGGCAGTAGATTGGTGGGCAGTAGATTGGTGGTAGTTCAATACCATCTGTACTTTTTGTTGCAGAAAGAACAATTACTGAGCTGTTCAAATAAAAAGTTTTAGAGAAATTCAAATTCAAATATAAATGTGTTCCTTATAACCAATCAGAAACAAACTGCAATACATCATCCATTTAAAGGGAGTGTTTGTGAAAAATGAAAGTGGGTGTTGGCTGAAATCAGTTTGAATTCGATATCGATCACTACAAATTATACTTTTATCTGTTGCGTCTATAAGAAAATGGTTAAAAACTGCTTATACCTAAATACAAATTCACAGAGTTACATTACTTCACTCATATCGTAAATAGTTCAATTAAATTTAAAATAAATCATTCAGATATGACAACCTAGAAATGTCGAATTCAATTCAATGCATTAGTTCTCTATACTACAACAAAAACTCTAGAAATTTGAAGTTTACATTATCAGATTCCTAAATCTTTTTATAATATTGCTGATTTAAATTAGTTCAATAAATAAAAAAAGGCATACCCTTTACGTAGATCTATTTGGGTTGAAAAAATGTTTAATAAAACTATTGTGTACTTTATCATTCTTACTCACTTAATCGTGAATTTCATAATTAATGTGCTATACAGTAATCATCGTGCTATAATGTTAAATTAGCTGTACATGTTAGCACGTGTGCTATAACGTTTTTGATTAATTCCGGATTTTTTTCCAAAAAATTTAGGATATTTCCAAAATATTTTTTCAGTTGAAATGAAAATAAAATTTAAATCAACTCTATATTTTGACTTCTGATCTGTTTTAAGACTTATTTGATCTATAGACATAGCTATTGAAATCAGACAAGTACACAAACGTAACACTATTATTTTGGCACGACGTGCTATAAAGTTTTTGGACTTAAATTTTCTCAAAATCTTGCAGGCTAAAGCTAGGGACAAAATATAATCTAAAAAGGCTTGAACCGATCTCGGTAAAGAGAAAATTTCTGTTCAAAAACTTTTTAACACTGCAAACCAAAATAAATGTGTTCTAAATAATTATTATTGATTTTCATGATTGTTTTACTTATTTACGAAAATTGATAATGTTTAATGATAATTTTGTGAAATTTTCTAACTTAGTTAATATTTCGGAGTGCTCGGGTGCTCATGGTTTTAAAAATACTTAAACAAAAATATTACATTTTAATACGATTTTATTTTACCAGATTTAGAGCACTTTACTACTCAAACAATCTATACATCCTCTGTTTTTGTTTATCAATTGTCAGGAATTAGATCTAAATTTTTATCTTCTATTTTATAACAATATTTTTTGTAGTTTTTAAATATTATGACTCATTATCATAATACATAACATGGGACATTAGTTTCAAAACTAACACTTGACCCAATTCTAACACTGAGTAAGATTCATGTATTAGTAGGAGTCATAATCATTTTTCTCAGCTTGTCTTTGCTGTTGTCTAGACCGCCTCAACTTTTGGCAATTTTCAGTTGTTTCAACAACTCCAAGAAGTGGCAATTGACATTGAGTTCGTGATGATTCAATCAACGGCAGTATGATTTTAACTGATTAATCGATTGATTATTAATCAAATCCGGCATTTAAAAGTACAGAGCTTAGATAATTTTGTAAGGCTTTCCCCTTTGAACCAATAATATTGTCTTTGCCAGACAAGCAACTTTCTAATTCTAATACCATTACTTTAAAACAACAATGATTAATTGAAAATTAGGAAGTTTGACGTTTGAAAGTTTCTTCTCTCAAGAGAATAAATTCAAAAGAACGTTCGAGAAAGAGTGAAAATTTCCAAAATCTATTATTCAACAGTTTCATAGGGTTTGCAGCGAAAAGGAAAACTCGTTTCGCGAAAATTATCAAAAAAAAATCCAAAAAAAATGCGAAAAAACGGAAATTATGAGAAAAAACCCGAAAATTTTGCTTAAAAAATCCGCAATTTTTAATTGGCTAGCTCATAGTCATGACTCATGAGTGAACGAATGTGGACGGACAAAAACTTAAAAAGATAGCTAGAGAAATCAAATTCTCTTCATCAAACTCAAAGAAATTATTAATATGACATATTAAAACTTCAAATATTGAGCTATCAGAGCAGAGAATTCTACAATTTTTTTGCGCAATTAATTCTTGCTGTATTTATGGTTTTCGCGGATTTTTTTTCCCGAAAATATTTTCACAAACTTTTGCATCGATTTCGCATTTTCTCGCAAAATGTTTCGTTCGCTGCAAACCCTGGAATATTTCTCACAAAGCTTCAAGATGTTAGTTGATATAAGGGCGTGAGCTGGAAAGAGTGGCTCTTGTCGATGGCATATTTAAAAGTACATGCATTAGCCCAAGTGTGGGTTGGAACTAGGTACAAAACTAAAGAATAAAGATGTCCCAATGGAAAGAGTACATGTATTAGCCCAAATGTGGGTTGGAACTAGGTACAAAACTAAAGAATAAAGATGTCCCAAAAGCGAGCTAAGAATAATAGGATTTTTCTGTCAAAATAATTTTCAGAAAAAATAAGTTTTTTTTGTAAATTTCCTTAGTTCTTGGTTTTGTACATTTTCTTATTATTTTCAAAAAAGAAAATTACATGTATTTATCATTTTATAGCGCTGCCATAATGAAATTGATAATGATAATGATAAAATGCAAAATAGTTTCATAAAAAAACATTATTGCTTGCAGGGCCGGGGACCGGACATCCAAATATACAGACAGATAGCTAGACAGACAAACAGGGATTACTACTTTATATAAATAACCCATTTTTGCTCAGTTTTTAACCATAAAAACTAGTAAATGAAGCAGGAATAATTAATTATAGATAATTATGATTGGGTGGAAAAGAACCGTACATTATTTATCAATAGAAAATATATTGTCTTGCAGCAACGAAAATAAATACCTACAATTTATTTCATGCAAGAGCATAGATACCATAGATAAATAAATAAACATAGATAGCTTATGTACGCATAATTACCAAGGATTGTACAATCCGCGAACTTATACTTCTAGGGGTCAAAGTGAACTTCAATGAGAAGCGGGGTGGTTTGGTGTTTTAATGGATTTCATAATAGAGTGTAAAATAACTCCGGGAATGGAACTATTTGAACAACAATATTTCACTGAGCAATATATCAAATTGACGAGAATTAAAGAAGGACATGAGAAGGACTAAACTAATTTAAATTTCTCTCTACAGAACTCATGTGCACCACAAGTACTCAACGACATAAGAACAGCCAATGTTCACAACCGACCTAGTTAATCTATTTAATAGGAATATCTTTAATATCTGTACATTTATATCTTTCAAGATGAAAAATGTCGTCTTATGCGCAATCTATCTTTAGCTATGATAGATACTGGCACGGGCAAGTGTGGGTGGGGGGGGGGGGGGGGGGGGGGGGGGGGGGGGCGGGGGAGGTACACTTTTCTGATCAGAAAATGGATTTTTTGTGTCAAGTATTTTTATCCCTTTTTAATACCCCGTGGTGCTCCACTGCTCATATCCTGCAGGGAAACTTAAATTTGGAAATCTGGCATTTATGAAATCTAAAAGTGCGCACATTGGATATCCAGATCAAGCGTGCAGTTAACAATAATTCTCATAAAAATTGCAACCTCTGAGATACCGGGATATTTAAGAGAAATTGAATTCATGTGTCCACACATAAGATGGAGATCAATGCTTGATCATAAGATTCACAACACTAATGTTCTAACTTCTAAGCTGACGGAAGCCTCAAAAGAGGTGTTAGGAGAAAATAGATAAATTCTCGTCCAAACCAGCTGTTGGACGAAAATTGGCCTTGAATTTCTAAATTTTAAAAATCTGAAACATGTTTGAAATATATTTTCAGATTTTAGTTTTGCAAATCATTCTCAGAATTATAATATAAAATATAAAATATATATCATATTAAATATAGTGTTTTATTTAGCATAGATATTGTAATATCTATGGTATTATATATAATAAAATGATATATAAATATATACATATAGTTGATCACAGAAATACTACTGAATAATGCTGGCATGGCATGAAACATTATGTATCTAGTATATTTCTTGGTCAAATAAAAATGTAAACATAAACAAAAATATAAATAAATACCTTTGATTTATATATAAACCATGGATATTTCATTATTTAATATAACGAATTTATAGTTTGGAAAATCAAAGGTATTTAACATAGAGTTGCAAAGATATAGGGAAAACAGAGTTTAAGGCAAAAAATAATTTCAGTTCCCAAGTCCCCAATAACAACCGCAATATAGCACATTTTTCAAAATCTACGCGTAGAAAAAATGTAATATAGACATGTCTATGTAATTCTGATTTTATATATAAATATATATATAATATGTATACAGCACTGTTAATTTCAAGAACCGGGCCGACATCTAACCATCTGGAGCGAGCTGTACCAGTGTACATACAGATTATTCAAGGCAGAACGGGACTGTACACCAAATGAACCGGTTCCTTCTATGGAAATTCTAGTACGTGATATTTATATATTTTTTCTATATATATATTTACATCAATAGGTCGCAAAGATATGTAGATTATAAAATTTGAGTTTGTGATATAGAATTAATTCTAACCGGCCATGCGCCCCTTACTGGGGTCACGTCGGGGAGAAATATGAATGGGATGAGGGTGTATTTGTGGCTCCATTTTTTCTTTTATTTACAGGGGGGGTGTTAATAGTTCTAAACATCGCTTTTTGGGATTATGCATAGTAAAATTATGACATCCTTGATAAATGTAATTTCAAACGATTTTAATTTAAATAATCTTATTTTTATTCTTGACTTTCATAATACACTTTCTTTGCAAAACCTCCGCATAAATTTATGAACACTTTATTAATTTGCTGAATTATTGGGAAATGGAAAAATATTTTTCAAAATGAAAAATGGAGAAAAATGTCAAATTTGTTGGAAAAAAATTGTACCTTTTTTCTTTTAGGCCAGGGTACGGCTGTACAACTTTATTTCTGTCTTAAGCTTAGGCTTAAAAACTTGTTAAAAAGGCTTATTGTTAAAGTTGAAGTGAATAAAGGGCAATATATATACAATACACTTACAGGGCTTTATGTGTAGCATACATAAATTCAAAGAAACAAGAGAATTCAAGGAAAACAAGTTGTAAAACAGTTTCAGAATTTAGAATATTTCCATTAAAAGAATAGCCCAAGCTCAGGCCAATGCCTGAAACATTTTTTTTCTGCTCTGAGAAGCATTTTTTCCAAATTCAATTATTTGAATTTCTTAAACGAATGCAGAGTGTACAGTTGTATAAAATTAAAAAGATTTGACTAAATTACATTCGAGCAATTTTGTATCACCTAATATACAGTGAAACCCTTAATAACGCATACATCGAAAAAATTCATCAAATGTCGTATTCTTCACTTTCTGATAATGGAATGTTGCAGATATTTAGTTTTTTTAATTAAATGATTATATGGAACTCTTTAAAACTGTTGCCGCATATTCATGGCTATTTATTTATTTTCGCAAATACTGAAATTTACGAAATATAGTATAAAACTCATTGAAAAATTGTCAAGACGACATTTTATAAATTCTTCCGATGTATTCGTTATTAAGGGTTTCACTGTAGTAAAAAAAACTTCAAAATCATTATGGTAAAAAGAAATCTAAGTATAGGCTAACTAATGGGGTTGTATGGTCCAGCCATGGGCCTATGCTTGACAACACTTTAAATTCAATCCGGTCCCACGCGGATCTAAAGGTTCTGTCAATATTCCTGAAAGTTGTGACTTTCAAACACAATTTATTAAACATAATTTTGTTGCCTTTTTTCAGATATAGTTTTTTGCCGACTTATACTTTTTGAATGAAAAGTATTATACTCACAAATCCGTAAGTTTATACATTTTTTAATTATAGACCAAAACGCATATATGACTTTAAGTAGAAAAACCGAACGCCTCTCACTCTGGTTAGTCTGGGGTGGTCCCATTAGCTAGTGAACAGATATCTACAATTCTGTGTTTAAAAAAGGATATTTACTTTATTTGTCTTATTGTTGTAAAAGCGTGAATGCCCCGTCATTTTATGGTTTTCTTTAAAGGGACTGTTAGAGTAATTTCAATTGACTCTCCTTGCAAAGAAGGCAATACCTATTTCAAAAAAAATATTGTGCTTTTTTAGGTTGAAAAGTGTTTTAATGATTCACTTTTGCAGAGAAACCCCAAATGAATATGATCAGTTTTCAAAATTATGAACAATGACTTCTAATTCATACTTCAGACAGACAAAGCTGTAAATCGGACATTACCATCTTTGCCTGGAGGGTCACTTGAAATAAAGCTTACAGTCCCTTTAAACGAAGAAATGTGGCAGAAAATTTCCTGAATGTTCTTATAAATGTATGAAAGAATTACAAATGTTTTGTGCCATTATCTGAATCAAGGTTTATTCTTCATGAAAATGTAGAATATGGAATCTTATTCTAAACTGCACAGTGCATAGAGATGGCTCAATTCCTGCATTTTATCCTAATTTTAAGAAGAAAGAGAAGCAAGTTTAACCATGTTTCTGTTTGAATACAGGATTTAAAGTTTTTAATTTAAATTCCTGTAATGTAATTACACTAAAATTAGGAGAAATGAATATAAATGAATAAAATTTGGGTTTCTTATGGGACCTTTCTTAAAGACTTTTCATTAAAATCCAGATCAAACACCGAGTTTACACATGGATAACATGTCTTAAGTTTCAGGCTCTTCAGTATCAGCAGTGTACACTATACATGAAACAGGGTGACCCACATAGGATGAGACTTTAATGTTGACGTTCTAAGATTTCAAAATAATCTTTGGGCGTAGAGATTGTCTTTCTTATATTTAATAAATGATTTGGCAAAAAAGCAAAAAGATTAAAGAAAAAGAAAAATAATGTAAAGAACGAGTGAAAAAATCTTACAGTCGTCTCTGAAGTTTCATTTTAACTGAGGGCAAAACTTAAAAGAAATTTACCGGGCATCCCAAACCAAACCTGGCCACGAAACCGGGTTAGCTCTCTTAAGTCTGGGTTTGAGTTTCGTAAGGGTTTCGGGAAACTCCGGAAACTCAGAATGTTACGGGGCAATACCTCAAAATGAAACCCTTGTATAGGAGTAGGGTTACGGCTGGGAAAGTGAGTTTCGTAGTGATTGTGGAACATATGAAGCACCATTTCTTCGTATTTATGCTTTAAATGGCTTCATATATGTTCCAAATACTTGTTCAGTTAAGATCTCTCTCTCTATAGACTCGATATTGAATAGAGTACAGTCAAATCGAACTTAAAAACATTTTTCTGTTAAAAGTGAATACAGTAATTTATTTAAGTTTATCTGCCAGCAGGCCCGTAACCAGAGGGGGGGTGCAAGGGTGCAGGCACCCCCCTTTCTTCTAAAAGAGGGGTGCAATTACGAATTTTCCCTAGTCCCATATAACAGAAATTGTTTTCATAAGTTTCTAAAATCTAGTTATAAATTATATAGCCCGAGTAAGAATAATAATATCAATAGACTGCTGAAGAAAAATTAACACTAATCCACCTAATACATTAAAATAGTTTTTTCAAAAAGTCCTGTAAATCACTTTTGCTTAAAAATCTTAGTGATATTGTAAAAATTTAGAATGCAACAGAAAAAAAAATTGTAGCCTTAGAATTTTTTTTTAATGAGATCCTTGTGCCAAAAAAAACTTTTTTAAGTTTAATAAGTACCAAAAATATTCTTTAAACTAAAAGAAAGTCTCAGCAAATTCACAAATGTATCTGATTACATCACACAACTACAGATATTTAAAAAAAATCTGTAGCTCCACCTTCCTGGACATTGTAAGAGTGTGAATTTTGACTATTACGCCAAAAAACGGATACCAATTTGATCCCTTTCAAGTGCGTAGCAGCTTTATTCATAAAACACCACAGCCGGAGACTCCAACGACAGCATATTTTAACCCGGTTTCCTAGAGTTTCAAAATACGTTTTAAGAACATGAAACCCAAACTCTGCCAAACCCGGGTTTCAGGAAACCGGGTATCGTAGCGAGTTTTATAATTTTCTTAAGTTTTGCACTCTGTGGATAACCCTTACATACACTGTACACAGTCAGCAGTACATACTGTTCTAATTATCAATAAACTGAAGTACATAAAGTTTATTCAGTGCATTGTACACTGTACATACAATATAGTATAATAGTGGAGTTTACTTTAAAAAAATAACTTATGAGTAAATGTTACCTATTTTCCTTCTCTAGGTTTTTGTACTGTTCTTTCAGCATGAATATCTAAATAAATTCTAAATCAAGTACTGGGTGTCCCACGAAACATGACAGTATGCAAGACAACTTGAATGTCGTCTTGATTTTTGATATAATTTGCTGCGTTTACTTGTCAACCTAATTTTAGAAGTAAATTTCTAGAGATAATAATTACAAAATTCCCCTAGTCCTGCCATTTCCAAAATGTGGTCTGCCTTTTTTGTGCTTTCAATATTGCCCGAGATATGAAGAATTTCGTTCAGATTTCGACAATTTTGCTTTTATTTAACAAAATTGAAATCTGAACCAAACTCTTTATATCTCAGGTAATATTGAAAGCACAAAAAACGCAGACCACTTTTTGGAAATGCCAGGGCTAGGAGAATTATGTGATAATTGTTTCAAGAATCATACATGTTAAAGTAGATAGAAGAATAAATGTCAAAAATAAATTCAAATATCAAAGACGACTTTCAAGTCGTCTTGCTATTGTCATGTTTCGTGGGACACCCTGTATTTTCAGTCTCATAAAATATCCTTTTTTATTCTATTAGAATTAGAATTAGTCTAAAGCCACCTTAAAGCTACAAAAATTAAATAATCCTCTAACGGAAGTTTCCAAGTTTCACGGATTTTAGGTTATACATTTTTTTTGGGGGGGAGGGGGGTTTATCATGGACAATTTACACCGATACCAAACTAGCTTGGTCTAACAAAGAATGAATGGTACATCCGTGTTTTCTTCGAAAATGGATTATATTCAAATATGGTTTCTCTGTAAGATTAACTTCTGCAATAGCAATTTGAAGGAAATTGATCAGATAAATATTTAAGGGGTGCCGTTGTCAATCGAATATGACCTTCTTTTTAATTCGGGGGCACTTATATAACTAAAAATCGGTGGTAAGGGATTAAATTTTTCAACAAACTTTTTTACAAGTTTACAAGTAATCAAAGCGAAGCTTTTTTAATTGATAAACTCTCTTGGGTTCTATGTTTTTGTGTATCCATGCTGTTTAACAGCTTAATATACATTAAAATTGAATTCGAAAGTCGTCTTTTGATATAATCGCCTACCACTGTATAATAGTTGTGTATACCTGGTCCTCTACCTCTATCTGACCAGTTTGAAGAGGTAAATCATCAAATATGATTTCCTTTACATCAAGAATATCGTCATCTTGTCTCATGATACTCTTATCATTAACATCCAGCTGGTCCCATCTACAGTTCTCAACCTAAAGTTTATTCAAATATATTAAATTAGAATTATCATCATGTTTACTTCTTTACAGGGTTATTACAAAGAATATGAGACTTTCTTATTGCAGCAGTGCAGTTACAATTGATTTAGCGTATCTTAAAAGACTATATTTAAGAAATTAAAATTTTAGATTGCTATATTTGAAAGTTTTAGGTTGTCATTACAGCCAACGTTAAATTTTTAATTTAGCTAAATATTTAAGGGTTTTTCGATGACAATAACCCTGAGGCAGAAGCCCAAAGGGGCAATGCGATGTTGAATTATTAGACAGAGAGAGCACATGCGTGTAACTCTTTTGGGCTTCTGCCTCAGGGTTATTCGAACGAAAACCCTTAAATCTTGAAAAATCGATATCTAGTTTTCTGTCTGTATTGTTATTAATTTATGATTTAAACCAACCACGTCCCCAACCCTTTTATCATATCTTTACCTTTAAATCAGCTGATGTAGACATGTTTGCACCATTTTCCTGCTTTCCAACTGGGCCAAATCCAAGATGGAGGTCAATATCTGTACTTTTACAGATTAACTCTATCTCTTCTATATCTGCTTCTGGTGCAACAATTAATATAAATAACATCAAAGATGACCGGAAAACTCTGGATTAGGAAGATGACTTGTTAGCAATACTTAAGTGTATTTGATGTTGTTACAAAGAAAATAGTTTTACTAGACACTTATCAAATCACTAACTAAGTGATATTTGTGTGTTAGCACTGTCCAATTACTATTTCCTAGGCTCATTAGGCTTTTTAAGGTTAAAACTATACTCTAAAAGTCGTCCTCCAATTCCGGAGTTTTCTGGTTATCACTGTACTATAAAAAGCTGACATATAAAAGGAGTAAAGCTCATTTAGAAAAACGTGTTAATCATATTGGTTATTGCTTTCCAATACCCGACTGTCACTTCTTGCCACCACAGAGCAAATGAAAAAATGTCGGCTCCAAGTTCAGGTTTGGTTTATTAAAAAGAATGAATTAATAAAGCCTTGATTGAAAAAAGTCTGAGGTTTTAGTTATTGCTTTACAATCCTAGGTTGGATTTTAATATGAATGTTTCTTTTTCTTTAATTTCCCCCACTGGCTGCAAGCAAGTGCGTTCCATCCTAGCTTCCCCCACTGCATTTACAGGTCAGAGTGATGTAAGGGTGTACACGTGATTAACAGAAAGCGCCATTTTCTCTGAAACAAAATTGTTAATTTGGAACTGACTGCTTTTAGTTTCTTTTAAAGATTATCAACGTATTCAAGTTTTTCAACAAATAAATTAAATAGCTTTTTACAAGAAGTAAAATTCTCCCCGGACTATATTCAAAATAGTCGTTTTAATTATCTATATTACCCACAATTACAAATGACAGAGCTACGACACTTACAAAATTACGTTTTTCAACTAAAAACACTGGTCATACAATATGTTTATTGTTTTATCCTCAGAATTATACACGGCATATACTCAACCAAACTTTTAGGAAAGGGTTCATAGATAATCTATATTTATATTAATAGGCTGCGCCCATCATCTAGTTCAACTTTTAATTGTTGCTCAATTCTCAATCTTTCAGCATTTTCTCTTCGATAAAACAAGAATAAAATTATTGCAGGTTTACCATTTTTTTCGTGGATTTTCAAGATTTGACGAAAATCAAAAAAATTTTGGAATTCTGAGGATCCAGAAACCTTCCCTGTGATATGAGGTACGGCACCAGTGACAAAATTTGTGCCCGATTGTATCAGTCATTTTGATGTTTATTGGATACAAACGGACAGAAAAACTGGCGGAAAACCAAAGTATTTATATAATACATTATTAATATTGTATTCTTGAGAGCGTAAAATTATTTTGTGCATATATGGGAAAACAATTTATAGTGTATCAAGTCAGGAAGGAAATATTAAATCTATAATAGTTGAGTGAAGGGGTACTGCAGTGTACCTTCTTTGGGGGGAAAAGTAAACACAAGACAGATGTCGAAGCCTGACATGGAATCCATTTTCACAAAAATAATCTATGAAATATTCTGGACTTTGGAAAATATTATATGAGTTTTTAAAATTATCAAAATTAAATGTTTTTATCCTCCTCGGATACTAGACGAACACTGATGCATCTATTTTTGTTTACAAATTCCGCTCAAAGAAAACTGGTTTCAATATGTATGCAAAGTATACGCGACCGCAATTAACTTTCCTTGGAGGGGTGATCCCCCTCACCGTGTTTTTTTCACATTACTTAATTGCACTTTAAAACAATGCTGAAACAACTTCAATTTTTAAACATCATAATTTAGAGCAAATTTTGAAGAAAAAATAATTCACATAATATGTTAATCAGTTAAGTTACAGATCTAAAATTTATAATTCTTTTTTAAAAACCTAGAAAAATAATTGTAAATCATGCGTCACTTTTTAATATTTGTCTAACAATAAAAATATCTAATTCTTATATTTTCCCAACGTACTTTTCCCCATGGAACCTTGAGATCGGTGTTTAAAAACTTCAAAAATTATTAGGTCTTGAAAAGTTGGACTAGTGACATTTGGTGACAGCTCAACTCTGAAGTAAAGATCAAGGGACTCCACTAACTTAAATCTTTGACAATAACCAAAGTTTCCATTAGACCAAGAAATATATAGACCAGGAACCGTCATATCTCATGCGTCAAATCTGTGTACTGCAGTGGTAGGAGATCAAAACAAAGAATTCAACATTTTTGAGGGAAAAGGGCCCAAGGAGTGAAATATGAATATATTGCTATTGTACTTTCCATATTGACCAGAAAGCCAAAAATCATAAGTATTTACTCTAAATATATTAACTTGTTTTCTGCTGGACTGTAATATCAAATCAGAGCTGTTATCCTTTCCCTTCAACTTCTGTGGGGGCACTGGGTTTGTTTACATTCCTCCCACAGTGTACAGTACACAATTTGCGTATTTATGAGTTGGGCGTTCCTGTATATAGTTCCTTGCATTAGACAATTGATTGCAGATTTTGTATACCCTATCTCGGGTTTAGGACTTCAATTTTTTAATATCCGCCCCCCTCTCTAAATCTTAAGTGCAAAATCTATTTGTGGTATTTCAGAAGGCTTAAGCATGAGGGGTTAACTTTTTAAAAAAATTTAGGGTGTGCGCTTATCTCCTTTCCTGCATGAGCCGACAATAACCCTGAGGCAGAAGCCCAAAGGGGCAATGCGATGTTGAATTATTAGAATCTAACCATCTGGAGCGAGCTGTACCAGTGTACATACAGATTATTCAAGGCAGAACGGGACTGTACACCAAATGAACCGGTTCCTTCTATGGAAATTCTAGTACGTGATATTTATATATTTTTTCTATATATATATTTACATCAATAGGTCGCAAAGATATGTAGATTATAAAATTTGAGTTTGTGATATAGAATTAATTCTAACCGGCCATGCGCCCCTTACTGGGGTCACGTCGGGGAGAAATATGAATGGGATGAGGGTGTATTTGTGGCTCCATTTTTTCTTTTATTTACAGGGGGGGTGTTAATAGTTCTAAACATCGCTTTTTGGGATTATGCATAGTAAAATTATGACATCCTTGATAAATGTAATTTCAAACGATTTTAATTTAAATAATCTTATTTTTATTCTTGACTTTCATAATACACTTTCTTTGCAAAACCTCCGCATAAATTTATGAACACTTTATTAATTTGCTGAATTATTGGGAAATGGAAAAATATTTTTCAAAATGAAAAATGGAGAAAAATGTCAAATTTGTTGGAAAAAAATTGTACCTTTTTTCTTTTAGGCCAGGGTACGGCTGTACAACTTTATTTCTGTCTTAAGCTTAGGCTTAAAAACTTGTTAAAAAGGCTTATTGTTAAAGTTGAAGTGAATAAAGGGCAATATATATACAATACACTTACAGGGCTTTATGTGTAGCATACATAAATTCAAAGAAACAAGAGAATTCAAGGAAAACAAGTTGTAAAACAGTTTCAGAATTTAGAATATTTCCATTAAAAGAATAGCCCAAGCTCAGGCCAATGCCTGAAACATTTTTTTTCTGCTCTGAGAAGCATTTTTTCCAAATTCAATTATTTGAATTTCTTAAACGAATGCAGAGTGTACAGTTGTATAAAATTAAAAAGATTTGACTAAATTACATTCGAGCAATTTTGTATCACCTAATATACAGTGAAACCCTTAATAACGCATACATCGAAAAAATTCATCAAATGTCGTATTCTTCACTTTCTGATAATGGAATGTTGCAGATATTTAGTTTTTTTAATTAAATGATTATATGGAACTCTTTAAAACTGTTGCCGCATATTCATGGCTAATTTACGACAGAAGAAAACTTTCTAATGGAAATCCTGAACCGTGAAATAGAAACATCTAGTTTCTCGTTTTAACAAATTGTTCGTAATATTGGAATATAAACATTTTGATAGAACTAATGAACACATTGTAGATATATATATCTCCTAAATTTTTATATCTCTAACATTCTAATTGTAATCTATGTAATAAAACAATAAAACAAGACACATTCGTATATGTTGCCTATAGCCGGCAAAATGGCTGGACCGATTGGACTAACATTTGTTGTGGACACTCAAGGGTGGCCGGGGGGTGTTAAAGGCTAAAAAAATCGAAATATTTTTTTTTCTACATTTTTTTATACAGAGAACGCCGGGCCCTTCAGCTAGTGAAGAATAAACCACTTTTAACCCTATCATGATTTGTTTTTTTCTCCATAACTTAAATATGGTTTACACCTTCACTTTTTCATCTTATTAGTTATTAACAAATTAAAAAAAAAATGTTATGCATATGTTAACTGGTAAGGTGGAGGACAGTCAAACGGCTGGTCGGTGTTTCAAAAAAATGAAATAACATGTGTCAAATATTAATATTTGTCAAAAGTATAAATTAATATGTTTTAAAATTTTTCCAATGTACGTTTTAAACTTTTTAAAACGTTCTTAGCACCCTGGCCTCTAACCATAAAAGTTAAAAGTCAAATTCTTTTCTGAGCTGGCCTTGAAAAGCTAAATTAAGGAACATGTATTACACTCCCCTATCTCAACTCTAAGGGCAAAATCATTGGGGAGGGGGGGTGGGTGGACCCCACTTCTTTATTAGACAATCTGGATAGGATTAACACTTCATATACGTTCTAGCAATTTTGAAGTTTATAGTAATTACTTTATTTCAGAATTTATTGGGAAATTCACTTCACTTAGTTGAACTGTACACTCTAGAAAATTTAGCAGTGTACAGTGTACAATAAGAAGTTTTCTATACATATTGGTTCAATATTTTATCGACATTTTCTTCAACTTTAATACAATTGTTTTCTGGGTCGTGAAATTAGAAGGACTGATGAGAAGGAATTAATTTGAGGCTAATCTGTTGGAAATAACATAAAAATAAACGGAAACATAAAGGTTCTGCATGAGACATAGTTAAACGGAAACAGAAAGGGACTGTAGACATAGTTAAACGGAAACATAAAGGGACTTTAGACTTAGTTAAACGGAAACTTAAAGAGACTGTAGACATAGTTAAACGGAAACATAAAGGGACTGTAGACATAGTTAAACGGAAACAGAAAGGGACTGTAGACATAGTTAAACGGAAACTTAAAGGGACTGTAGACATAGTTAAACGGAAACATAAAGGGACTGTAGACATAGTTAAACGGAAACATAAAGGGAATGTAGACATAGTTAAACGGAAACATAAAAGGACTGTAGAAATAGTTAAACGTAAACTTAAAGGGACTGTAGACTTAGTTAAACGGAAATATAAAGGGACTGTAGACATAGTTAAACGGAAACTTAAAGGGACTGTAGACGTAGTTTCTTAAGTGATCTTATATTTGAAAGATGACATATCCGGTTCACAACGGTACCCTTTAAACCTTTAAATGATCAAGAATAACAGTACCTTTATCTTAAAATAACGCTTGTTATTTATTAATTAATTAATTTTTATTTAGTCCGCGTTCGATGATAAGACAAAGGTTGAAAGGTTGTGAATCGGACATGCAATTCCAAAATAAATTTACTGCCTTTGAACGCCTTAAACCCTTTGATTAATCCCTAACCCTCTCTTTTGTAATTTTATTGAACATTCGTGTAAAGGTAGTTTAAAAGTATGTTTTCCAAAGGGGTTTCTACTTTCTACTCAAATTTCCTCTGC